TGGGCTGAGCTGGAACGCAGTGGCATAAAACATTGGATCCAGTGAGGTTGAGCTGATCCTTTGGGACATTGTGAGATCACAATAGGATACCCTGTCCCAAGAGTCCGCACAAGAGTTCATCGTGGGCAAACTGAAAAGATGAATGAATGCTACTCCTGCTTGCACCGGGTAACAGCCTCTTCTTTGCGGTGTTTAAGTAAGGGAAACGATGGATAAGCACATAGCAGCAGACGCAGCAGCATCGGTCGTAGGGATTGAAATTGTGAGCCGAAATCGTTTTCCTCCTAGGTAGGATTGCGTGGAGAAAAGAGATACACAGCGACTGCTCAAGTTTGCTCAACATTCCAAACACAATGCGGATCGAGTAAATAAATAGTGCTGGTTCAGTCATTTTAAATTTTGATATTCTCATCAGTCTAAAACCCCGAAGCGTTGGAGAAGAGTTTGCCCCACCTCGTAATTGAATTCATCTGTTTGTTTATGGTTGCTCTCTCTCGTCTTGTTTCCCCATTTCCCACGATTACAGGCAACTAGATATGCTCCTAAAAAACTTTCTTTTCAGTTGTTCTCCACTTTTTTCGGATTATTTACAAATTTTTGTAAATTGATTGAACGAAATAGAATTTGCCAATAGCTTATCAAGTCAAAATCATTACTCACACGGCATCCAAATTGACAAGTGTTCACTTTCTTTTGATCTCCTGGTGGTGGTGGTGGTGGCCCAGTCATAAGGTGGATGGATTGAATGAAAACTAACCAAATTCCAATTCATTCCTCATTTGCGACCTTGTTTTAAGCTCCCAATCTGACAATTTACATTAAGCACTTGAATTGGTATTCACACTTTGAGGAGACAGACGACTGACTCTCTCGCTCTCTCTTTCTCTCTATGAACCAGACGTCATACTTTCTCCACGACACCTCGCAACTCCAATCATGGACCTCCAGCCATGAGAAGTTAGTGCTTGGTGTGTTTGGATGGGATTGAGAGCCAGGCTGGGAGCACCAATGAAAGACTTAACCAGGACGATACTCTCTCATTCCTTTTCTCTCTCTTCAAAGGAATATATGATGGTTTGGACGGGAGAGATTCCATTTTGCTCCTGCTGTGTCAATTTACTCACCATGTTGAGCAGAATACGGATTCTCAAATTTTCCGAGAGAGTTTGCAGTTTTACATATTAATATTATGATTTTATCATCATCGTCTCAAACACCGCAGTTTCCACTTTCTCGAAATTCTGGAATTGTCGTTTTGTCATTCTCATCATCGTGCGCGAGCTTCTCTCTTTCGCTCTCTGATTTGAAACAAAGTTGGGCTCTGAGCAGATGGAGGAATGGAATATGACATGAGCATAGAACGCCTGTCTCGCATCGTCGTGTGACATTATGACAATCTGTGTCGCACGTCTTAATTAGTCCCAGTGATAATTACACTGTTCCCTGTTCCAAGGATGGAATGGAGCAACGGGTGTTGTGCTGAGTTCTCCTCGCTCTCCTTGTTAATGTTCAATACTAAAAAGATTCCTGTTTTAATTAAACTTTCACGGAGCTCTTTCTCCCTCCGACGACGACGACTCTGCCCGCTTTTACGACCTGCTTAAGCAGATACTGAAACTTTCTTTGCAGTATGTGCTGAAAAAATTAGACTCACTCTCCGCCTGCCTCTCTCATTTATATTACCAACTAAATAAATGCGCTGCTACTCCTCCTCCTCCTCCTCCTCGTTCCTCAGTTATTAGAGGACTAATATTAAATGACATGCATATCTACACAGCTATGTATTCAAGGTACGGGAAGGGAAGCATGATTCTAGGAACGTTTTATTACTACAAGGCTTCATTTTCTTCATGCTGCACACAATTCTCTGATAATTTGAACTTTTAGAGGAACTCTTATCCAACCTCTGGAGCTTTGGAGCTCTGGAAAATTAGCCTTTCTTAATTTCCTTGCTCTCATTTCTATTACGTTTCTCTGCATTTAGTTTTACCGGTTTCCCACATACATTAGATAGACAAATGTCACACTAGCGCAGATGGTGCTGAAAATCGTCATCATCGTCGCCGTTGCAGTTGTGGATGAGGACTCTGGTGGATATGGATGGAGGATAATTAGGCGTAGGAAGAATCGACTAGAAATTGGGCAGAGTCAAGAGGGCAATACGAACTGTGGAAGTTTGAGTGGGGGTAAAGTTATTAATAACGTTAGTACGATTAATTCAAAATCAGTCAGACACAGACACTCTACAGATAAACGACTCGGGATTTGGGAGGTCAGACAAGGTAATGATATGTTCTACAAGATAATATATCATCTCGGAGCGCAGAGGGAGAAATTGAGGGAGATTGGAGGGAGCCCGTTTCTGACAATGGCTTTAACAGATTGAGATTGAAGGGAACCAAAAAACACTGCTCCGCGATTTGCGACGAGGAGAGCAGCTTGAACAGACATCTTTATGGATGCGACGACCCCATCCCATTACTATCACCATCATCATCCTCCCGTCCTTCCTTGATCCCGGAGCAAGTTGCACTTCTCCAACAACGTGTGGCCCTTCAATTTTGTTACAAGTTGCCAACGCTGATTTCGTGTTTCCTTCTAATACGATATTATTATGTTTTATAGCAACCGTTCCTCACAGACGTGCGTGCGGTTGTTGGAAGCCTGATGCTGGCTTCTGATGGTTACTCAAGCACAAGAGTGAAAACTATGCGAATGTTTGAGGTGTGCATACACATGTAAGACACGATCTTACCAAATGTTTCCTTCTAAAGTATGCATTTTATACATAAAGAATCATGTGAGAAAGAAAGTGTGATGATTGACAACAGATTTTTTGAAATATATTGGCACAAAGCTCACGTAAAGTGCAGAAATTCGTATATACTTATGTACATAGTACTAACCAGATAGGTCATATAGTAGTCATTGGGAGCATCTAATGTTCACAATTATCGTTGAAAAGTTCATAAGGTCGTCTCTCATAGTCTAGACTGCGGTCTGGTCTGGATCTAGAGAAAAATTAACATTTGGCTAAAAACCAGTGTTAGAAAAACGCAATAATAACCAACTCATGACTGTTTAGTTGACACAAGAAGCCACGTTTCGATTGATGATCTCATAGTTTTGTGTCTCGACGTTTTACTTTTATTTTATTTATACGAGCTCACAACGTAATTAGCGGATGAGTGCTCGTCCTGTTTTCAAAGAATTTGACACTCTTTGCAAATTTGATGAGCTCCTATATCTGAAGATGAGTCAGTCATATGCGTCCATGCTTTTTTTATACGTGCAAGAGATAATAATAATCTTAAGTAAGACGTGTTTATTATCAAGCATGCGGATCGAATTACAATGAAAATTAGTTGTCAGTAGATGATCATAAGAATGAATCATATGACTGCATGCATATACAAAAGTGTGATAATGTGCATTCATTTGAGGATGGGAATAAGTAGCGTTTGCACACTTGTCATCATCACACACTTGATTACGACCAGAAATGCTATTTGCATGAGTGTTCATGAGCAATGTTGGTGGACCGAATTTGTCTTGCTTTTACAATACAATACAACAAGTGGCTATGTTAAGCCATGGCTATGGGAGTATTACGTATTTACATCTGAAATATGATGAGAGATTGTGATTCATAAACAAACACCAAAATGGCACGACTAAGCCACTGCTCGGAACCCAGGTTTTCTTTAATTTGAGACGAGAACCACATATCAAGAGCACGCTTTCGCATTAATAATGTGCAATGAAGACATTCATATGGAGATATCTGATACTAATCTGTTTGGATATCTTCGCACTACATGAATATTCAGCGTCTTCTCTTCCACTTTGTGAATAGTACTTGGTAGGAAAAAAACTTTACTTTCTGCTGATGATGATAACCAATACTGCCACCCATCAAACCAACCTTCAGAAAAGTGTGCAATAAATATTATTCAGTGACGCCTACGATCAACTGTACGGGTGTGAAATTTCTTGTGTTCGTCTGCACAACATGGTCCTCCAGTTTCCTTGTTCTCTCATGGTGAACACGTTTAATTGTCTATTATTGACAGTTTGTAATATTCAACAATATAAAACTGCGTCGAATTCATATAAGCATTAAGGACATACATTCATACGTATATTTTCTCTTTGATCTCAAACGAGATTCCGCATTGCATGTTACATATGTAGCTTGATCATACAGAGTTATTGTCAAGAATCCGAGGAACGTAATTGTCTCCTTGTCGTTAATCATATTTAATATTTCAAATGTTACTACTTATGAAATGCGTACTAAAAGTACTTTAGATTAGATGGAATTGTTTTATTTATTATCACCCGGGAGTAATTATACATAAATACTCATACACCGACAGACATGATTCTTAAACTGGCAAATGCACGTGTGCATAAATCAAAAATGACATTACAGATGCTTGATAAATGTTTTTGTCAAATAATTTATTTAATGCATTGATATTAAAACGAAATCTCTATTATTAAATGAACATGACCCTGAAAGATCACTGAAATAATGATAGATAAGCGTATTGTCAACGCTAAAGTTTATTTATGTGTATAGTAAACCAATTTTCTCATTCATTGTTATTCAACCATCTCGCTCCTTAGGAGCGAGATGGTTGAATCGATTATTAAAAGAATATACGTATTTATACAGATATTTATATATATTGTTAAATGGTTGATCCATCCATCCCTCTATTGTTCATGCTCATTGTCCAGTTGGGGAGGATGATTTGAAACAAAAGCGTGAAAATTTTGTAATGTGAGAGACTTATGATAAGAAACGAAGTGTCGGAAAGCAAGGCGTATTTCCTGCCGCTTTCAGTCTTCTATATTTTACGTACAAATTTAATACACATCAAATAATAGAGTCGCTGCTTTGGTCCCAACTTTTATGAAGATGCGCATCATGGCTTCTTTGGCACGTACACTTTTGTAAAACGACGCTCATAAAACGTGATTTCTTTTTGCAGACGACCGACTCCCGGATCAGGTACGTAGTCATCCCTTATCCATCCACCCATTATTATTCTCAGAGGACGGATGTTGTGCTGCGGTAACGAAGCTTCCACAAAACCACCCTAAAAATACGCTCGCGAATTGATTTCAAACTGAACTCAAGTCTTCAACCAGAACAAACGACGACATAGCAAATTAATCCCTCATATTTAATTCAAACGAAAGTATTTGTCCACTTTGTGTCGTCAATCTATCCAGAATGTCCAGAAAATTGCTTTGTCAAGTAGAACTAGACCATTACGCCATAATCGTTCTTTGAGGTCAGCATAAGGTCAGGGATTATGTTTTCGGTGAAGAAAATACTTTGTAGTTTCATATTTGGTTTCTCTCTCCCTCTCACTTTCCTGGGTCACAACTGACGTGTGGAAAATTGTAATGGCGTCATGGGGGAAAAATGATAAGAGAATGTTCAGACTTTGTTGTGTATGGTTTTATTTCGTGGGTAGCAAATGGGATGTTTAATAATGAGACGCTTTTAAACACAAGATACAATTTCCTCATGAAGCACAACAGTAACACATTGGCCATGTTAAGAGGAAGCAATTATGCAAAAGTAGAAGGCAACTAAGGGAGAAAGAGAGAGAGAGGGCGAGTAAGAAGCTGCTCGATGAGACCTTAGATAATAATAATGCAGGAGAGGTAAAGGTGCGTTTGGTCGTGGAAGGGGTAAATATGCACGCGGAAGTTGTTTCTCTCGTGCTTTTTATTTTTTCCTAATTTTCCAGCCCGCACTCCCTTGTCTTCCCACGATCACATTTTAAGATTAGTCGTATGTATGCATCGTAAGATCCATCATTCATCACCAGAATTTTGCTGTTTATTTATTAGTACTGGAAAATGTGTATGTCCTAAAGTGGAGTATTTTACAGATAGTTGACAGCAAGGATGAATGGATGTGTGAGTGCGAAACCTTTTGTAATTTGTGATGAAATTTTTCAGCGTGATAATTAAACCCTTGACTTTTGAATTTGTCCCATAATTGCTGATGAGAGCAGTCAAGTGCAGTAATTATACCAACTCATCTAGTGAGAGGAAGCAAGAGAAGGATAAAAGTGAGTTTTTGAGCTCAACTTGTCTGATTCAGACTGATCCTGAGTGTGATGCTGTTAATGGCCCATCCATCCACTTTGGTTACTCTGAATATTAGTTATAGTTCAAAAACTGGTGAAAACTAGGGACTCATTGATTGAGACTGGAACGAGATGAAAGAGAGAGAGAGAGACTATGTAAGCTAGAATTTCATCAGATCTCCCATCAAATTCAGATGCTACAAAAGGGTTGAAGAGATGAATGCTGTTTGGGGTACATACACACAGGGCACAATATGGAGACTGATGCAAAGAGTCAGAAAATTAATGTGCAGTTGTATAAAGGATTCGTGTCAGCATCATCCTCCAGGATTCAGCATTAAAGGATTTCATTTTTCACGCTGTCGCACGTCCGTTGATTCCCAAGAAGGAAATGTTTAGTGTTTTCACTAAACTGGAATATGCTTTATCTGTTTTTCTATCACTCCCCCACTTCGTACAGACAGATATGTGTGTTCCTATGTAGTTCCAGCCAGAGAAACAATCAGCAATACTTCCAAGCGACTCATGTTATCAGTCAAAGGTTGTTGGGGCAAAAGTGGCTTCAGATCGAAATTGCATGTTTTGTCCCCATAAGAGATGCACAATATTTACCCCATGGTGTGAATCTGTCTCTTTATTGCTGTGTCGGATGTTCACGGCATAATTTATGACTTGCTTGCTTTCTCTGATGTCGCTACAATATTTGGTCGTAATAGTACGAAAATATTGGTTGCACCTACATACATACACAGATACATACTTTATACATAGACAAGCAAAACATACATTTACCCATCACATTCATACTTTCTTTCTGGGAAAATGCAAATATTTACCAGGCATTATTTTGCAATACTTTATTCATAGCCAACCTTTGAAGATGATGTCGCAACTTGATAATAGCATAGTGGAGAAATTATTTGATCTCTGGCGAAGGATAGCCCAAAGTTCAATAGAAACCCCGCAGGTGTGAACGTCAACCTTTTTCCTTTAGTCCAAAATTGAGTCATCTCTTGGACGGGTTCAGGGCAAATTACGAATTTGTATCCTGAATCCCGATTTGTGTTGATGCAATGTCCCGCTTGTAACGATGAGTTGCTTTGTTCAAGCTGATGGATGCTCGATATGAATGATGCGCATTGTCACAATTGTATGCTGCATATATAGCATCGGCTCGGTTGGTATTCGAAATTATTTTCTAATTGTTTTCATGAAGGGTTCACTTGAAATATTGATTATTCAGCAGGGAGAATCAGAGAATGTCCTCTCTACGGGATTATTTATGAGATAGATAAATACGCTTAATTTTTTAGATTACTATCTTTAATGCACCCTGCATTTTTCATCGATAAAGCATGATTTCAAAATCACCTGCAAATAAGAACTAGCTTTTTTAAATTTTACTTATGCGATTGCAATATAGTGAGTGAAATTGCTATTGGCTATATAAATTTATGTGTATATTTCAATTGTAACTATCTAAAATTGCAATCGCTATTGATGTGTAAAATTTAAGTGGCTGAAGAAAATGAGATTACTGGACCCTATTTAAAGTCGATACAGCAAAGTTTACGATGTTAGACTCGATTTGAGGTCCATTGTGTTTATCTGTCCACACAACAAAGTAAGACATTAGATGGAACTAGAGATACATTTGGAGGAATGGGATTTTGGAATGAAAGTGTGAAAAGAGAATTGAATAAGGGATCGCGGGTTGTGAAATAACGACATTTGAGGAAGTTGGGTCTTTGAAATATCTTTTTTTGTCTGTGACATCTCAATCGGTGCGGCTGGACACTTTTTGACAAAGGATGAGTCCCAGGTGGATCCCTTTTTGTTAGCAGACGTTGAGCCGTTAGTTTAGTGTACAGCAGTGTGGCAACTCCTCGGATGAGAGATGAATAAGGAAGGTACCTTCATTCACAAAACATCCTCTCTTTCTCTTCTCTGTCTCTCTACCGATGGGTGGGTTTTGGTTGCATGGATGGAATAAGAGGATTCATTGTGAAAGGAAACTATTGGAGATGATCTTCGTCATCATCCTCGTTCCACAATTTGAACTGCAGCCTAGAGAGACGATGATAAAATATTCTTGTGACACTTTCCACCATTCAGTGGACTATCTCTATTTGCTTATCCCTTCTTGGGTCGTAGTATGTGTCCTTATTCAGGCGAGAACCAGTTTGGGTCCGCTTTCAGTGAGGGATATTAACAGAAAAGAGAGGGCTTCTGTTGTGTCGACCGTCCCATTGGGCCATCCCATTCCCATCATCGTCATCATCATCACTCTCATTCTTGTGTCCTTACGTATTCATATCTTCATAATAATAATAATGGGCTGTGATATCCCGTAGATCTACATTTGAGAAAAGATATTCCTTGCTTGACACCATCGAAGGAATCCCCAATGAGATTTTGTACAAATCCTCAAGGTGTTCACACCAACCTCATTTATTTGCTTGGTCTCATAGGTATGCGAGTGCATAGTTATTTCATCCAGGCATAGGCTGAGGTTACACGTTGATGAGGTATGCAGGGATGATGACATACATAGTGTCCAAAGTTGTAATGTGAAAATGGCCTTATTGTCCCTTAAGGTCACATCACACTTACCCTCACTGACTGGCTGAGCAGGACAATGGCGAAAGAGGGAGATAATTCCAGTTTCAGTGAAGAGATCAAACTTTGTCCGAGTGCATCACAATATGTTTGCAGCACCAAACGATGCGTTAGATGGAAGGATGTCCTTTGAGCAACTAATTGAGTTGTGGGTTTCCTAAATAATAATGCCATTTCCCGTGTTTTTATACCCTCACACTCTCGCACAATGATACAAACGACCACGGCTTAACACGTTTTCTGCTGTAACGCTTACATTATCCATTGGGCTTTCAACTTGGGGTTGAAATTCTCTGATATTTTGGTTTGACATAGTCATGCTTCTACCTTAAATATTGTACATAAATGGAAAGAGATGAGAACTGATACATGTATCTATTCGTCCATCCACCACCATTGACATGAACAACAACCAATAAGGCTTGCCCCGAATTTGTTTCTTGTGAAGAGGTGCTCAACCGAAAGTTTTTTAAATAACATGAAAAGGAAAAATGTTTGTATCTTAAGAAAGATTAATGGTCAGCTTATTCATTGGTTCTCCATTGGGCGCATCGATGGAATCGAGGTATTTGTATTTTGCAGTGCACTATAGCCGTGTGTACATACATTTCCATGTGTTGTGGATTTTGGGGACTTGACAAAAATATGTAATGGATTTTTATCCTCTTTTTCCACCTGGATTTTCTCCACATTAATTAATCATCGAGTGATGGATTCGTACAGCTTGAGAATTGAGATAGTGAATTGGAAAGCAGGTTGAGTCTTGCCATGGTTGAGGCGGAGAAAGGTATTGCTGACGAGGACGCGATTACCCCTCGGGATGCAAGTAAATAGGTGGATGGTGAGCAGTCCTCGTACGAGATCGCTTCTTTGAGCTCTGGTGAAGGAGGTGATTAATGCGGCAAGAATTTTCGTCTCGATTGGGCGACCGCTGAAAGCTTTTCGTCGTTTCTCTTCCTCGGTCACTCTCCCAACCAACATGATCCACTCTCATCCAGATCCGAAAAAGGGAACTTTCCTTTTCCTCGCTATGTCCTATCTCTGCTCAAGACAGTCGTTTTTAGACCAAAGTAGACACTTTCTCTCCCCGTCCCCTCCCTCCCTCCCTCCGCCGCTCCCATTATCATTGACGCAAGCATGTGACACGTATACCCTCCTTGCTCCCTGTTCTCTCCGAGCCTCCTGGTGTAGAGTACTCTCGAGTTTGCGGCTTTTTAGGAAATCAGCGAGATCCGTTCGTTCGCTCCCATCTCTGAATTCAGATCATATATTATATCTCTCTCCATGAATGCCACCACGCTTGCTGCCTTTTAAGTATTCTGTTGGCGTGCCCATAATAAAATCTTCTCACCCGAAATTGAGTCCACCAATTTAGTTCAACCAAGTCAAGTAAGTTATCACTCACTCACTCACTCACAATTCACTCGTGCCATGATAGTAATAAGTGGTCTGGAGTGGAACCTAATGTCTTCCACTCAGATGAGAAGATCATTTATATGTAACAACCATCATCATCATCATCTTTGCAGTGACTATGTGTTCATGATGACATTATTATTGTGTCCTCATCGTCATTGCATTCTGCATTACATCCATCACCATTGTACGGACAATGTATTTTGAATCAACTACTCGGCAAAGCTGGATAACTTTTCTACCACTTGACTGAGATAATTATCTAGTGCGACTTGCTTTTTTCACTTGGTTCCTGTTGTAAAATGCAACATTACAAATATATTATGTAACACGCTCGTAAATAGCGCACTAGTTTTATACTCGATTGAATGAGGAGATGAGATGGGCATCATGTCGTGATATTTTGCATGACAAGGGAAATCACCGTGGTGCGTGTGAGCGAGTGGGATACGTACCTTTCACCGTTGAAGCCTTTCACTTTTTAAACCCTTTCTTTTGTGATTTGTCCTCACTCAAAATAATAATCAGTCACTTTGGCCTGTTTTTATTATAAACGTCGCTTCCTTGCCCAAGCCGATTTCACACTGCGATCATCCTCTCGTCTTTACAACGTGTCATCAAACCATATATCATGACATGAGGGATTCCGTCCCTTTTTTATTATTACTCTTCTCTCATTGCACGCGCCTTCTTCTATCCAATCCTTTCTGCTCCTGCTATCAATCCCAAACCTTCCATATTTTGGTGTGGTAGGTCACACACCAATGAATAAAACTCTTTTTTGTCTCAATCAATTGTTGCCATTTATACTGTTACGTATTAATGAATCCGTTTTCGATTATAATGCTCACATTAGACGAAAGTAATGGCCCGATCGTATTCGCTGGGGTAGTAGCCGTGGTGTGGTCCGATTGTTGGCTCGACTCTGATAAAAACTGTATTACATTTATTGTATGTAATGGATGCATATGTATTACACATATATCATGCAGTGGTGATATATAGATGCATATATAGTAGGAAATATACGTTGATGCAGTAATAATAATATATATTTCTGTACATATGTACGGTACAACATCTATGTGGGTTACATTACCCCCATTACAAAGTTAAATCATGGTATTGCATGCAACAAGATGGATTTATTCGCATACTCTTCCATCAAGATTAGCAGTCCTTGAATGCCATGTAAATATCGTAGCAATATAAGGAACTAACAAATAGAAAATTCCCTTGCATTTCCTTACCAGCTATTGTTTTTTGGACGACGATTAAAGGCCAAAGGTGGACACCACCACTTCATACAAAGTCAAAGAGCAAAAATAATTTTAGTTGTGCCCGATTCCTCAATCGGTTTACTTTTTATTGTTTGTTTTGCAAGGAGAGATTATCAGAAGAAGGAACAATTTAACCCGTTCATATAACAATTTCTTCAGAATGTGTTCCTACTTGTGCGCCATTTTACTTCCTCCAGTGTCTGTGCTCATTAGACGGGGATGCAGTTGCGACTTTTTCGTTAATTTATTGCTAACAATTCTCGGATACATACCGGGGGTTGTACATGCATGCTATATTCTTGGAAAAACTGATCAGGGGCGTGTTGAGACTGTCTAATCAAGGTGCAAATACTTGTTTTTAGTATAACAGGATCTTTCATATTTTATTAATTTCCCTTAAGATAATCACTAATAAAAATATAAAAGTAATTGCATGAATAGTTTGCACTCGTTTATTTGCCGATGCTTATTGTTTGTACATTTACAAATACAATAATATTTGTAAGAGGGCTTTTCCTTCATAATATGGGATGTGAAATTATGAGAGAAAATCAATGTTGATATTGACTTTGGTCGGTCGTCACAATGGGGCTGGCGGTTGGTAATTATTGACCCTCCGCTTGAGTTGCTGCTGGAACAATAGCCCGGGTTAAATCTGTTGTAAGAGTAGGAGTCCCATCACAAAATTGGAGCAAACGCGTGACACGGATAGGGGAGGCAGTCACCATCCTAGCCTTCGATACAATAAAATTGTGCTATCACAATACTTGTGGTTGTAATGATATCAAAAATCAGGTGAGGTTTGTCCGTGATATTCCATTGTGATTTCATGGCAGGATAAATTATGACTCGTTGGACGTACACATTTTAAGCATATCGCGTCACATGTACGCACATAACCTCACCTGCCCAACTCTCGTTCATGACACGCTTCTCTAGCCAGACATCTGTAATTACGACAAAGTGACTCCTCATTGTGCGCTATGGTTTAGATGTATGTAAAAGTATTAAAAGTCTTATACATTTAGTATTTGCAAGTGTATATAGCCATTTCAAATGATATAAAAATACAACTCCCCTGGCTGTGCATCTGCATAATATGATAAGGAGGATTATCGCATGGTGGCATCAGTAATTAAGAAGGGGTTAGCGTAGAAACCGTCAAATACGAGCAGGAATCGGATGTGACTCTGGTGATTGATAAGCTAGGATTGTATCAGGATTTCTTTCCGGATTCGGGTTGGTACTTAACATTTGGTGGGAGACTCACTCACTCAGACTGTCGGTTAAGTATTGCATTTGCATTTGAGAGTTTGAAGTGTATAATTGACAATGAATACGTCGTTGCGTTCGACATGTTTTCACAAATTAGATATATGACGTTGCGTTACATATATATGCTGCAAGAATAAGTTACCAACCGATGTAGCATCAATAAACATTCAAATAAATTGATATGAAACGATAATGCTAACAAATTGGCATGTTCTTTTTATAATTGCAGAATGGGGGCGACGAAGGGTCATCATCTGGAGATGAAACAGAAAGAGCTAACCACAAAGGTAAATAGCATTCATCCAAATAAAAAGTAAAATTTAAAATCAATTGATTTCTGTATATATTTAATTTTACATGCAGAGTTATCTAATTAAACCTGCATGAAATTTCTACACAGAAATTTTTTTCGCTTTAATGACTCTTATGAAAAAGCATACTTTAATTCCAAATCGCCACTCATGCTTTCACACATGAATATGAATGTACACACACAGTACTAAATAATTGATCATCGATAATTTAATTATTTAGTTGAACCACGGAATAGTTGTTGGAGTTGATTTTATTATGTAGAGTGGAAGAATCACTACAACTTCACAAAGTCAAAGGTGTACATATTACACACAATTACTTATCCGCAAGGCCGGAAGTTTATGAGCATCTGCCCCAATTCTCATGCATTCATCCCATCTGATTCATCAGTTGGTTGTTGGCTTATGTTTCCGTACATCCGTGTGTGAGTCCCACTCCCGGTATTCTTCTTCCTTCCGTTCTTCCTTCCTTTTGCTCAACGGTCACCAGTCAGCAAGTTTCCCAGTCGCAAATGTTAAAATAATTATTATTATCAACCCGAAATCAGGAGTCACTCACCAAGATGCAAGTGATGCATTGTCAAGCATTTTTTTCATTATTGAACAAAATCACCCCAAAACCCAGAAATAAGAGAGAAAACATTGAAATGAAAATGTGATCAGAGTGAATGGAAACTGGATAAGGAAGGAGAGAAAACCCATTTTGGGTTGAATTATTGAATGAGAGAATCTTTAGTCTCCTCAAGATGGGAAGTATTGAATTTCCTAGGTTTTGTCTATCCAGTCATTCTCCTGTCGATCAGCCTTATCTGGACAGAATAAGAGGGGGCAATGGGAAATTAAATGTCTGATTGAGAACATACATACGTATGGATTTCTGCTAAAGATGATCCGTTGGTTTTATGCACATCTGAGGGTTGGTTCGTCTCCTTACGAGCACAATATTGGATCGATGGTGACCTACTCGTGTCGTATACTCAATGAAATTGTACACAAGTGAGCCACATGGATGAGTCAAGAACTCACAAATACGCATCGTCTCGTGCAAAGGATTTTTTTCAAGTTTACTGGAGATTGAGGGAAGAAGAATGCCGGAAACAACTGTGGCCCACGGAGCATTTTTTTGCAGGGAGACAATCAGTTACCTGTTTGTCTGCTCATTAAATTCAGAAATTCAGAAAGCTGCGTAAAGCACGGATGGATGGAGAAGCCAAGAGCAATGAGCGAAGTGCAGTTAGGGTGGAATTAAATAAAGCACAAGCACGAGCCCTTTGATTTCCTAGATAACCCAACTTCCGACCAGGTGTCATCTTTTTATCACGACTTTTGACCGACGCGCAATCCCTGTCATTCCCTCTTCCCTTCGATCCTTATGCATTCCCTGTGCCTTCAACAACAATAAAAGGGTTCCCTCACAATATATAGCTCAACGTATCACCCACACCACCAACCACTTTGTACAGTGTATCTAAATGTATCCTCGCGGAAGCTTTGCCCTGCTGCATGTTTATGCATTTGATATGATTTTGGTTGAATTTTTATACATTCGAGAGTCAAGAGGCTCAGTGTCTTTTTCACTTTGAAACAATAAGAACCATTCTCACATTCTCCGCATCATTTTAACCCTGTGAGTCGGAAGATACTTTCTGTCTGGATTATAATCGTCTTGTATATTATTTTGTGGAGTAGGAGACTATTCCGAAGTGGTGTACAATCTCAGAGGACTTCGTGGTGACCCAGAGCTACATAACACGAGCGGAAGTCTTGGTGGGGACAGTGAGGAGATTGACCTTGATCACGAGGGGCATAACGGAGGAGGTGGAACCACCGAGGAAGACGAAGAGGAAGAAGAAGAAGAAGAGGACGAAAGAGAAAGTCTGCTTGGATCTCACTCTTCGTCTACGGAGCATTTGAACCAGATTAATCAGCATCGCCACCACCACCACCACCATCATCATCATCTCGAACATTTGAGCAATAGTAGTGACAAGATCATCAATAACAACTCCGTCTCACCCAACAACAGCAATAACAACAACAATCATCATAGTGGAGGCTTTGAGGGACTGAGCAGCAGCAGCTTTCTCCTCGGCCACTTATCACGGGGTGAAGTTGGTAACAGGGGCAACTTATCTCCGTCCTTGTCCAACCACTCGGCTGGAAGTCAGAGGAAATATCCTTGCGGTCAGTGTGGACGGTCGCTAACTGACTTTGCAAGTCTGCAAAGACACCTCAGGTACGTTCCCTAAATACAAATAAATGAATGGATAGTACATACACGGCTCAGTAGATGAAATGTTGAAATATTTTATGTTTGTTTTTCCTAAAATCAGGGCTCAACACGCCAGCCCACGAGTAAGTACATTTATCTATATATTTAATCGTAATGTGTGATACGAATATAATTATTTTCTAACTTTTATTTTCAGACTCATGCTTGCGGAGAGTGTGGCAAGACGTTCGCAACTTCGTCAGGTACATTTCATCAAAACGTTCCGAGATGAATTTAGACATTCCGAGTGAAATTGAATCGAAGAATTTATTTCTGTTTTAAGGTCTCAAACAACACGCTCACATCCACTCATCAGTGAAGCCCTTTCAGTGCGAGGTGAGAAAACTGAATTTGTATGAATGAGATGAGACTAGACTGAAACACGAGATAGATTCGGGGCATACAGCAACAAATACAGCACACATGATGGAGTTCTCATTTCTCTCTTTTTTTCTATTCGAACGAGATTTTACTATTACTTTTGTCAGTCACTCGTTCACAAAGCAAAGTTGAATTAGGAGTGCAAGCACACATGCAATATCTTTTATTTATTTAGTCTGATGATACATACATACATATATGTATGATATCTTATAAAATTCTGGTCATCCGGCCGCATTATCACAGTGTTGGCATCATCATTATCAATATCAATTGTCCAAGCGACAAACCATGTTAGGGAAATGCGATTTTGAGCATAAAATCTCACATGTAGGTTTCAGATGCACACTCCAAAAGTTATTTCCAAGCAAAGTTTCTCGAAAGGTGAATGTCATTCGTTGTTGGTGACATGATGTTGTGGAATTATCAGTTTCGTGGAGGAAACCAAGTAACAAGGACGATGACGATGTTCAACTACTGTTGAATCTATTCCACTGCCATTGATCACTCGACAGGAGACTTGTCGGGTTTCCTATTCACAGTCTCATCAACAACCCTCCGCATCCTCACCTTCATTGTGCGAATGATTTCTGTCGGGTTTTGTGGCACCTCTTACAGAGATATATTTCTTATCATCATTCTCTCCTTATTATTCTGCAACGATGAGATGAATTTTTGGTTCATTTTATCAAGACAAGAATTGATAGAGACATGAGGGGTGCTTTATTAACAAGAAGAATGACATTTGTAATGCTTTCATATATGTATGGTCCAAAATATCGTAGATTATGATATGCCGGACACCACAAAATTTGTTGTTTGAATACATTCTGTTGATTTTATATCCAAATAGTGTGCATAAATGTACAAATTATTACTATAATAATCGAGGTTGTTAATTTATGTATCAACCAATTTCAAGACAAACTTTGTTAAATTTCTAGGTTTGTCTCAAGAGTTACACACAGTTCTCCAACCTCTGTCGACATAAGCGTATGCACGCAGGATGTCGAGCACAGTCCCGGTACGTACTTATTAGCAACACGGTTTATTAAATAAGTATTTTATGGCACTTGTGGTGCAAGTTTTTGAAAGAAGATACTTAATCATGAATTTTTCTTGTTATCTTGTTTCAGGTGTGAAAAATGTACTGCACCATTTGCGTCAAGGTATTTAATGAGCGTTCTATATCATTATAATGAACAATTATGTGTTTTAGCCTGTCAATTAACTATTATTTTGTATCCATCTTTTAACTAACAGCGCTGCCCTTGCTAAGCACAAGAGATTTTGTGACGCCGCATCAACCGTTGGAAAAAGTCATTCTGTGACACGGTCACTCAGTCATTTTCAATTCCAACAGTTGCAAGCTTCATCGACTAGAGAAAACTCAAAATCAGGTCTGAAACTGAGTCTCAGAAGTTTGGACCGTGAGCTGTTGAAGGGTGATAGGAATTTGCGTGAAAGGAAGGAAAAGGAGATCGATCGAGGGGTGGAACAGGAAAATCCACCTCTAGTTTCTGACCCCACTGTCAGTTCTGTTAGCAAAGGAGACAACAACAACTACAAAAATCCGATGGAAGCTCTTCTTGATGTTGGTGGATTAGGGGGAGCCAATTTGTCCCCCAACAATTTGACTCACCTTATCCGCAATGCCAGTGTTGGCCGGAGAAATCTTCACATGCCCCACCATCATCAGTTCCCCATCAACAATAACCACATTTCTCGTCCCAGAAAAAGTAGCCCTCATTCTAACAGCAATTCATCCCAATCCTCTCCAAGTATATCTAGCTCAAAAGATGATACTTCCAAGACTCTGGCACACTTAAATAGTCGTCGCAGTCCTTCAGAGACACTGATGAACTCCAAGACACTCCAAGGTTCTGGATTTTCCCCATTAATGTTTCCACCCTCCTTGCCAATGTACAACCCGTTTGCAGCTCTACCCTTTGGCCCTCAACTGTTTGCAGCAGTTAATGCTCGGCATGGCGCAATGGAACTTATGAACGGGGAGTTTCATAATAAAGGGAGGCAGCCGCCCCCGCAACAACAGCCTACAAATTTAAACAATGGGAGGCGATCAAGGACTCCAGTATCTTCTTCGTCAAGAAGCCCATCACTGTCTCCACCACGACGATTGCATGATCCGGTGCCGTTTAAATCGGGAGAAGAGATGGATAATGACGAAGTTATTGATGGGAAAAAGGACACTCCTTTAGATTTAAGTTTGCAGAAAAATGCAGATGACGAAGAAGGTTCAGATAATCCCAAAGATTTCTCAGATGAAAGCACATCAACGCATGCAAATAATAAGGAGACCAAAGAAAGGAACAAGAAGAGATCTCGTTCTTCTACTCCTGTTGTCGTTACCCGAACCAGCACACCCCCAAGTTCCCGGAAGGACATTATACGGGATCAAATTATTTCTGCTGTCGCAAGAATGAGTAGCAATGAGTCACCAATTAAAAGGGAACGGAATGATTCTCCAAACGTCTGCAACAATAATCAGCCTGTATTTCCTCATAACCACCCATTGAGAAGTAGCAATGGCCCCAACGGGTTGAGTTTAGAGGGTGCTGCAGCTGAAAAGAAGGCATCTGCATTTTCGCAAATAATTGCACCTCGAGCAATGCATCCGTTCCCAAGATTTTCGCATCCACCATCTCATTTCCCAAGCCTACCTCCAGGGTTTCCCCCAAATCCATTCAACCCATTTTTTCATAACACGCTCTCTCCAAGGAACGATATTGGAAATTCACTTGTTGGTCAGAATCCAGTTTGGCAGGGGAAAGCAGGAAGCAGGTACATTTTGAATAATTCTACTCAATTGTTCAATTATCAACGGGAGTAATGACAATTTTGTGTAAAATCTAGATACACGTGCAAATATTGTGGCAAGGTTTTTCCTCGATCGGCAAACTTGACGCGTCACTTGCGAACCCACACAGGCGAGCAACCCTATAAATGCAATTTTTGTGAACGATCATTTTCCATTTCATCCAATCTTCAAAGACATGTCAGAAATATCCACCATAAAGTGAGTTTAAACTTTATAAGATGACCAAAGTCTTTAATTTTCTTAACCAAGGATCATTTCAACCTCAACTCATAATAGTGATGATAATTGTGATAGGAACGTCCCTTTGTCTGCCCATTGTGTCAGAGAACTTTTGGGCAACAAACCAACTTGGATAGACATTTACGAAAACACGAGACTGGGGACAATCTCGACAACGACTCACTCTCACCTTCCCCATCTCCTCCAGCAACCAAAGTACTTATCGACGTGTCTCACTAATAACAAGTTTTCTGTATATATAAGATATGCATAACCATGTAGTTCTTGAAATCTCTTCACCCTCCTTAACCCACATTCCCACCCACCCACATTCACTCTCTCTCTCTCTCTCGTTAGACTCTTGGATACCGTGACATTGTTAGCTATAATTGTACAATATTCAAAAGACGCCTTTTTTAATCTTCGAGTCTTAATCTTCAACGTAATATTATACTGTTTATCAAGTCCTTTAAAACTATTAAAATTAATTAATTAATTATGTGTCCTAGTCCCTGTAGCGCAAAAAGCTCATACTCGCACGCTTTATGTACCCAATATGTCAGTTTAGTCGAATTCCAATAAAATTCGCAATTAGTAATGTCATTTTAAGTATTTCTAATGGTTTACATAGTTTTAGAGTTAGAGTTTCTAGTAGCATGACACTGATTAGTTAGAGAAATTCACAATCAAATTTTAAAACATAAAAACATTACATAATACTTAATAGTAAAATAATATGTATGTATCACAGGGTAAGCTGATGCGTGTTGCCGTAAAATTCTAAACGGCTTCGTTATTCTCGCTGCCCTGATTTACTTTCTCGTACTCTGTTCATGTTTGTAACGCATGACGAATGATGATGATTATCACTTTACAATAATTCTAATATCAATATTCTAGAGCTATAGTTCAAGGCTAATGCACAAAGGTCATTTAGTATATGGATTAAAGTGTCAACTAAAGTATGATTTATTTTTTATTTGAATTATAAAAGATCAATGATCACATATTTATAACAAAACACGTTCGTAATTATTCAAATTCAAACATAACAGCAATCATGGCCTGCATTTTTTTGAAGAACGCACATACATATGTAAATGTTTGCATACAGTTGTTTAAAGTGATTCTGTGGTAATAAATGTTCTTGCTTTTGAGCATCGACACAGATCACTGGTGTGACATCAGTCTTAATGAAGAATGAACTACAACAATAATAAACAATATTATTTCAGCATGTGTTTAATTTTTTATTTCAAAAACAAACTAGTACAAGAATTGCACGACATATACATATTAATAAGTTAAGCATCGGGAACATCAATATTATGCATATTGAACAGTTTCTCAAAGTATGTACCGTAAATAACGTGGGGGGATGAACATTGTTTGGTTTCAACAAGTAAGTATATAAGTATGTACGTCAAAATTAATAACAATATTAATACTCATTTAAAACAATTTTGCTAATATGTACATCCAGTGTATAATCTCGGTAAAATCTCAGTTTAATAAATACACACGTTCAATTTACAGACGTTGTTAAGCTAACTAACCGTTACACAAGATATCCAAATGGCAGTGTCAATTATTACCTATAAAAATCTAAGTCTGTTTATTCACAAAACAAAGTTTTGCGAACATTAAAATACTGACGGTTAATAATTAAATAAATACATAGTATCATGACGGACGTTATAGTTTCAAGTGTTACAATTGTGAAAGTACTCGTATTACATAGTTCTGATTTTCTTGGAACATTTGTGTGGAAGGCATCTGAATTCTAAATGGATGGCACATTAGCATTTTTTACCAATATTGAATGTAGGGCAATCGTTATACTTACTAGCAACTTGTTATGATTTCATTATCGTGTGCAAAATTACCTACTAAAATATGGACAGCAACTAGATTAGACACAGTGGTATACATACAGTACCCATATTATGGCAACTTTGAGAAAAAATTTGGATGGTTGAAGGAAATGAAGGGTTATGGGTAACTGGTTTTCTCAATTTTTTGTTCAAAAGATGACTGGAACAAGGACTATTTCTTAATTAAAAAACCGTCAATTTAAAACTGTAAATCAATCAAATTATCTTCCCGAGTACATCGGATTTTTGAAAGTCGATGTTGCTTGTTTGTAGATAGGATTTTCTCCCTGTAAAAATACAGAATGAAAATTTTCAGAACTATTATATATCATTTTAATTTGTACTATAATATAGTACATACAAATTTATGTATAATATACAGTATATTTATATGAAGTATGAAAATCTATATATAAACAGTTAACTTACAGCATCCCATTTTGCACTGCAAATATACAATGAAAATATTGAATTACACCTTCGATACATACATCACATTTGAGTTTCGAATATTGAGACCGTAGAATTAAGAACGAAGAATTAAGACCAGAACTCACCTCATTCTTTCCTTTTCAAACCGAGCATATTCTGCTCGATCATGAATGTGAGTCAAGAGTTTCCATAATAAGATGAAAAGTAACCCAACCAGCACAATAGCTCCAACCACTCCAGATATGATCCAAAAAATCGGAGGCTCCTGCACAAATAATTTATTGTTATAATATGCCTTTGGTTTGCAACAGTATTTATACATGTACATACCGGAGGACAATCTTTGGTTCGTTGAGCTCGAATATAAAGTTTTCCAAGGACATCGTAGCCATACACAAAATAAAATCTACATCCATCAGAATGATCTGTGAAGGCACAATATTTCTCTTCACTTTCTTCATCGCTACTAGCCACATCCACCTTCTCAGGCTCAGGGAAATTTACACACTCGTTTTCGCAAATTTCTGGTTGCTGAAAAATTGAAATGGAAAGGCTATTAACAGGAAAGAATCAGCTTTCATTCAATTACAAAATGCTTATGCTTACATTGAACTCTCCAGTACCATGCACGCGACACTGAACACAATCTTTCAGCTCTTCGCACCTTCCAGGGCATGTCTGTAAAAAAATTGCAGTAAGTATATAATATGTTAGCCAAGTTCCATACTGAGTTTAAAAACTTGGAATTATAATTGTACGTACTGGGCATTTTTCACACCAACGTCCATAGTATCTTGCTACGGTAGTATTGCATGAACATTTTCCGCAAACGCAATTGCCGTGACCGTTGCAAGGAATCGTATCTCCAGGCTCCACACAAGTATCCTGCAGCAGGGAACACTGACATGCGTCGCCAGACCAGCCAGGATTGCAAATACATTTACCACAATCACAACGTCCATGACCAGGCCCAGAGCAGATTAACTATCGGAGAAATGCAATTTTTAGAGCCGTTAATACTCTAGTAAAAAGATACATAATAGAAACTAACGGTAGAGTTAATATTATTATTTATATGTCTTCATTAATATTATATCTACTAATCTCTAATATGCAAAACACACATTATTTCTCTTACTTCGCTCTCTCTTGGACAGTTGAAGTTGTCACACTCACAATACTGGCCATCAATTTTCTGAAAAGTACAAAAATTGTACCATGTGACAAAACATCACACCTTATATAACTGGTTAGAGATTGCACTGCACCTCTAGTGGATTTTCACGTTGGAAGCATTCGCATTGTCCTACAATTAGCATAAAAGAGTTATAGGTGTTTAAGATGCACATATTTTCAAACTTTACAAATTCTAGAAAACGAGCTGTATAAAATAAATGCTTACCACAATTGCAAGTCCCACGCCCAGTGCAAATAATATCCGTTGTGTTATCAGCTCTGCAGCCACTGTCATCTTCCACTCGGGTTCCGCCACCTCCTTCCACATCGCACTCACACTTTCTCCCAAAGTGCTTTTCATCACACTCACAAACACCACAAGTTAGAGTTCCAAATCCCCCACATTCTGGAGAAAACTCTTCATAGCCCTGAATTTAATAATATGAATTATATTTCTCCCAAATTAAAAAATTATTGAACATATATCAGTAATGTTTTATTCTTACAGGATTTCCGGGAGTTTCACAAGGACAATCGCAGATACTGGAAATCATATTAAATACATGTTATATGAGTTTTGTTCAACAACTTATTGATAAAAGTTGACCATAAGATGATCCTTTAAGCAAGCATGATAATAACCAACCTCTCCAAGTCCACAGTTAAGCTTTCCTCAAGGCCAACTCGGTAAATGGTAAACTTTTGTCTCCAATCTATTGGATCTTTAGGACATTCCGTTACTTCGATTTTTACTTTGAAGCTAGATAATTATAGAACAAAAATATAATTTGAAAATTATTCAAGCATGTAATTCCCGGTCATGTAAACTCACTTTACAACATCTCCGACTCTAAGGCCGCTACATTTGTTTGTCTCAACCCACGTGGGAGGGTCCACACAATTAGAAAAATATGAGACCTTAATGAATGCAGACGCTGTATCTTTCAGCTCCACTGAAGACGTTATTTTCTGATACTGTGATTTCACTAATTCCACAACGTTCTTGGAATCTGCAGCCAAAACTCCACAACTTGATCCCTGCAAAGTCATTAAAAAATTTTAATAGTGGGTCATGACATTGATTCAGATTCATGACGATGAAAAGAGTGCCAAATATTTAGCTTGAATGAAAAATATAAGAATTATGAATTATAAAAATGTCACTTTTACCTCAACTTGCTGACTCAGTCTTTCATAGATATCAATTTGCTCGGCTGTGACGGCAAAGATCATATTTATTGACTTTTCTTTAACTTTAGAGTTAATGTGTGCCACGGAAGGGTAGTCTTGTATGGTTGAGTATGTGTATTCCTGAGAACAATGAAGGGAGTTATTTTAAATACATGAATAAACATGCACGAGTACAAATTTACATGGCAAAATTTAAAAACCTCTCTGTGCACCACTTACCCCACGAGAGTCCAAATGACATTTACCATCATTAGGTTTCACAATTCCTCCGAGCTATTTTTTACAAATTAATTAAAGGTTTGTGATAATGCATCATAATTTTGCCAAAATTTCACGTTTAAAATGTGCACTTTTGAGTTAATAAATAAATAACATTAATCATCATACCAAACCATCTCCAGCATAATGGAAGGATGCGTCAGTTGAAAATACAATTAACCGACGCGCTTGTTGTCTCCACCCTAATATGCAAAACAGACTTTTGTATTGAAGTTATATTTTACTTTATTATTCAAATATTACCTATCTGATCGCATACAATTGCTTGCATGATAGCGTCGAAACCACCCTCTGGAGCGTCTAAATTGCCAGATACCCGTGCGGATTTGACCTCACCCTACATTATAACTCATTTTAAAACCAAGACAGATTTATGAATTATAACGCCAAATTAAAACAAGCATTTCCAACAGTGGAAAGCAGACAGTTATATTTAAGTATTTAGAAGTTTATTGTGCGTGGTCGAATCTTTGTACCAATTATTACTGTAAATTAGTCAAATATTATCATTATTTGTTCATACGGTCGGGATTACTTGGATCGGTCTGTTTGATTCAAGTTAACCCAAGGTAAGTGTTGTTTGTATCATGTTACTTGTAATCAAGTCACCGAATGCAAAGTCTTTGGGATAGAAAACATAAATTAAATGAAACTGCTAAAGAAAGCTATAAATAGCAAATTGTGACAGGAAGCAGAAAAGACAATTAAAGCGATACAGATAAGGTTGGTGTACATAAATAGGTGTATATTTGAACGGAGGTCATTCGCTTTAGTAGATTTATTAGAAATAATTATGACAAATCTCAACTCGTATAAAAAGAATGTCGTGACATTTTTCTGAAACTTACTGAAAATCTTTGGGTGTCTCGTGATAAAGACATGACGTTCTGATAGCCGAAAGGACTCACACAGCCCGGGCAAGGTTGCAGCAAGCTGGTCATACATTTTAAATTAGCCTCAGATTTTTTTCTTAGTAATTAAACCAAATTATTAAAATCAATTGAAAGGGCTTATGAGCTTCGTCAGTTGTGGGTGGCGATAAACTGACAAATACAACTCATTATCATTAAATTTTGATCCAATTCTTTAAAATACTTGAAAATATGGCTACGACCTTTACAAAAAAATTCTCTGCATTTTTCAGTGAGTCCTCCATTTTGCAACACCACCATCATCGTGTTGTTAAAATTTTCTAAAAATTATACAATACCAGCCATAAAAAGCCATGGCTAAATGCTATTATGTAAATCTTACTGAATCCAGCAATCTATGCAACCCAGAACCAAAAAATAAAGCAACCGTGTGGACAAAAAAATGCAAATATAACCAAAAACAACATTAAAAACGAAGTTCGCAAAGGCACATAGGCCATATGCATTTTACATACAAAAAGTCCAGCTAAAAAGAAGACAAAAATTTACAGGCCTAAAGAAGATTGTCACCAGTTCGAGCTAATTCGGATGTGGTCAAAAATATGTACATCGCGAGTCAAAAATTGTCGTGCTCGTCAAAAAAACTATGCATACGTCTGCATACGCAGGAGCATTTACGTTATTGCTTTTAAAAACTTGGTGCATAGACAGATAAATGCACGAAACAAAACAAAAATAGTTTCTGCAAATCTGTTATGCACTTACAGAAAATCTGCTTGTGTTGGTAGTGAGGTGAAGATGGCTGACAAAACCGTAAGGCGCTACGCACCCGCTGCAAGGCTCTGAAATCCTAAGCCCCTTCAACTCGTTTTTAATGATTCTTTATATTGTCAAAGAATGAGGGAACTCACGTCACAGTTTGTAACCTTCGTAACTGCGTAAGGTTTGTAAGCTTACAAACTTTTACGAACTTTTACACACATTTCTAAGGAAAATTGACTTACGAACTTTTACGAATCTTACGCACTTCAAAAGCATGTTTTTGGTTCGTAAACAAAAGTTCGTAAATAATTCGAGTGTTTGAGATCTGAATTTTCGGTTGAAATTGTCTTAGAGACGAATTGTCTATTGTACATTTTTATGTGATCTCGTCCCGACATGCAAATTAATTTAATTATTTAACAAAAGATTGCTGCCAGCCGAAAATATTGGTCGCTATCCGACCAGCCCCCAAATGTCAAATCTGGGCTAAATTGACACACTTCATCCAGAGGGGTATCAATCGATCGGTCTTGATCATACGATCATTTTGGTATATTATAGAATTTTGTGACATAAGAAATGGCTGTGTAATTCCTGAAAAACTGATATTTCAGGCAAAAAAATTCAAAAAAATTACATGTCATTTGGTGTACGCTAGGATAAAGTTGGCTAGCAACATTTTGATGACGTTTTATATGCGATATTTTTTTTACTAAAAAATGTTTACGAAAATGTTTACAAAGTCAACTCACGTCAAGAGTGTGTAAACTTACAAACCTAACGCAGTTACGTAGGTTACGAACTTGACGTGAAATCCCTCAATGTTAATAATATATGCCAAACCAAAGACAAAAATTACTTTTTTTCAACAGTAGACACGAATGGCATCACCTGCAAGACATTAACGATACAAATTAAGTGATTCATGGTAATTAATTAACTTTAAAGAATGAGTTCCTTTCAACGCTCAAGTTTCTGATTTGAATTACATATTAAAATTTGTTTCCTCTTAAGATGAGTTGTAACAGTACAGGTCTGGTCTTTTTTTAAATATTTAATCTGTTAAAGTTCTCACCACTTTGTCGACGAAGGATCCAAACCCCAGGCGAAAGTTCGAGGTAAGGTTTTGCATTGTTTCTGACAGCAGATTTCCTAGATTCGAAAGCTCTTCCTAAGAAACGCCAATAAAGAAATGTTTATGTATGAATATAACTAATAATTATTCAATCACAATAATCAATAGCTTTTTAACGTGTCACTACACCTTGTCATCTTCCATGCTTTTCGACAAGTCCATTAAGTAATACAAGTCAACCGGATAGTCCTCAGCTGAAGGAACAGAAAGATGAGTTTGATTACTACAATTTTGCAATACAATAATATTATAAACATTATAATATTTTACCCTGTGCGTATTGCATATTCAAATCAAATGATTGGCCAACTCTTAATTTCAAGTAAACATTTTGAGGTCTAATTTGAATAGCTTCACGGTGCTCGCTTCCTTTTGTTATTTCCTCGTCTCTGATAAATTCATTCAATTAATTAAATTGACTAGTAACAACCCCAGGTATTTCATTGCATTGACACTATAATTTATAAACATGCTTGCTCACTTTCTGAGTTCAAATTCATGGCTCGGATTGATCAAAAAGTCATCTCGACACCGAGTTTCGCTTGGATAGGCCAAGTGCTTCGTTGCAGTGTTGCATCGAGGATAAGGATTCCTTGCAGAGCGTTCATATCTCTGTTCAAACATTCACAAACAAACAAAAAGAAATTTAGCTTTGTATGCAGCTCTACCTGTATTTATTCACCCCATTATTTGCTTACAGATAAGTTCATATAAACCAAACACATTCACAAGCTGTATTTAATGTAAATGTGCACTTACAGGCTGAGAACACCACACACAATCCGGACTCCGAATGCACTCCCCACAAGATTTCTTTGCTGTACAAGACGAGCTATTGGTTTGACCGAAAGCAGAGCCTATGACCCCTGCGACGAGTAGCATGGAAACTACAATGACCTGTCTATTTCCGAGTCGTCGAAACATGATTTTTCTAAAATTTTCACTTAGCCTACAGAGATCCAAATATTTGAGTGGGGTGGGCACACCCGTTCCCCAACAAAAACAATTTAAAATCCCAGCCGGTAACACAATTCAGGCCGTATATTTAACTACTGCTTTTAGCTGCGTGGGTATTGAACGCAGCAGAGTCGCAAACTTGCTTAACACTACACTGCCACAATTGGTTACATTCAGAATGACTCGTTAAAGGGACATTTACTTGTTTATAAAGTGAATGTGTTGTTGATCACCTCCTTGTTCAATACATCTTACGAAAAAATTGTCGTTTGCGCACTGAATGAATACATATATGTATAGCTCTGTTATTACTTAAACAATGTAACAGTTATAAAATTATTACAGTATTTAAAACCCACTGTTCCAAATAATCAGTAAATTATTTTACGGAGAGTTAGTTTTAACCGTGCCAAGTTTTGTTTTGGGGAAGGAAGACGACCGAGAGTTCATTCAGTTTAGAGAGTTGGTTGGAGATGACGAGTATGCGTGGGCATCCAGCAGAATCAACTTCCACCATAGGACGACGTTCTATCCTGCAGTGTGATTAAACAATCCTCGCATAAGAAAATCCGTCTACCTCGTCTTCTTGCTCACTTTTTTATGCTTTATTTAACCCTCCTACATATTAGAACATGGGTCTGCTATGTGATCATCACTTTCGATGATAGTAAACGAGAGTGAGTAATGCAAATGAGAAGTGAGATGATACACGCTAAAGACACTCCCTGCATACGTTTAGCACTACGGGTATTTTTCTTAGATCCGAGAAAGCCCAAGTTCCGGTTATTTAGGAAGTATGTACATGTATGTATGAAAGTGTTGAACTGAGGATGAGGTTATATCTTTCCGTGACTGAGGTCTGACCTAAAATAAAACCAGATTTGTACCACTTTGCCTCGTCAACTTATCCTTTCCTTCCGATTTTTTGTGTATTCAAAAGAGTAGGTGATTGTGGCAAACGCAAACTACATATTCCCTTATTTGTCAGCTTCAAACTCCAATTACAGAAAGTCGTTGTTGGAGCATGCAGCAGCCTACATGATATACAGAATACAGATCATGTTTTGGTCAGTGTCTGGTGATGTAATAAAAATACATGTCTGTGTGATGCTGGATGGAATTCTTTGTGTGGATACGAGGAAAACAATGTAACGCTTACTCTTATATAGGAACAACCCTTTCAATTCCGCTTTGGCACACCTACGCCCACAATTTCACTAAATTTTATACACAATGAATATACACTTCTAATACTTCTTCGACTTTTAAGACACCTGAGTTGTGTTTCTATATATTTTCAATTACATTGCATATCAATTATTTGTATATACATGCATATTATTAATATTGGGGGTTCATATCATATCATGTCATAACAAATGTACTTGATATGGACTAGGTTCCAAGTTCGATTTTCATTTTTTAATTAAAATAGATGGATGCTTGTTAATTTCAAATTCGTTTTAAAAATTGCATGAAGCATTAGCATGTGTACCACACATTGCGAAGGTTACTACAATCACTATGAAATATCGTCTACAAAAATATGACACCTTTACTGACGATTATGAAATATTTTGTATAAAAATCAGTTGAACAATTACTTTTCCTGTAGATATTTCCAGTGACGTTCAAAATATAGACAGATACATACGTTCATCCCACCCAAAATACATTTGAATTTTGAGATACTCAACCTAAAATTTTCTCGAAATTACAAGATACAAAATCTGTATTTTGTGTTTTTGATACATTTGTATTTTAAAGATCTGTATTTTAGCCACCCCTGCTCAAATGTAGGTATATAAAAGACCCCTTTCTTTGATTGTTGGAGGAGAATGTATGCATAAGTAAGTACAACCAAAATTCGTTTGTTTAGGTGTTCGTGCGGGTTAAAAGCCAAGGTTTAACATGTAAAACTCAAGTCAAAGTTAAAGCCTATATAGCCTATATACTGTATATGCTCATAATGTACTTATACAGCTCCATGATATATGCATACGTACGTAAAAATAAATGGTTCATAGCATATAGGTTTCAGTAAATATGTGATCAGTTAGTTTCACTTTCCTGCAATAGGATTATTACTTTCGGGATTGAGAAATATGTCGATGGCTGATATTCTAAATCGTGACTTTCCTCCTCATACATCTGAAGCATTAAATCTAAGTCAATGAGAGTTGAGTAAACAAAGAGCAACGAAAAAAGAAGACGCATTCTCAGCAATGAGTAAACTTCCCTATACTTTTAGGTGTTCAGCTTTGAGCCTCCTCGACTTCCGGCGAGAGATGAGATTATTAGTATATCGAAAGTTCGTAGGTTTTATACACATAATCTAGAATCGTCCCTGAAATTAAAATTAATTAATTCGCATACAGAGATGTAAACAATTGATAAACCTCTGTTTCCTACATACATATAGTTTGCGCAATAATATAGACGTCATTTCATTCGTGAACGGTTTTCCCATAGGACGTTTATTATTGCAGGTGACGCTTTTTGCTATATGGCAGTAAATTACAAATATTATCATTACGCACTTCGACAGACTTGGATATACATAGATGATGCAAGTATGAGAGTTCTTTGATATTTACTTATTTTGTACTGCGTCAACACCGTAGTTAAAAGGACTAAATTACAAACAAATAACCTATAATTCGGAAATAGAAAATCCTGTTGCGAAACCTAGTGTAAAACAAAAAGTCTAGTATGTGAACATAAAAAATTCTCAAATTTGAGAAAACTTGACTAATTTTAAGTATTTCCAATTCCGACAATAGTAAAGTTGCACCTTATTACATAAACCAGAGTAATACAGACTCTGCAGTGCAACGCATCATCATGCAAAGCTGCACTTGATTTTAATTTAAAGCAATAGATGACAATAATCATGGATGAGTTTCCAATGAGTAGTGCCGTTAGTGACTGACCAACTGCAACTCTCGTGCAAATCTCCAGTGAGTGTATGTCCATTCACTTTTGATTATGCGAGATTTGTGCATGATTTACTAGGCTTTTAAGCCTTATATTAATCATAATTTGTTCTACCGTGTCTGCAGAGCTGAGCTCCCTGTAAAACGCCGGTCGGTCTCATGATGATGATGATCACAGACAGCGTGACAATTTCATGATCACATAGCAAGTCTATTATACAAATCGTGCAACCCATTGTTGCATTTCGACTGTCCTCCTGACTAATTAAATGAATGAGCGTTTAAAACTGGGGACAGATTAGCATATTATTTATCTGAACGAAAAATGATGACTGATAGTAACTGCCCTGATAACCTGCTTGGTATCAATCCCCATCTTCCGAACGTCATACTTCAAGAAAAAACAACCTCACAACAGAATTAGCATTGGGAATTTTACCTGTGTAATCAGTGATTTCAGATGATATTGCGTTAAGAAAACGTTAATTGCCCACATGCACACGTATCCGAAATCATAAGTCGAACACTCTTTTGCAATGAGTAAAACATGAGCCAGAAACAGCCCATGTTCACGCCATAATTTACCGGCGTGCATTCGCAAATTATGTTACAATATTATGTTATACACATCCTGTATATTATTAAACTCTGTAAGTATTTTCGACCAAATAATAATTATAGAGAATTTAGTAAAATTTTCAAATAATATATGAATATTGAATACGAATATACTCAAAGATTGTTTCAAGTTTCATGCAACTAATATGTATATTTCATTTGCATTCTTATTGTAGCATTTTATAAGTTCAATTAACACTTGAACAATGTATGTCCTTAATGTAAGTTCTGTTCACGGTTTTGATAAATTAAGGTCTTTAAATCCGTACAAGTCATGGCATTTGTGAAAGAGCCTGTCTTTTTAGAGGCAGATAACACTGCAGAATTTTGCACATTTGGATCCAGGATTTAGCAAATGGCAGGGAAAAGATGAGCCGTGGCTCCTCCGTGATTTTTTATTCACCAGCAGCACACACATTACAGATCTGCCCCTACCTTCAGCACAACACGGAGGCAACACATGCGCGTTTATAAAATGCAGAGGCCAACCCTTGACAGTTGTCAGTCCACTTTGTTCACTGGTGAGAGAACGTCGTGTGGTTCCATTTTTCCTACTCCCAGTTATCGATCCATTTTACCTCAAAGCGCACTTTTACCATCAATTATTTTTGGACTCTCTCCCCCTCGTTCTTTGCCGCTATTATTGTTTTATCACGCTGATTTTGAAGAAACAGAAAAACAAAACCTTTAGCCAACAGCTGAGCGGAGCCTGTGTGTAACCTTATTAGATAACATTCCAGCAGAGTGAAGAGAACGAGCAATGTCGGCAAAAGCAATTCGTGAAGCGACGGGAAAGACGATCCTTAACTCGGCCTTGGCGAAATGTCCACACTTTTCGCCTTGCCGGTTCGCCTCAGTCGATGAGGATAGTTTGGGCGATGGGCTGCTAAACAACAATGCGTGGTTGACCTCCACACCCCTCGTTGTCAAACCGGACCAGCTGATCAAACGCAGAGGAAAGTTGGGGCTTATCAAGGTCAATGTAGACTTCCCAGGGGTGAAGCAATGGCTCAGTGAGTTTATGCTGAAGGAAATTAAGGTACCAATCAATGCATGGTTTAATAACTTCATCTCCTCAGTATTTTTCAATGTTATTGTACTTTTACTGTATGTGTTAACGGTTACGAATGGAATTGCCCAAGGTACAAGAAAGGAAAATGATATTTCATGATTTGCTGATGGCGACCTTGACCTTCGAACTCTTTCATTCAGCCAGAATGCAATAAATGTCTATGTAACCGTGATAAAATCACTTTGAAAAGAGGATATTTTATAATACAAAGTTAAGTGGAGGTTAACAGACACAGGGAAATACTAGAAAACTCGGTATGATGCAACTAGGAATACGTCATATTATCTTAAAAGTAAATCTTGCTTACTTGAGGATGTGGATTACGAAACTTTAGCAGCGGTAGCATCCTCTCTCTTGTAATAAATGATCGGCAATGCACATATATTTGTAACACAAGGCTGGTGTGCTACTAAATATCAGATATTAAAATGGAAAATACTATTAACAAGACAAGGACACGAGGTGGCAAGTTCGTTAGTGATGTTTGGAATGGTTATCAGTATAACTTGACCCGTTTTTAATACACAAGACAACCACCGGCGACTTCTTTTTATGATGAAAACTTTCATCAAGATAATTTTTGAAGCGAATGGATGAGTATATATACGTACCATTATAATTATTACAATTCTCACGGATTTCCATTGTCGTGTGTAGTTGGTTGCATATTTTTATAAAGGTTTCAAGATACCGTTTATTTTTAATTGCGGCAAAGTCTATTAATTTTAGTTAAGGCTATTAATGCATGATGTGTTAATGTTATCGATATCGTTATCCTTAAATATCTTTTTCCATATGCCGGTCAACGATTGACCATGTTGACAATGAGCAGATTTGTTCCCTTACATATTTAATAACGGGTACAAATACGGTACCCATATTACTTCTAAAACTACATATGCAGTGGGAAGTGTTGGAAGTAGAAGTAAGATGGTTTACGAGGTAGCGATATAAACCAATCATTAAATTCCATCCTTTGCAATTGCCTTAAGGCATGTGAAACTACATACATACGCATAACCTCGACCGGTTTATGTAGTCGAAGCAGTTGTCCAGCCAATCACTGCTTGAGAAAATATCTTTCAAAATATGTGATGACGTGGATTTAAAGGGTTAATAAAATTTCTGAATCTCAGCATTCGATAAATCTCTGCGTTATGAAATGATGATGATAATGATATGACATTGGTCTCATTCAGATGTATGACACGTTTATATTTTATATGTAATCTACAAGTAATTTTGTTTCATTTTCAATACAGATTGGCAGAACTAGCGGAAAATTGCGCAATTTCATCATCGAACCATTTCTTCCTCACGCACAGGTATATACTACAAATGATTTCGCGTGCTTGGTCTACGCCATTTACTTGGCTCCTATTGAATTTTTGTACAAATGGCTATATAAGTACTTTTCTTTAAATAATCCCAGTTTGTTATATTGATTTTTTTATCCCCTATATTTTATTGATAGGACGAAGAATCATATGTATGCATCTACTCTCACCGAAATGGAGATACAATTCTGTTTCATCATGAAGGGGGTGTGGACATTGGAGACGTTGAAGCAAAGGCAAAGACACTTCTGGTTCCCATTGACACCACACCCACTGCTGAAGAGATTAAAAAAACTCTTTTAACAGACGTCGCAAAGGACAAACAAGAGTATGCATTCAAAAATTTGCATAGATAAAATAAAATGCTAACTAGCTCTTCCTGACGAATTTCCACATTAAATATATACTTTTTGTTTCATGTAGAATGGTGGCCCAGTTCGTTGAAGCACTTTATAAAGCCTATGTGGATTTGTACTTCACATATTTGGAAATTAACCCATTGGTTATCACTGGGGGAAAGGTGCACATTTTGGACCTTGCTGGTAAGCACGTATTTCATTACTGTGCACATTATTTATATTACAAGATATGACACGAAGATACAGCTTTTACTAAATATGCATTTTTTGCAGCAAAATTGGATGCGACAGCAGATTTTATTTGTCGAGGCAAATGGGGTGAGATTGAATACCCTCCTCCTTTTGGACGAGACGCGTATCCTGAAGAAGCGTATATAGCAGACTTGGATTCGAAATCGGGTGCTAGTTTGAAGGTATAGCTTGTTACGATCAATTTATTAATAAACTTCACAATAAGATTTAGATTAAGACTTTATTGTTTATTTTTGTTGCAGCTGACTTTGCTGAACAGTGCTGGACGTATTTGGACAATGGTTGCTGGTGGTGGGGCTTCCGTAATTTATAGTGACACGATCTGTGAATACGGTGGTGCAAGCGAACTTGCCAATTATGGTGAATATTCTGGGGCGCCGTCAGAGCAGCAAACTTACGAGTACGCGAAAACAATCTTGAGTTTGATGACCAAGGAAAAACACCCGGAAGGAAAGGTTCTCATCATTGGAGGTGGCATTGCTAATTTCACGAACGTTGCAGCTACTTTCAAGGGAATTGTTCAAGCCCTGCAAGAGTTTCAAGTCAAACTGATTGATCACAAGATATCGATCTTTGTGCGAAGAGCTGGCCCAAATTATCAAGAAGGTTAGTAATGTTTTGCTTTGCGGCAAATTTATTCCTCCGAGTGATGTTCAACATACAGACGTTATGAGAAACAGGAGTAGCTGTAAATAATTGGCGTTTACAAAAATAGCCAAGATTTTGTAATTTTGAAATATAAATTTTGATGGATGATGTCTACACCCCGGCTAATTTATTCTATAGGTTTAAGGGTCATTCGTGAGATTGGAACTAATCTTGGAATCCCCCTACATGTTTTCGGACCGGAGACACACATGACGGCTATCGTAGGTATGGCTTTGGGGAAAAGACCCATCATTGAACATGCCGAAGGACATTGCCCAAGTACTACAGCTAATTTCTTGCTTCCTGGTGGACAGACTGATGTTGTGAGTGATATAATTTTACTCAACGTCTAAGCTTACTAAGATGTAACAACAAGTAAATAAATTTTACAAATTGTAAATGGTTGTTGCTTCAGAAAAGTCCAGTTGCGTCACGAAAGACATCAACTGCATCTGGAAAGCCAGCCATAGACGTGATTGACAGTTCAGTGAAACCTGAAGGAGCACTTTTCCACCGGGGTACAAAAGCAATCATTTGGGGGTACGTGTCAACTTCAAAGTAGTTGTGCTGCATAAGTAGTGGGAATTATGTATATTAACATTTTATATAATTTATTTTAGAATGCAAACCAGGGGTGAGTATTTACAACAATTCGTGAAAAAAACTCGTTCATAAACCTTATTTTAGAATTTACTTGAAATAATATACAAATTAAATCTTTATGTACCTTTATTGTTTCCAGCCGTGCAAGGAATGTTGGACTTTGACTTTGTTTGTAGGAGAAACAGTCCATCGGTACGGTATATTGTACTACATTCAGATATTTCAATTTTTGTCATTCATCTATTAAGTTGACTTTTACTCTACTGAATAGGTTGTTGCAATGGTGTATCCGTTCACTGGAGGTGAGTCCTTAACTGTCTCTTATGAGCCCCTGAAGTTGGGTTTTTTTTTCTTCGTCTGTTCTTGCATACAGAATTTCATTTTAAGACCAAGTTCTTGACGGTTCCATAACCCTTGACTTGGCTAAAAAGCAATTTGAATATTATGCGTTTACGAGTTTAAATTTATAAAATACAAAGAAAACTAATTGTTGCATTATTTAATCAGATCACAAGCAAAAATTCTACTGGGGTCACAAAGAAATCTTAGTTCCAGTTTACAAAAGTATGGAAGACGCGTTCAAAAAGGTGATAGATAATATTTAATCAAACATGCATTTAGTTTATTTTTTTGTAAATTTGTATAAAAAGCTACTCTGGCTCCACACTCAATTTCATTCGAATACTTTTTAACATTTCTTTCAGCACCCTGACTCCGATGTCTTGGTTAACTTCGCATCCCTTCGATCAGCCTATGAGTCTACGATGGATGCATTGGACTTTCCACAAATTAGAACGATTGCCATCATTGCCGAAGGAATACCAGGTTTGTATTTATTAATATGTAATGAACCAATTGTGTAATTTCAACATGCAACAACAACATGTAATTTCGACACGAAAAACTGCCTAAATAATTTTGAATTTCATAAACTTTTGTCTGAATTTCTATACTACACCCGAATTTATGTATTCCTCGTATTAATATTTAAACAAAAAATCAATGCCTTCTTGAATAGCAAAAATCCTGATAGAATTAAACTTAAGAATGTGTGAGGGACACACATTCTTAGTCACATTCATGTAACATGAATCATGTTTGTGACGATAATACACATACTTACCTCTATTTAATGTATAGATGAAGGGGGCCTTGTACTTGTTTAATCCACATGATTAATTAAAATATAAATATACGAATTCCAGAAAACATGACCAGAAAGATGATTAAAAAGGCGCATGAAAAGAAAGTCAGCATTATTGGTCCAGCTACCGTTGGTGGAATAAGACCTGGATGCTTCAAAATTGGAAATACGTAATTATTACAAGTTTATTTAGACATGCATTAGTTGTGTATATAATATTAATCACCAAAGAAAATTATCATAGATAAATTATATTTCTTCTATTTTTAGCGGAGGAATGATGGATAACATATTATATTCTAAACTATACCGACAAGGGAGCGTTGCGTACGTTTCAAGATGTAAGTAGAGCAATATTCTAATTTAAAATTTGAAGGAATAGCTAATGAAATGAATTTATTCGCCATAACTAATTCCTACCACATATGTGCTCTTAACCTATTCAAATCCTTCATTTCCAGCGGGAGGCATGTCCAATGAACTAAACAACATTGTGTCTAAAGCGTCGGATGGCGTTTATGAGGGAGTTGCTATTGGAGGTGATCGCTATCCAGGGACAACTTTTATGGACCACATTATGCGTTACCAAGCTGATCCTGAGGTCAAAATGATTGTATTGTTGGGAGAGGTCGGAGGTGTTGAAGAATATGAAGTGTGCGATGCATTGAAATCAAAGAATATCTCAAAGCCAATGGTAGCTTGGTGTATTGGTAAGAAGAATTAATTAGGTACATTAATTTTTATAAATTTCTCTAATTTTGATGATTTAATCTTTAGGGACATGTGCGGGTATGTTCAACTCCGAAGTTCAGTTTGGGCATGCCGGTATGTATTTTATTACCGTTTTTTTGTACAGGTTTATTTTAGTTTGTTACTATAAATTGTAGGGGCTTGTGCAAACTCGGACCGTGAAACTGCACTTGCAAAGAACAAGGCTCTAAAGGAAGCTGGAGCTTTTGTTCCCAGTTCATTTGATGATTTGGGGGAACAAATTCAAAACGTATTCGATGGTTTGGTATCAAAAGGAGTCATCATTCCACGCGAAGAAGTTCCACCTCCAACCGTTCCAATGGATTTCTCATGGGCAAGAGAACTTGGTCTCATTCGAAAACCTGCTTCCTTCATGACTTCCATTTGCGATGAACGTGGACAGGAATTGTTGTATGCAGGAATGCCCATTACTGACGTAAGAAATGTTTTCCAAGTTAAACTTTATCTCTTGAATTACCTTGTTTTAATAAGTACGTATTTATGTTAACTTTTATAGGTTCTCAAAAAAGAGCTCGGTCTGGGTGGTGTAATATCACTTTTGTGGTTCCAAAGACCTTTGCCTCCTGCCGCCTGCAAATTTTTCGAAATGTGCTTGATGGTTACTGCAGGTATTTATGCCTCGATTTCACTCAGAAATACAATAGAAATCAGCGTTTCATGGATTTTCCTTTAGAATCAGATTTCTAAATCTTCTATTTACTTAATTTTTGACTTGATTCATTGATTTAATCTTTTTCTTGGGGTTATTGTAGATCACGGACCAGGTGAGTCAGGAGTACATAAAAGATTGAATGCGTTGGACAGAAGATAAGAGCAAACAAATTACTTTCTTCCTCATGCTTGAGTGGCATATGAAAGCAAATAAATGCAATGCCTTTATTTATATATCAACAGTAAAACTCATATTATCGGTATGCTCAACTAAAACAGTAAGGGATTTTCCCGTTAAAAGTTTAAAAACTGCCTGTACAAAATCTCTGTCCCCTTTCTCAATAGTTTGTACATTCTCGTATTTCTTATTGTCCCTTTGAATGAGGATGCCATTGTAGGATTGGCCCTTCATTTCTGCAAGAACAAGAGCTGCATGACCCAATCCCTCCTTCCTTGTGCAATCTTGTTTCACCAAATCGAATACATCCTTCTGCTGATCCGACATTGACATTGACATTGACAACATTGACTTTGTTGTTGGATTCTACTCCACAATATACCCTAGGTAGTTTTGAACAATATCGATCTTTGTTGATTAATGGGGAGCTGCTATCATCATCATCATATCCCACGGTGAAAGTCACTCCATTCTCTTCCAGAATCTTCTCCACCACTGCCAAATTAGCGTTGGACATAACTAACTGCTCATGAAGGAACGCATGCGGTCTGATGGGTGCATCTGATTCGATTTTTTCCATGTTTCTGAACAATGTGATGAGCGCGACTGACAACTACAAATACAAGTACAACTGTTACTAACTTTTTACACACTTAAATTGGTAACTTACTGTGATGGAATGCTGGACAGAGAGTCGTTCCGGAGAGGAGAAAAGAACAGATTTTTCATAGATAGGAGTGAATTGTGCGGTAGGATGATCCGAGAGGTATTTTTGTACGAGAATGCTGTTGTAAGCAGATATTTTAACCAGGTCTGACGTCCATTCTGTTTTCTTCACGCTCATAATGCTTAACGCCGCATGATAATGAATGGTCTTCTCATTAATGTCACGCAAAACGGCGACATTTTGACATCGGTTTGTTGAATGGTTATTACACAAAAAGCCCTCTGATGTTGCCCTCGACCAACAATGTTTGCATTTTTTGAGATGAGGGACTCCTCTTTGCATAGTGCCGTAAAACAACGTTGATCCGTTCCAATGTAAAGGAATGAATTCGTCCCACTTGTTTTCTCCGACATCGTCTTTTTGGGGGGTTTTCGCACCTTTGGTTGGGGTTGTTGTGGGTGTAGCTGATTTCCTCTGAGTTGACTTATGAAGTTTGACTGGGAAAAACTTTTCGATTCCTTTTTCTTTATGAATATTATAGTGAGTCCTCCATTCCTCCATTAGTGCAAAAAACATGGGATGTTGGTCGATCTCTTGATCCTTTCCAACAAAACCTCTTTGAACAATAACACTTTTCACATAGTCGAATATTGTTCGGATATCACTCTTCCTTGGTAGTTTGAATTTTGGGACGCTATCCCCTTCTTCGTCCAACTCTCCAGCACCCAAATCCGAATCAGACGAATATATCGTTGAGGAGGGAGAAGGCGTTGTTGTAAAGGGAGAAGGAACTGTTGAATTGGGTGAAGGAACGGAGGGAGAAAACGGCGACTGAGGTTGAGCGAATAGGGGTTGAATAATTTTCTAAAAAATAGAAATGCAACATTGTATAAAAACTACATTTTAAGTTATGCATTTAATATCTATCCACTCACATAGCCAACTAATTTTTCAACCAGTTCTCTCGTCAACTTGTCAACGTTATTGCCACTCCGTTTAAGGTGGACATCTGGATTTGTGGGAGATTGGTAGTCCGCATCAATGGGATTTATAACTTTACAAATAAAGAAATGAGACAGAATTCACATATTACACATGCTCCAATTTGCTCACCATTACGACTCAGGCCAGATTGTGTATCACATTCTGCTCTTGACCTATCCACGAAGACATCTACAAACTTCAGTCCGTCTTGCTCATGAGAATCCCTGGCTTTCTGTCTGTTCTATAAATATGTATAAAATTAGCAACCTAATCATACAATATCACATTTTTTCATATCTCACCTCATGTAATGGAGCCACAATGGAAATGATGGACACAAATCCCTCTTCCGTGAATGCTTTGGCAAGTTCTGAAGCCAAGTGAACAAATTCCGACCGATCCTTCGTGCTGTCAAAATCCAGATTTTTGCAGAGACCGGCCCTCAAGTTCTTCCCGTCTATTTGTTTGACTAAAATCCCGTTGGAATTGAGCATTTGAGTAAGGGAATTGGAAATGGTACTCTTCCCTGACTTCGCTAGACCTGTTCATACAATCATAATTATTATGAGATACAAAAATTGCAAATTTATTAAGCCCCCATTCAATAATAATATTGCATAATTTCATAAGCAATGTACAAAACATACCGGTCATAAGAATCGTACACCCACTGTTTACCCCACTTTCACTTTGCCATTTCATCCTCTTATTACTTGGCGGAGAGGGGGATGGTGACCCAACATGGGTAATTTTACTGGAGGTGGGAGTGTTCATTTTCACCAATTATTCTGTTTAATAATACAAATAACCGTGCAAACAGTATGAGCCACTTGTTACAAAGACAACCCGGCAATTGTTTCTTGGATGGTGTGAAGTACGTAGGGGCATAACGATACAACACGCGTCAACTTATTACTAACTACTTCTGGTTTCAGCTGTCTCAGGTGCACATAACACAATTGTATGTGCTCGTGCTGGAAAAGATCTCGTTTCATCCCTCGTCTCTGGTTTGTTGACAATTGTATGTTTGGAATACCTTAATTTGACATTGCCGTAGATTATATTATAAACATAGGACTTATTTAGTAATAATATTGGTTATAGGGTGATCGTTTTGGTGGTGCTCTAAATGGTGCAGCAAAACAATTCAGTGAGGCGTATGATGCTGGATTAATTCCTATGGAGTTTGTCAACGATATGCGAAAGAAGGGTCAATTGATTATGGGAATCGGACATCGTGTGAAATCCATCAATAATCCTGACATGAGAGTGAGTTTATACCACAAGATGTAAACTAGCATCTAAATTATCTCTTTAAAGTGAACATTCAATGAAAATATTTGTATTAATTATTATTTAAAATTATAGGTTACAATCATGAAAGAATTTGTCAAGTCCACCTTTGCAACTACTCCCTTATTGGATTATGCCCTCGAGGTGGAAAAAATTACCACGTCCAAGAAACCAAATTTGATTTTGAACGTGGATGGCGTGATTGCTGTTGCTTTTGTTGATTTCCTCCGTAATTCTGGATGTTTTACTAGGTAAGTTTATCGAAATTCTTACTTGCGACTAAAATAGGTACTCATAACAATCTTATGAAATATACTTTATGGGAATGCCTTGTTCCCTCTATAATAATACATTGTAATCAACAAATTCTATTTTTAAAATCCACTTGTGAATACATTTTTGCTTAAAAAATATTCATTAAATAAAATCGAATGAGCCGGATTTTAGACTTTCACTCGATCTTAAATAATAGGGTGGATAGAATAAGGTTGCCTTCCGACATTGTTTATATAATTGAATACGTTTGTCCATTTTCCAGAGAGGAAGCTCAAGAGTATATCGACATGGGAGCTATCAATGGGCTGTTCGTCTTAGGTCGTAGCATCGGATTTATTGGTCACTACATGGACCAGAAACGTCTGAAGCAAGGTAATTAAATCATCATTTTAACTACACGTAATCTTTATCCAAATTATGGTTAGATTTATGTATGTACATTTGTTATTGAAAAAGTTGGAAACCTTATTAATGTTGTCTGTGACTTTTGTTTTCTAGGATTATATAGGCATCCATGGGATGATATCAGTTACGTACTTCCTGAACAATACAACGGATAATAAATCAGTCATCTGAAGACCACATAGCGAATACTCGTTCAATTCCAATAATAATTCAAGAACATAACATGCCATTATCCCTTCCGAAACATTCATGCGAATGAATGATGTTTTAGAAAAAAAAGTATATTTATCTGAAGAAAAAACAACTATCATCGTCAATGTGAAATTCAATTAGTCTCTCATAAAGTAGTTGATAGCATGGCCTTTCAAATAGCGAACTGTAAACTGATCTGAAGAAAGCTGACATATCAAACAAACATATCATTAGAAAGTTGTGAATCAAGCAAAGCTTACGTCTTAGACTGGATACTCTCTTCCTCCTCAACATGAAAAGGTAGACAGAACTGCCCCAACCCCCGACTACATCAATTACAACGACTATTTTATTAATTCTTAATTACAAACCTCATCATGGTGGATTATTTATGTGGTGAATGGAATCCTTTAAAATCTATACCTTTATTTTTAAACAAATCGACTGTCGAACTCTCAACATTGTGTTCTCAATTATTATGATCCATTATTATTTCATTTTACTTGTCTACGTTTGTGACCTTTTTACTTTATGATGTATTATCAAACAAGAGTTTGGCATATATGAGCAGTATCTGTACCTTAAAATTCAGTAAATAAACTACCATTAGAACTAACTCGTGCTTGGCTGTGCTACAGTCATAATTGATATTTTTATACTTTCACCCGTTTCGCATATTTTGAGAACGCACACACGAAGATCACATCTTTCATCAAGTTCATTTTCTCCCAAACTTTTGAATTAGGATTCCAGTCCCGTGAGGTTGTGTGATGGTAATTTGTTCTCTGAACACTTTACTAATAAGTCACCGTCATGTTGGTTGCACTACTTTCCATCGCCATTCTCACCACCAACTGGTGTACAGGGATAACCAATCTGTTTTACTTAAAATCCTGAATGCGGTGGTGTGGTGCTGGGGTACGCAGGCAAACCCACACAAGTTCTCCATCTCGGTTGCCAGCCCTGTGTGGCGTCAGAGTCGCCCAGCCAGCACTCGACGACGACGACGACTCCTCTCTGAACATAAATTATTCATCTGCCTGTCAAGAAAGAAAACTGAAACGAGTTTAGGACTTTCTAATTCCCCCAAACGCTCCACAGCGTTCATTCATCTCTCTCCCTGTCTCTTGGAAAAACAGCCGCCGTGAACCCTGGCTACATGCATCCCAAATAATCCCAATCCCAACCATACACTCCACACCACCCAATCAAACCCAACTGATGGACAGCTATTTTGACAACATACGTATACATTTCTCGAGAGGAGGAGAAAGTCATCGTCCTTGTAAAAAGTGAAACTGACGATAATCGCATTCCGATAGTCCCATGATATCGGGCATCACTTCAACTATGTTACATATGATACGACATGTATCGAATATGTCATTCTCATCAAAAATCCATGCCAGCGACGCAATTCTCAGTGAAAGTGCACCATTTGTAGCGAGTACTGTTTTGCTAAATTTCTAGTACAAAATTATACAAAGTATTACATGCTATTTTTTTATCCGAATCAGGACTTATGGAATCATCATCTCTTTCTGTGTCTGTCTGTATTCTGTAACACACTAGTATTTAATGAATATTAGGGTATAAAAATTGGTCGTTGGCATGCAGAACAGGTGGGGAAATTGATGCTTGTAAAATATTGGTCAGAATGACCCACACTAGCTTTCTTAAATACTTAAGAAAAAACAGAGAAAATAACTGGGCTGAGGTCTTTGTTTGTACGCTGAAAATCAAATAAAATTACAAAAGTTCCCCGTACATAAGCGGTTCAAATAACAATTCGTACAACTTATGAGGTAATCGGTGACGCGCTGCATGTTCTTGGGCGCCGTGGCGACCTCGGTGGTCATGGTTTGTTGCACTGAAATGAGATGTGAAGGTGGGCTGTAATAATAACCGTTTGCTTTGGGCAACGGTCCATTTCCGAGTTGAGTTACAACATGAGAGTTGAGCAGTCATCGTCGTCGTCGTCGTCAAGTCTTTCATCCTTTATTGGGTTTCCTTATTTCACTTTGTTACCCTGCTGCCTGATGGATATGAAACAACTCTTATTCGGTGGAATACTTTCACAGCCTAGGATGTGTATGATGTTGTTTTCGTGACAATTGCCCTCGACCCGGATCCACTATCGCTGACTACTACGTATAACCAATCCTGCATGCTTTCTCCAAATGAAGATGGAATATGGAAGTTTGAAGTTGTGATACTTGGCAAGAGCGAAATGGCTTTCTTCAGTTCATTTCGGTAGCAATTTGAGCATCATTGCACATCGGTTATGTGATCACTTGAAATCGCTGGGAGATGATCGTTTCAAATTCCTATCCAAACTGACAACGAGTTGTGTAAGCCCAAGTGGTGCAATAAACTGGCAGCAAATTGTATTTACTTGAGAGTTTTCAAACTCAGTTTTGACATGCAAATTCTATCCTTCTTCCGAACTGAATGAGGAAGGAAACGAGGTGATGTTTCCTCTGTAAAGGGTATAAAGAGAGATAAATATATTTCACATTTCAATTGCAAATCTAGTCATGCATGCTCACAAATTTCTTTCACTTATTAAATCGAGTATTATCGGGATGTAAATGTTAATCAGGGATGGAGGGTAATGTCCTCGTGCCTAATACACATATGTATTGTTCACTCTAACTGATTGCACTTTATTCTCCATGCATAGCTGCAATACAACATGGTGCTAATCTTAGTTTACAGCCTTGTAACTAATACACACAAGTAAGCTAAGACGTACGTATTTACTTACGTAATAACTATTTGCCTTTGGGAATCTAAAATCATTAGTGAGCAAATAGTTCTAAATGCAATATACTTATTATGCAGGTTCCTGCTAAAGTAGACAAAAATAATGATTGTAAACTTCTTTTTGCATCTCAATCTAACGTCGATTGCCAAAGCTAAGTTGAAACTTTAAATTTTATCATTGACGAAATGGCTATAAAAATAAAAGTTGAGGTTTAAAATAGCTTGGCGTTGTCAAAATATCGCTTCTCTACGCAACAAGAATTGTTATGCCAGATTAAGGAAAATGTAATTGTCACTTTATTAGTTTTATTACACTGGATTAATTACAGACAAATTTACATTTAGTTACACAGATAAGTACAACATACAAAAATCGAGTTTGAGAGCTCACTTAATGATAGCAAAAGCATTTTTATTTTGTTTTAGTTTTTCTTACATACATGGCTGGAAAAAAAGCTCACTAACTACTGCTTCTATTGTCTAATTATATATGCACACTGGCGAAAGAGTAGTACAGACGTACATAAATACTGTTGAGATACATTAATTAGCTAACTTTCTTTAATAAGCTTTGGGACTTTTAGGTTTAAAATTTTTATTTTACTTTGTTTAGAGATATATATGCAATACATGTAATAATATCAGAAAATCACGGTAATAAATCTTCTTATTATAATCTATAGATCTTCTGATCTATAAATACATCATATATAAATTACTGAGAATCAATCCATTCATCCATTCCCGTGTCGTAAGAGACTGTTGGAGATCATATTGTGTGGGTGAATCTAATTTACTTAATAATAATCTATTTAATAGTAGTATTTGATCAAATAGTGTACATTGAATCTCGAACGAAATGAAAAAAAACGAACAACAATGACTTCAGCTTCTCTGGCATCATTGCCGGAAGGATGAGATGGACAAGAATAGAGAAAGTGAAGCCAGAAAAAGTAATTCGACTCCCATTTTCATCCCATTTCGTTACAATCCAACAAAATTGGATTACACTGGTACATACATATTTTATCCATAATATTTTTAGTATTCTTGTATCAAAAAGTCATCCATTCAATGGTCTCCACGTGCATAACCTCATGTTTTATCAGTCTTGATTTTTACTAGTCAAACTATATAACTTTTTTAAGCAGTCAAAATACTGAGTTGACGAAACTTCTCAAGTTGTATTTTTCATCAAACTATACAATCATCAACTTAGCACGTGTGTACCGAACAATATGTGGGTAATAATTGACCATGCATTATGAGTTGTGACGTAAGCACAACCCAGTTACAGATCTGGTCCAAGAAGAATTTCACTCAAAACCCTTCATAAATCATAATCTGGGCACGGTCAATGGAATAAATTCCTCAACACTCGTATAAGAATTGAATAAATCTTTGCAAAATATGCCCATTCAATTTCCAGAATCTTTGGTCACCGCCCTTAATATCCAATACAACCTTGAACAAAGTTCGAATGAGGGTTCACGCCTACAAGGTTATAGCGAAATAAGCCTGTGTTTGTGTGTGTGTGGCTCCCCAGTCCAGGGCTGCATAAATAAATATAAGCATGGAATAAAATTCAGCAAGTCTGACAGTAATCAAATCTACAAAACTGTTTCACTCCTTCTTCCAGGGATGTAAGCTGAGTAAATTGCGTCCGACTTGATGGACATGGTCCCACCGAAAGTGGTCGTGGTAGACGTGTAGTTATTGTTACCAGATTTTGAATTTGTTGCGGACGACGATGATGATGATAAATCAGAAAGTTTGTGCATTTTGACACTGCTGTTTGTAGCATTACCTCGGACAGATGAAGATGGTGGAGATTTTTGAAACGGATGGAACGAGGACTGTCCGTTTGCAGCAACGGTGGTCCCAATCCCATTATAAAGTGCCCCTGGGGTTCGGTGAGAAATGAGAAATCCGTTTGCAGATGCAGAGTGAGATTGAGACAATAAGTAGTTTTTTAGCGTTTTGCCATCCGAAACTCCGTTTTTCTTCAGCATCAATGATCCATTGAGTTCTGGAGACCTATCGTCGCTCCCTTTCTTCCCATTGGTTGAGATTACGAGTCCAGATTGATGACCAAGATTGATGGATTGATTGGTAGAATTTGTTGTGTTGGTGAGAAAGGTTCCGTTTCTTGTGAATGGACTTGGTTTTCGGTGTCGGTTGCACAACCGCAGGAATGAGCTCCGAAATTTGGATGAGAATAAATTGTACAGGATTGGATTGCAGCAACTGCGCAAATTTGTACAATACATACGTGATCAATACGACAACCTACGCACACACTTCCAACTATACGAACTTCCAACCTTAAACCTTTTTCAAGGTCAGAGGAAAAGACGTTCAAATGATGAGCGTGCAGAAGCTCACTCTGTGTGCATTCAAAACTTCAATGATTTAACCAGTAATATAGATTTAAGTATGTATTAATAGGTTTTTAATAAATACTGAATGCTACGAATCACAAAAATAGTTAATCTTTTACTGCTTGTTGCCCATCATTTGAATGTAATATACGATTTCTTCATAATCTTAAGATATCATATATTTGCATATGTATGGATTTACATACCTATTAAGATACAGCATTATTCGAGAGGAGTAGAGAAAGTAGTTGTACGCCTCAATATGGTTTCCCAGAACTTCCGTATCCGCGAGAAGGACGAAGAGAGTCAAAATGCGGAACGGTATTAAAAAGATAAAGAACAGAATTGTTATACAGAACAACATCACAACTACTTGTTTTCTTGCTTTGTGGTTCTCGTTTTTGACATTGCAACTGGGATGATCATCTGCACCAAAGAAATCAAGATATACCACGAGTAAAAAAATATTTTTAAACTACTAAAAATTATACTGATAATATTTACTTTCTGATGATCTGAGTCGATTCGCAATTACGCCATATGTCACCAGCAGGATGACACATGGGACCATGAAAAGCAAGATGATTGTGGAAATAGTATAAAAATCGGCCCAAAATGACCCAGCCATCACATCACACCTAGCTGTCCACTGGTCTCGCTCGTTCACCCCTGGAACACGTATTTAGAAAAGCATACAGATAAGCACAGAAACATAATCTATGTTACAGAAGGTAACTAACCCTCAGAGTAGGACGTCATAAAGATCATCGGACTGAAACATAACAGGAAAGTTTTTGGTCATAATCACAGCATAAACATCACCATCAACCTGCCAAGTTTATTTACAAACCCAAAAGCAATATGGCTAATGGGTCAGATTGGTTAGGAAGTCTGGTTTTATTTCAATTCACAACCATAGAGGAACTAGGACTGTACGTTTTAACGTCGAATGAAATGTAAATTGCATTTATATTATAATTAATTAATATATTTTGGAAGAAAGTTAATTAATTGACGGTATTTTCGTATCAACGGTATACACTTTGCTTGTAAGTAGCAAATTTGCTAATCTTAATAATCTTAAGCTTTCTCCGCCCAAATGGGCACCATTTGAGTCACACACACATCGGGTTAGACCAACTTACACAGGACAATCCTGCATGCAACTTTCTGGACACAGTCCTTTACATGTTATAATGCCATGATCCAGTAAATTTAGATTCATTGCACAACCACAGAAGTATGCATGATAAGGTTGGCGACACCACCAACGATGAATACTAAAGGACATTATTTCGAACACATTATTAGTAACTCAAAGAATAATGGTTCAACAAACGTTCCACTAAAAAATTAATTTCGCCTGATTCAATCGCAAATTCCGTCTTTTTATATATTTTCACCAACTACTAATAGCAATTGATAGTGTAAAAGTATACTAATGAAATTACTAGCATTTGTATAACAACCCACCCAATGCCTTCGAAAGGGATAAATATCAGCAAATTGATAATTCATATGAACATATCATTATCCTTTGTACTTGAGTGAAGTGGGGTTTGTTCTAATTTCCTCTACGTGACCAAAACTGCAATGGAACCACGAACGCGGATGAAAGTGAAAGTCGTTTCCGGTTGGAGAGGCAAAGGGATCCAGAAATAAGTAGCAAAGTATTGCACCATAGACTTTGTCCCTTTTTGCAGAAAGGAGAGCGCTGTGTCGCGCTCATGTCCTTCCCCATTATGCCACCAGTTACCCCTCTCGTCTTCCCAGCCAACCATGGTTAACCAGGTCAACCATAACAGTGTGTTGTCCCATGTATGCATGTAAGGGCTGAGTCTGAGCTTTTCAATGGAATTCTAAATCATGATCTCTTTACGTCCGAACACTGTTAACTTATGAGTGCTGCTGAAAATTCAAGCAAAGAAGCAGTAAAACGAAAACATGAAACTCATTCCTGCGAAGAAGACTGCGCTCCTTTGTGTAGAAAAGGGAAAGAATCGAGCAGCGGAGGACTTGCTTTCAATTTCCTTCGACCTAAATGCCTTATATAAAAGTATGAGGAAAGTGGCTGCGTAGTAAGTAACACAATCAGTGTGAAAGTGTGTAGCTTTAAATTTTTCTTGAGACACTAATGTCTTGATATATTTAGGTGTGGAAGAAGAGGGACGGGTGGAAAGACACGCCGAAATTGAAAATGAAATTCGATTAAACATTAAAATGGTTAGTAAGGAAATTGGACTGTGACTTTGATCTAAATATTTGAATTTTTAAAGTGAAATGTTAAAACTAAATCCGTTATTTTTTTACGATTTTTGTCAAGATTTTTGTCCTAATGCGTAGGCTCATCATATTTAGGAGGAGTTTTTTTCAAAATGAGTTTCAATCTCAAGGATGAAAGTTCAAAGTTTATGTGTACCTTTATGTACTGTATGCGTTTGGGTAAAGATCTACGGATGTACACGTATGTGCTTGCACTTTAATAGAGTCTGACTTGTGCATATTTATAGCTACTATACCATCGATCAGTGATAGTAAATAAATAATCATATCGTGTCTTTCTTTCCTCCCGCCTTTCTCCACGTTAATAAATTTGAACACGAATTTTCGCCTAATGCAGTGCGACAATGTTTCCTGATGTGGGATTTAAGCTGTCTCAGAGGAAAACTTATTTAGATGTGGATGAATTCGCATTTCATTTGCCAAGAGGAAACGGTTGTTCGTGATTTGCCTCATGAAATGATGTCCCACATGCGAACGAATGTCCACTCCTGTAAAATCTCAACCTCCGTTTTATGCCACTCCAAAAGAAACAGATGCTCCGTCAACGCCAGAAGAGCAATCTCGAGTATTTCTCAAGCCCATCTCAAGATTTGGAGTCCGTGACTTCTCCTACTTGCCACTGCCCTACTACAACATAGCAAATTCTCGGGTTCCTTGTTTTTTTCCTATGTTCTACTTTCTGGTGTAAAGAACTGAAAGGTGAATTAATTGACTCCAGATGATACCACGCACCCAGTTTCAACCTCTTTTGTGTTAGACCGTACATCTCACAAAAGATTTGATTCTTCCCCTCAATTAGTCCAACTCATTATGCTGACTAACAACCGGAAACTTTGTTAATGACTCACAATTATTCACCTTCACAGTCTTCTCCAAACGACTTTATCCTCTCATTCATATACTGCAGACGACTAAATATAGAAGCCACGTGTTTTATATTTGGCTTCGCACCTATATCTTAACATGGGAGGAGGATATGTACCGTGCGAGCACATTGACTTGGGTGCACGAGTTTTAAAAGTCATCCTCCGCTTGCTTTATTTGCTACGGACAAACCCAGTAGAGTATCAAATATAAATAAATAATAAAAGTGAGCTATTGCTGGGAGAAAGAATGTAACCATTGAACCCGTGTTTGTTTTTTGTGGTGGGGAGAAAGTTTAAGCAAACGAACATATTGCAGTTGAGCTCGTGAAACCACTTGCCACATTAACACTGCGGTCAGCTTAGAATGGCGTAAGGTCCATTACCTTGTGATAAATGACGCGAAAACCCACGCGGCCACGGAGATGCACACGGCTCTTGACCTGAAAAGATATAAATGGTCAGATACCCGGCCATTGTGTCTCACTCTTTCCTGGTAGTTTTAGGTTTTGGAAAAGCAAAATAATTCTAACGGCGAACTATCTAGAAGTACTGACTAAGGCTGACTTGACTTGTACTTGTTTTTGTTACGTAATCATGTAATTACTTGGTGCAGATGTAGTTTGCTCTGAGAGGCCTGCAGATCGCATAGTATCGCTCGAAACAAAGACTTAAAACTGTCAGGACGGACGCATTGGCAACTACGGCTTCCAGCAAGGGGATGAATTTACCTGTAAGGACATGAAAAAGTTTTTGATTATTAGTACAACAACTCACCTTGTGACATTACTATGAATCTGTTTCCCCATTGTGCTCGGCATTGATCTTGAATCACTGAATATGGAAAAGTCAATCAAATGTGCACCAAGTATGGGCTAACTTTCCATGCATTAAATATGCGACTCGAAGCCACGATATGTTCATCCCGATACATAAATACGTAGGATGTCCATTACTATTATTACAGGTTGCAAGATAAGGTCTTCACAACACGCGACAAAATACTATGAACAAAGGTGGATGGGAGAAAGCTATAGTGGCGAGAGTCATGCCACAACAAAACATTAATCCCAATTCCCTTGTAGAATCCTTTCTGCTTGAATATTACATACACTGATTTAGCCGATAGGTTTATTTCTACGACAATGGTGTTTTCGCTAAATAATTCTGAACTACTGAAGTCCCACATGTACGAAAGATTTTAGGTAAAAATTCTGTGTACCGAAATCTGCACAAATAAAAAGTTGAGCTAGGGAATCTTTACATGATTTTTTTCCTCCCAGACAAACCATGGATTTACATATAATCCTTTATTGGCTGTACAAAGACCGTAGACTCTGGATCTGGGCATTTCTCTGAAGTTCTCTGATCCCTCTTGCATAACAGAATGCAGGCCATGTACGACTCTTTTTATTTGCGTTTTAGAGTTTATTTCTAGTGCTCCATTACAATATTGAGAAAGGAATTAAGGCGCATCACCAATTAAACAGAAACCATCTCAAGTGAATTTTTCTCAAGCAGGCTTTAGCCTAATAACAGATGACACAAAGAAATTGCCTGTTCAGATGACGAGGCAGCTTCGGAGAACCATTAACAAACATAGATAGGAAAATAAACAAACTGTAAAAATGTTAACTTACAGAGATGATATCCTAAGATCCTGAAATTTTGAAGTATCATTGGGTTAGAATTTAGAGCCAAATAACTCAACCCAACATCGTTTTGATGAACGAATTTTTTCAAATGTGCAAAAGAAAGTTTGTTATAAAAGAAAAGAAAATAATTTGCATGTTATATATTTACCACCGATCAGGATGGTGCGTCACTTCAATCAGGAACGTTGGTGCACACACAATCAGCACTAACATATCTGCAAACCATCAGCGGAAATTGAAATTCATAAATCACACTAAATATTTACTATTCATTTCGTAGTTTTACAGTGTTAAACATTTAAATGAATTATTTTTCGAATATACCATATTAATACATATTATTACGTACCTGCAATGCTTAGGTTTACCTGAGGATCAAAATAAAACAAATTTTTAATAAAGTCTGACATTGTACCAATGGTTAATGTTTTTTTTCAATTTACAAGGAATATATTTGTTGAGGTTCGCATATCCCTTGACCAGCCGATAACCACGATAACCATTAAATTTCCAATCGCCCCAATGGTGAATATGAGGAAGAGAGAGATGATACATATGACTCTCAAGCCGTATGGAAGCTCCTTGTCGTCACTCATAAACTCCTTTCCGCTCGTCGTCACAATAGATCCTCCCTCGACGCCGTACATGGCGTCCACAACATCCGACCCATATGACGTCGTTTTGTTAAACTCCAATGAGATCAGGGTAAAATTATCCATCTCGTCAACTTGAATCCAACTCTTGAATCTGGGAAAATATATTAAACGACTTAACGACATGTGCATTTGTATTCTAAATTGTCACTTAAACATTTTACCATTAAACATCGAACTCGCATTTATGGAGCAGTCTTGCTGACACCAATCTCGTATTTGAATTAATGGGAACAAACCCTACAGTCACCATTATTATGTAAGGCCTTATGTAGAATGTGATAACAAGAATATTTAAAAACACGCAATAAGTGCGAAATATATCCCATCATTCCTATCTTTTTTGAAAATCAACTCATGGTGACACGTTCTTGATGAATTACATGCTAGCGACCCAGTGGTAAATATGTGAGAATCGTTGGTCCTAATCAACAATTGAGTGAAAAACCTTGTAAATACTTTGTGCAAACGAAATACCACAACGTAGATAAGGTTGAATGAAGCTACGTTAATGAAGCCAAGTTCTTTTGGGCATCAACTAATCTAGAATGGATAACGGCCACACCGAGGCCTACATAAACACAACAGTTGAAATACGATTTCTAGAATTGTGTGCAGGAGATCTGTGACATTTCAATTAATATTATCTCCGTGCAGTAAGGATGCCCACTTAAAGTGACAGCTTGTTCATAATTCTTGACACTTGCAGACTAACATAAATACATATCGTATTTCCTACTGCTTTCCCCAATGCTTTCTTCCTCGCTCACTCCCACGCCATCAACCCAATTTAATCCATTGTCCCTTCGTTCCTCATCCTGTCGCCCTAGTTTGAAAGAAAAGGGGAACACAAAACGGAAGGTTGTAACTGCAGCAGGTAAGTGTTCATCATTCAGTATCCAGGCAGGAGGTCTTCTCAATATTTGGTATTTTTATCAATATTTGGTAGAAAAGAAAATGCATACATTATAAAAACTTTTGTGCCCATCACTCTCTAGGAAAGCATATTTACCCAGAAGCAGCTGCTGAAGGTTTACTGTAGCGCAAAGTTTTTGTTTGCGAATACGCTTTTCCATGGTAAGTGTATTTCCAGAAATCACTATTTTCTGAGAAGAGCTCTTCAATAGAGTTCGCTTAATCCTTGAATAAATAGAGTGAAGTGCCGACGTCAATTTATGTGATTGAAATAGCAAGAGCATTTCTTTGCTAATGTGGAATTACTGATACAATCAACAATTCCACATTGGTGATCTTTAAGGACACGCTCCAGATGTATGTATCTCTTGGCTTCTTATTAGCGAGTGGAACAAAGTGAAGCATAGTTATTGCGATCAATTTGTCCGTCCGTCAGCATGATAACTTCCGGACGAATCAAGTTTTAGTTCTGATTTCCATAATTAATTTTAAAAGTAACAGGGAGTTGGTTAACTGACCTTGTAGGTCAAAGGTTACGGCGCTAAAGTGATGAGGTCGAAGGTCAATTTTTTTAATTTTTGTTTTAACGGTTTTAGACTTAAGTAATTGGGTGGGGATTTCAAAAATCGCCATCATGTCGAGGTACGGCGACCCGTGACCGTGTAAGCGTCAAAATGCAAATTTTCCTAATAAACTCTGTTTCACCTTACATGGTATTACCGCCACACGAAAATAACATGGGATTCTCATGTTCCTTGCCTGTGGCGGTAATACCATGTAAGGTGAAACAGAGTTTAAATGAACCTCAAGTACGCATCTCAACGCAATCCGTTTCCACGAGTATATTACATCTGTTGCTGGAGTGTATTTGTTTTTATTTGCTGCTACTCAACAGTCCGTGACAGTGATGGAGAAAACACTTCTTTGGGTTCAGGTCTAAAGTGACAGGACGATGTGTTTATGAATGATAGGTTCATCATCATCATCATTGAAACAGAAAACATTTATATGATCAGATTGCCCCAAATAGTGAGAAGCATTCATGACAATCCAAGTATAATAACAATGCTAGTTGACGAAAAAATAAGAGAAAGCAGGAATGTCTCAGCAACGTGCAATAATGTTTCCAGCAATAATTCGCAATCAAATGATTTGTTTCATATTTTGACTATCATCAATACTTTACTAGAGATACGAAATTTCCCTTTCAAAGTTGTACACTTTCTTTGATTTTATTGAACACTTGTTGACTCTCCTAAACACTACGACGTTTCCATCAAACAAATGTATTTAACAGCCTTCAATCATGTAAACCAGAATAAAAGTATGTCGCTTATCTCTTTTTAAATCTGTACGTATGCGATGAAATCAGGACTTGTCCACATAAATGTAGGAGCAAGTAAATAAATACTGCAAAAAGAAGGTTTTATAATGGTGATTGATTACCTTTTTGACCAATGTAGCTCGATCTGATAGTCAGGGTTCGTCCAACGTCACACAGTCAATCTCAATTTAATGAAGTCGTATACTTTCTCCTTTGGGGGACGTTGAGACGGAGGTCAGGTACTTTCAGTCAGTTTCTCCTGGAATGCTGGCTCAATAAATCCGTTTAATTATATTGGCACTAATCCTTATTCTCTATTACTTTGCAAAGGTTAAACAATTAAATCACAATAGATTAAGTGTGGTCAGGTACGAGACAGGTATTTTGGTTTTTGAAGACTTTTTTACAATTTGAATGTTGTATAAAAATAAATTAAAAATTTCTAACTACATAGAAAAAGAGATGTGCAAAAAACATATAATTTTAACTGAGATAAGGATAATTTATAATTTTGCAAGAGAAAGTGGTTAATTTTCAGTGAGTGTGAAACTTGAGATGCTAACGCCTCGATTTCCAAAAGTGCTGTGAAACTGAAATGAAACGGGAGTCGGAGAGCTGGCATTTTGAGGGGAAATTCTGGCTGGATAGAGCAACCTCCATGGTCCACATTTTCACATCCGCTATGCGAGTTGTTGCTTCACCAGTCTCAAATTCCTGTCTTTTCCACACCGTCAACCGTACCACTCATTTGGTCCTAAACTGCACATATTTAGCTGTGCAAATTGTAACAATGTTCACGACCACCTTTTACATTTATTTCTCGGGTCTCATTTAGATTAAAAGAATTTGCAATGAAACAATTTTACGGCATTATTGCATGTTTCTACCGGAATAGTGATACATACTAATATCGCATGTGCTTCATATGTAGGCTGGGCTGGAAGGAAAGCCAGCCAAGGTACAAATTGAATAAAGTTACAATGCAACTTGTGAATATTGCCATCCAAGTTAGAAGCGATAAATGATAAACTAACTATTTTCTAAGGAGTTGTGTTTAAATAAACTGAAATTGGTGCCAAGAGTTTGATTAGTTGAATTTCAACATATTTTCAAAAATTTTGAATATGTACAACCTCAAACTTTCAAATACGTAGAGAATTGTCGCGAATAATAATATACATAATTCTAAAACTTTACTACCTTTTAGACATACTTAAACGTCTTGCTTGGCATTCAATTTATCGTAACCCAATCAGTTTATGGCTGCTCGATTGACACAACCAAAACTTTCTTTTTTCTTTGGTTTCTTTATTTGATTGCATGCTAAAAAGCAATATTATATATTTATGCAACATATCATGGGTATTATTTTTATTCACTTATTTTTAGGACCTCGCCGTCGACCAAAATAAATAAGCACGACCAGGAGAAAAATTCATCGTAGAAACAATTGGGAAATAATGGACATATTAACATAACATTCGGCTTCTTTGTGTTTGCTTTTCATTGCAATTCTAGAGTGGTTACCATCAAAGGAAGCATGTTGTTCCTTTATTCGTAACACGTCGTCTCAGAAAAAAGAGTTTTCACGAAACTAAACATTATTTATTTGATCTAGGAACTGGGACAACAGGAGAAAAGAGCATATAATGGTACTCTTAACAGGGTTACTTCTTATATATACACACATATTCTCACACTACTAATACTAACTGACATTGTACATTTTCCCAGAAAAAAAAATATCGCACTATGTTAGACAATTTTCATAATAAATACAATTTAGTGACAATGCAGTATTGAAATATAATAGTTTATCAAATTACCAAGTAGGTGACTAATTTTTTTTTTCGGTCGTAACGACAAGATTACTCGAGAAACAGTAAAAAGTAAAAGCAACAATATCAAAAATAAGTTTGCGAAATAATATGCAAAATTCAACAGTCAACGGAAGTCTCCGCAGATAATAGGAGGTCCATAATGAGACGAGGGACTTAATTAACATTTTTCATTCCTGAGGTGCCGACGGAAGATTCCGAATATTCCCAATAACGTGAGCATCATGGTAAACGTAGTGCCGACCGCTGCCACGATTCCAAAGGCTGAGAAGCAGTCATTGGCACAGGCATGTCCTGATAAATAAAAAAAGATTAAATCACCCACTGAATATCGTCTGGTTCCAAACCCCTCCAGAGCACCCAGCTAAGTGCTTTCTTTCAGCACACAGCCAAGCACTCTCTCGAGCTTTCTCCGTCCTTTCACCTCTCCAACAAAATCTAATTTCTACCAGTCCCACCACCACCAACAACATTTCTCCATCCAGTACTTTGCATGTTCTCCTCCGTTCTCACAAAAATTATGAGAGGGGAAACGAGAAATCTGCTTTTAAGAGGTCGAGGACAAGGATGATAACGATCACGGAGAATACAAATAACTGTTCTCCTTCCGCGTGGTAAACAAGAGTAAATTGGAGAAAGCTAATTGGCATACCGTAGACGGAAGAAGAATCTCGGAAGGCCAGTTCTGGGAGATCGTCTGGCCCCACCACACGAACGACCTTTCGAAGCCGTAGGGACTCCGCGGAAACGGTTTCGTTGTATCTGTCATTGAAACGCTCCTCTGCACTTCGCTTCGTTATCCTGGCCGCTGTCCTCACTTCAATTTTGCTCGGCTGCTCCTGACTACCAGAAGCAGCAGTGGGGGCTGGGAGCTCGTCCTCGTGGTCGTGACCATGGTTTGGAACATGCAACTAATTTACATAGAAAAGACACTGTTTAAAAATAATTACTCTCAAACCCGGAAAATTCAATTTATGAGGGGGTTAAACTGGATTCAGAAACGTAAAAACTTTTATCTAAGTATGTTTCTCGGTATTCTCAACGCATGAATTGAACGACCCTTTCCTCGGAATGCATTAAATAAAATCGGTGGCCATATTTCAATTCTATAAACATCAAATGTTACTTGGCTTATGCAAAACCGTACATAAAGTGATGACTCGGCAGACTATGCTTAATTCACTGAGTGCTTAATGTAGTTCAGATTTCTTGAATATATCAGCGAGATTGGCTGCATACACATGCATGTAAGGTATGTATTGACAGGTTTGTTTTCACGTGTTCAGCTAATGTTAAATGAATTTCGATGTTCAAATTTGAGTTGTCATTTTCGAAGCTAACTTTCAGCCTTATTCGCTTACACATATGAAATGCAAGTTATATAAATATTTGTCATTTTGATGTGTGTGACAACCAAAGCTACTTGATTAGAGATTTTCCAAATCTGTTTATGCACAAGGTGATAAAAATTAAGCATTTAATAAGTACAAGACTTGCCTCTAAATATTCAGGACACTCTTCACAAGTACTTTTACACAAGGATACGGTGCATTCCAAGAAGAGATCCATGATGTCGGGGAATTTAAAAGCGCTTAAATATGCATACGCAGAGATACTTCCCGAATTTTTCTGTTTCTTCCATCCTCCCATCAACTTGGTTTTCACGGCACATCCTCGGCTACAATGGCACAAAGGAGATTATAAATGTGCTTGGAAGTAAAATACATTCAGTAAAAATTGAGTAAGAATAACTTGTGACAAGTTAAAACATACTTGTCGCTAAGTATTATCCGATTTGTGGGCGTTCCATCTGTAGCCACACAGTTTTTGACGAGTAAATCGAAATCTGGATCTCCTTGAACGGTAACGACGGCAGTTAACATCTCTCCGACTCGAACCAACCCCTGTACGGAAGGGGCCCTGGGCCCTCGGCCAGACTGAAATGTAGGTTATAGATACATACACAAAAATTGCCGAAATCAGAATTTGCAATTGCCTTTGTAGTGCTCATGCATTGGTTCCAGCAGTCTCAACTTTTCGCTTCGGTTGAATGTACAAAGTATGTACTTATGTATGTGCCACTTTACCTGTTGGAAACTAATTTTAGCTAGATTTTTGCGTCATTAATTAAAGCGTTATAAAACGGATAGTCATAAATGGGCCACTTTTTACAAGCTTTCCGAGTTATTTGTTTCCAGCATACTTATTTGCCCTGTTTAAATGACACTTGCGTCGTCATCGCTGAAATTGACCGTGGGCTATAAATTTATACCTGCCTTTCCGGTCTGAAAGTTGGAGCGAAACATAGGCAAATGAGATAAGTTTGTTTGTTTGAGTTTGAAAGTAGTCTGTAGTAGCATGGAGAGTAGAAACATTGAAATCTGAGACGTAACAAAGGGTACGATTCTTTCTAGCCCCTACTCAAAGTCAGGGAACAAGGTCAAGCAGAATTCCAGTAATCCGTTTCCAACGCAAAACGATTCAAAGAAGATAGGACGTGATTGCAACATGATTTCCAGCCATCCAAACAACATGTGGGCAGTATGCAAATTAAGGAAGGCCGAGCAACCGTTACCTTTGTTGATCCCAATTATTTGTCTCATGCAATTCACGAGTTTGCTTTGTCCATCCTTCTCTATTTCCTCGTCCATTTAGGTGATTTCCTCACATGTATTGTACATGCACGTACGCTTTTAGAAGTACAATAATAATCTCAACAGGATTAAAATGAAATGAGAATTACACACATTCTAATTTTCCAAGTGCAGTTTGAGTTTTATTAATTTAGGCCGAGTTTGATAAAACGTGGGATTTGTTGAGTTTGTGTAAATTGCTTTTGATACATACATATGTACATAGTTTTCATGATGCAAGACAACAATCCTCCCTCATTGAGCTTTGTAGTGTTCTTTTCCATTCCATATCAATTAACAAATAAAACCCAGATTAAGCACTGTCAAACAGACGTGCAGATGTACGTGTATATGCAAGAATAAACTAGGAAAATTCATATGCAATCTCTAAAATCACGTGTACTTATTATTTGCTGCATTTTCTTGTTTGAAACAGTTATTCAGATAAAATTTAAATGTGATTGTTTGCTATTCAACCATTTCTTCTATTTATATACAAATTGCACTTTAAAATTAAGGATTTGGTTCTACAAACGTATGTATGTATGCAAATTATTGCTATCAATTAAAACAAACTATAGAGTTAATTTATAGAAACAAACAAGGAAATATACGCGTGATGAGTCTTCAAAAATAACTTTCTTGGCTGACAAGACAAAGCAGCTTGAATTAAACAAAGATTTCATTGCCACCATTCATAAAACAAATAGACAAGGCCTTTCTTACGTACGTATGTATGTACATGCGGATTTATAACGGTGAGATCTGTCTACGATCTCCCTTCGTCGCAAAATTATGTACGCTTGTATCGATCCTTCCCTTATGTGCACCAGCATCCCAAATAATACGAATTTTCACCAAAGTGAGTCGATAATCAAATATGATCAGCACAATTCCTTCAACTGGAAAGTATTTTTATTCATGGTGTATTTTAATATTTCAAGCACCTCAGAAAACGCTTAATTACACACTCGTCCATACGACCAGACGAGAGAGAGAGAGCCATGAATCCTTTATCTCATCATCTATTCACAAATGATTTATTGGAAATGAACGCAAAACTAATGATGGGTGGTAGGAAAAAAGAACTGTGTGAATCATAATTTCGGATTAGTTTACGACCCATTACAGCAATTTTACACTTTTCTTCTCCAAAGAACAATGATCTTGAGTCGGATTATTATTACTATACTTTGCATTATGATCACCACCTCACTCTTGCTTTCGGCTGAACTATGAATGCTCTGAAGATGAGTTATGAATGGGTGAGATTTTGAGACAGGACAATGAATGATATCCTTTTATAGCAGTCAGCACAATGAAAACATGCAGACTTGGATGGTGGATTTGATATTGTACTTTGACTAACTAATACAGATCAGTCAGTCACTGTGTTGGCAAAAGTTGTCAATAATATTCCTTCCTCGTCATAAAATTTTCTAAATTTTCGCCATTTGTTCTCATTTGCAGTCAATTATAATGGAACATCCTCCTCATCATCGTAAAAGTTGGACTGTCACTTTGGTCGTGTCCGTGTACCACGCAGATTTGAGTTTAATATTCAAATCATACTGCAGTGACTGCAGGTCTGTACTATATGCATGTTATAGTTTTTATCGTGATAAGCCCATTCTTGCTCCCGTAGTTGAATGAGCTATTGTTCAGCTAATACATCCGAGTCTGCTTTATTTGCTACCAACCAGCAGAGAATCGTAAGGGTGACTTTAATAGAAATCAATATTTGACAAGCTTGGTCTTGAAACGGGAGCAATAGGACTTGGTGAAATGCTGGGTGACATCGCTTTGTCCACTGTCAATTGTGATAAAACATCGCTGTCATGATATGATTAGGCAGCACCTTAAGCATGGGTGTGCATATGCTCGTAAAATAAAATGGATACTAAATCTGTGAGGCATATCATGTGTGTTTGTGAACATTGATTTATCAGTAGATGGCTACGGCAGGTATGTTTATAGCGTGGCACATTCACAAAATAGGTCAGTGATAAGGAAAATTAAAGTGTTTCTCATTCATAACTGGTGATATCTGATCGCACATCTCAGTTTTGAATACTATAGCTTTACATGCATCTGTTAAATGGATATTGGTCCACACCTACCAAAATATGACCCCCAATGACCCTCCCAGTCGGTGGCATTGAAGCCAAGTCAAATTTGTAAATTGCTTACAGAAGAGGTTACTAACACAATGATCAAATTATGTTTGTAATACTTAATGATAGGAGCACCACAATATGCACCACTTGGATTTGATTAGGAGCAGCCAAACATAGTCTCATTTGGTCTCATTATACATAAGAGGCTTTGAGCATCGTGCTTTTGTAAGCTAATTAACATTATAATGTCGGTAGGTAGGTATGTAAATCCCCAACGAATATACCAACTGGTAAGCATGTACGTAACACACAAGATTCAGCGTGAATCACAATCAATAATTAAGTGTGTATTTTTATTTGCCCACACACGTTCAGACTTTACGAGAGCAATGATCACAAATATCACATTAGATCCACTCCAAGCGAAATGACTATATGCATGCTTTTAAAAAGAAATGGCCCACATAGAATCATAGAATTATTAACGCAAGAAATGCGTTTATGATAACTAATATCTTACGGCTTGTGTGATTTGCATGCATTAAAATAGTGTCCTTCACCCGTTAGTACAGATTTTGAGAGGAAGAGGATAACGTAATCGCATTAAATATTATATTTTTTCCTAGACTAGAATTCCATATAGAAATGTGAAGATATGAAAGGGCGAGTCCGTTGTGGATGCTCATCTGCACGCATTCCATATTCAGTCGATGGAAATGAAGTGCAGGAGAAAGCAAAACAATCTGCTGAAAGCTTTTATGTGACAATTGACAATCAAAGTCAAAAGACTGACACAAGTGCCTTATTGTTGCTCAAAGTAGTAAAATTCCATTTACCTAACAACTGTTACATTCACCTACACACGCGCCCCTTCAGGTCAGTGAGTCAGGATACATAGAGTCCAGCAGCACACATGCAACACTGGCAGCTGGGCTCGCTGGTAGCTTTTATAACGTTCAGAAGCAATAATCTCACACGTCGCAAAAGGGCAACCTCTTGTCGTAGCTTCTTTGATGTGATTTCGAAAAGGTTAGCCTTTCGCAGTTGCTTTGAAAAAAGGTTTACATGCATGCACTTTGGAATCTCTTGAGCGAGTACTAGAGATTCTCATGTAGTGGTGCGAGAGACACTTTTTTTGCCCTTTTCGAAGGGGTCAAATTGTATGGTATTTTAATATGTTGCGTGCGTTGACGTGGTTGTCCCTTCTATTCTGAGACGTACGTACGTAATTTGCATAGCACATTGAGATTCATAAATATAAATCTGTGAAAGCATTTTGTAGTATTTCATTAAGCTTAAAATGATTTGTGTCAGGTAGCATAAATTTGGAAGGAAAGAACGATCGATAGTTTAAAGAATGCGTCACAATCGTTGACGTGTAGCATATTTTGCTCATCTATGTGCGTAGAATAAGCGTCAACAAACATAGCAACTCAGCGGTAACAAGCGCAGTTTTTTTCTGTACAATACTGATACCACTATAGCCTACTATTTGGTAGCCAAATTTCAAAGCAAAAACTACGCATAGGAAACGTTGGCGATTTAAAATGTAGAGAAAAAGGAAATACAACTGTTGAATAGAACAAACCTGGATTTCTAAATTGGCTGATGCAGTATCTCCGGAGAAAGTTAGGGTTTGCGATTCTATTGAGACATTACATACATATTACTTATATGGCATATCTTAGATGGGCATTAGGTATTACCTAACATATTGAGACTAAGAGGGTACGTCACAGTTTGATCAATGTTTCCTTCCCACAAACAGCGAATCCTCCTGTGAAAAAAACATATTGTAGAAAAATGGACGAAATAAAAGGAATAAATTCCACAAGTAAAAATATGTTTACCTTGCTTCATCCCACGCTTCCTGAACTCCTGGTTCCAGGATGATGACCAACATACCCTCCACGTGCGCTTGTCCACCAGACGTAAGACCAGAATCAATATATGCCACGCCACATTGCCCCACTACCATTTCAAATTGGTAAACTTTTTGACCTTGATTGGCTGCAGTGAATCGGCAGTTGGGATCTGAATAGTGCCCCTGAATCACACACACACAGAGCCCGTTTTATTTTTTTTAAGTTTTCATATTGTCATGCTCGCTTTTTTTGGCTAACTGATATTTCGTATTGAGGCGTACGTATTTAAGGGGGTTCATTAATCATTTAAATGTCTTTGTCAGGATCAATTAAGGTAGAAAAGAAACCAAGATGAGTTTTAAGGCAGAGATTAGACGGATTGGAATAAGGAGTCGCCGACGCAACATCGTCCGTAGGAAGCGAATTCACATACCAATGTATATGGGGTTGCTTTTAATGCCCACGTCGATTGTGTAGGTATATGTACAATAATATGTAAAAGAGGCTGAGGAGGTAGAGAATCTCATCATATCAGAGAGAGAGGAGACCGTGGTAATAATTTGGATGAGGAAAAGTGTGAGAGTTTCGATTTCTTGATGAGACTGTAGCGCACATTGTTTTTCTGCTAATTCATAATGCGCTGTGAAACGGCACTTGAGCGATACACAAAAAATTCATTAGTGTCCCAGTGATGCATGACGCTAATCTCTTCTTCACTCTCTTGGGAGTTGGAAGCTGCTGTGAGTTGATGATTGTCGTTCACCAAGACGCCAAACTTTTTATGCGTTGTTTACATTCGTTAATTAATGATTAAGGAAGGCTTACTTTGGCATAAATTACTCCGTTAAATTCCTGATCGAACGCTACCCGAACAGTCATTTTTTCCCGACCACACGCCACGTCGATCGTTTGTACTTGGGGACTGTGATGGACGTGCAGCTGGCGAGCGTTCTCCTCTGCGGAACTCGTTTCCAAACTGGCTTGTCCCACGCTGGCTTGCGTCACGGAGGACATCGATGCCTGGAAAATGTCGCAAAATGTAGACTTTGAGGATGTCAAGTGAATCTATTTTACTCAGAAAAGGATGATAGCTCCTGTGCCCCCAAAATGTAATATTGCATAATTGAATATTTGGTTTACGGGTTATTTACACAGTCAGAGGCACGTTGTGCATAATATTTTTAGTGCATTATCATTATTAACTACCGCTACTAGCTCCAGTGCTTTCTTTCTTATTGTCTAGAATCAAATTGGAGTCAGGGCTTCAGAGACTCATAAAACAAGAACTTGTATTATTGTAGCAAAGTTATTGCTCACTTTATTACCAACCAGGGAAAATGTAGCTGGATTGGTTGCAATCGTGTGAAATCATGGCACGAGGTTAATTTTTTCACTAGGTAGATATGCATGTAAATAAGTACATCATGATCTACAAGCAACTAAATCTAACCAAATAAAAAGATACGTGACTGAAACCTAACAGAAAAGAAAGGGAAAGCGTGCTACAGCACTTGAAAGTTAAAATGCCCAAGATTATCAATTATTAATCAATTAATTATTTAATATAATGGTGGTAACTCTAAATAATGTTTAATTAGAATTTATTACGTGCTTTTTGTTCATTCAGCATATCAGTCGACTGATCCTTTCAATTTCTTTGGCATTATATGTATGCATTATATGTACAATTAACAGTACGACTTACTTTGATTGACAGACCAACTACTTATAATACGCTTATGTAGGCATACCGATTTCAGTGGTCAAGTAAATTTGTTAAATTTAATTACACATAATTAAACAAAGTCGAGTCGATAATTTAATTGAAATGAGCTAACGAAGACATAAATCTTTATAACGGTTTTTACAACGTAGTAAGTTAAAAATTGTCGAAGCAAAAAAACTGCGTAGATTATAATTGTTATTGCGTATATAATATTTTGAAGGTCTTATTCGAGGCGACAAATTCGGAGGATTTGATAACTAGCGTGGGAAGGTGATGTTACAACATATAATGTGGACTATACGTGGTAGGGTTGTAAATATAGCTACTTATTTAGATTAATGATATTATTGACAAAAGTGCTTCCCCATCCAGTTTGCACCATCACGCAGAAGAGGAAAGATGAAAGACCAACTTGTTTTTTTGTCTTCCTTTGTTGAACCAAATTAAACAAGTGAGTTACTCTGTTGCTGAAATAGGATTCGAACCATGCAAATAAAAATCTCGGGACGCACCTCTAACCAAATCATCACTACCATTTCTCTCGTCTTCGACCTAATTTGGTGCGAGTTTGAATGAATTTTCCACAACGCAAAAGTTGCAAATAACTTCAAAATAACATTTTCAGAAACTAACAAACATGTGTCGTAACTCGTATTTTTCCATAATAATAATCGCAAAAAGACTTGCACAAACAAGAAGACCTTGCGATAAAGATTTCTGTATTTCTCTACGTACTTATGTATCCGAGTGTAGCATTATTGTTGGTGGTTATGCGACATTTTCTTTCATCGAGGGATTACGAAAGACCACGTCATTGCATTGCATAGTCATCATTCAAAGACTTACTGTTGACGACGGAGTGGTTCTAAAAACCTAGGCAAACAGTACAAAAGTAAGCGTCAAGCGAAGAAAGGAAGAAAAACTGACATGCGTCTCGGTTAATTGAAAGCGAGGCCTTGTACTTTGTTCTCTATGCGAGAAAGCTTTGGACTGCTCCGCGTTTACTTTCCAATTATTTACATTATATTGAAATTTTCATGTGATTCTTAAAGTGAGAAAAAACTTCTTTCACTCGTCATAATGCAGCCTCGTGTGGCATTTACTGGTCTTCAACCCATTCGTATTCGTAACGTGTACATATGGCTGGAAATTTGTTGGTCGACAATGCCGAGCTATCGCATTTCAAGGCCAGAACTACATCTTGTATGACCAGACAAACGCCGTCCAGGTAACCAATGTGGTCATGTTTTGGAACATTGCATTGAATGCATTTTCAAAGGAAGATTTATATGGGTTGCATGTCGGGAAATCTGAGCCGGATAAGAATTCAGATTCCCAGGGGCTAGCAGTCTACACTAATAATTCTATCGCATAGAAAGTTCCAATAGAAAGTGGCTACTGTTAAGTTTAAGACTTTTTTTTTACCAACTCTGGGAAATTGTGATCCAGTTATGCATCATCCGAGCTTGGAATTTGGATGGATTCTGCCTCAACACTTCACAGATACACTGAACCTTTTGTAATGAACAGGGCGGTGAAAGCCACAAGCAACCGAAAGCAAAGTTGTGGCAGCAGCTTGCTTGCTTGGATCTGAATAGTTTTCTCATGAAGCAAATAACTATTTGTAATATCATTTGTTTTCACACTGTGCTGAATTCTATGAGTTGTCACACATTCAATTATTCTGCCTTGCAGACATTGACCTTCCGGGATCTTCCCACCCGAACAGGACGTGGTTTGACCTCGCCTACTCGTGCATGTTATTTAGACCTTCTAGTAAATTCTCCATCTTGATAGCACCCTCCGCAGCAGGGCTGATATAATAATTGAGTTTATTAATTGGAAAAGTTGTTAATCCTTTGTTTATTCCAAGCGTTTGCCACTCGAGCAGTGTGCAGAGTTAGAATAGTTCTATCTGCGTAGTGTTTATCAGGTTTGCCTGTCCACTCGAATATGCATTCAAAATTTGAGGTATGCAGAGTGATACATCACTTGTAGATACAATGATGTGCGTATTTTTAATACCTGAGCAAGGACCGCTGAGGGTGAAGATTTTGTAACCTTTGACGCAGGAACTTGTACCACTTTTGGCCGCATAGACGTTATCGGCAGCATAGTTGTGGCTGGAGCTGATGTTGTTGTGGGCACTTCCGTGGTAATCATCATCATCATCTCTGAGACTGTTTTCGGGGCCACTTGGATTTGAGGATTGACGTTGGTAGAGGCTGGGACGGGATAATGATATCCCCCCATGACCTACAATATCATACAGAGAAATTATCCATGGATGATCGTCTCTCATATTAATTGAGGGAGGCTAAGAGCACTTCATTTAATTTTGGCTTTGTTCGGAAACCATAAGTATGATTAACTGATTATGAAACATATTGTAGTGACTTGGTGGTAGAATAACGGATAAAAGCCTGAAAAAATATAGTCTCGATAACTGATGCGACTCAGGAAAAAAATATTATTCATTATAACTTACTAAAGGTTCATACTCACTTTTTACCCAGTTTTTTTTAAAAATCCTATCATACTTAGCTTTGGATTTCTTAAAATATAGTCGCTCATTACTTATCCTTAGAAGGACTAAATACAATTGCAGACTAAAATAGTTCATGCCTGTTGTATGTACCTGTATCGTATTGAAAACGCAATGGCTGAAGTCTTGTACGCTGAAGGCAAACCATTCTACAAATTTAAATAACCTCGTTGCCCAGTTGCCTTATAAAGGGACCTTACGACTGGAGAATTTCTCCTTTGCATTAAGTGAAACATCACAATATCGTCGTCTCACAATATACTATTTAATGAATTTAAATATTCATTTAATTCATCATGGTCTGTTTGGAAGCCGGTAAGTAAATTAGTATGAAATCTCATTATCATGCTCAAATCAGTTCTACTGGACGCAGAGACAACTTGCTTCAGTTTGACAGTATTTATATGAGTAGCTCCTTCCATAATATATTAGGTTAAGCTATTAATTTCAGATGGCAGCCAAAATAGTAAGGACGAACCCCAAGAAAATTACAGATAAGTTATGTAATTTTAAACGTACTCCTAATTAGTATATATTACTGTCTTATTTGCTTTGTGTCTTTTGTGATAATTGAGGTTCATCCTTGGACAAAATTCTTTACTACATCATAAATCCGTCATTATGAAACAGTGACATTAGTCACGATCGGGTGATGCTTAATTGAGGAGGTATTATTGTAAAGGAGTCACGCAGCTAACTAATGTCAAATGTGTATGATGGTGACAGTGACAAATTAATCGAATAGCATGTAGGTACATGCACTCCCTTTATCAGGATAGACTTGGGATTCTACCTGCCCTTAAACTACTTTTTACTCAAATTAAAAAATTAAAACTAATTTAAAACAGATTATAGCTTCACGAGCTCGGAATCTAAACAAACAAAACCCTTGAAATTGTATAATCTGTATGCACTTACCTGGCTTACATGCTGCGAAGCTGCTGCAGTCACGATTGGACCATAACGATCCCGAAAATCCCGATGTGCACTCTGATGATGTCTCCCAGCTAGTACGGACGCCGATAACACATGAAAAATACTCAATAATAAACTGAATTTCCACATAATTAATAAAGTATTATGATTATTGAACGTCCCAAGTCAAGGAATTATTCACAGAGTGTATATGATTCAGAAAATGAAAGCAAACAAAACAGAAGAATGAAGAGGAAGACTCAACGACTTGGGCAAAAGTCTAATTTGCTCGCACAAGTAGTTTTCCCTTTCAATGGTAAGTTATTAAAGAACCATTAAATTTGAGAGGAATCGTGGGCCACTTGCATCCACGAGTTAAATCGACGACGAAATGAAGAGTGCACTATTCGTCTTCAAAGTATTTATACGGTGCATGATGAAGGAAGACGAAATATGTGAGCAAGTCAAATTCAAATTGTAGGCCAACAAAGAACATACAGATAGATCCGAATCTGTCATGTGAAATGTTAGCCTCACGCAAACGGTACGCAACAAGCAAGAGAGTCTGGTGAGAGGAATCGTCGCATCCACGGCATCGTCCACACAATGACATGTTATAATTATAATAAGAGATCCTCCTCGTCGTCGTCGTCATCTTTGCCATATCCTCAAAAGTAATGATTGCTTTACTGTCGAAAATAAGCAGGAACATGAGGGAAGCACCATTAAAATCTCAGCGCAGATTATAGACAACTAAACCATAATACAAAAGCGATTCGAAAACGAGCAATTCCGTTTAACCGTATTTCACAATTAGCTCGTGTTAAGTAAGATAAATATTATTTTAAGAAAATGAAATGAGATTTTTGGCCATTGTCTGTCTCCCATATTTATCTCTTAACTCTTGAATTTACTCACTTTTACTTGAATTATGTATCTGCTGCCAGTATATAGAAATTTAAAAGATACTGTCAATTACTGACAATGTGTAGTACGTAGGTGATGTAGTTTTGTGAACATTCTAGATAAGAACAATTTTTGCAACAATGAGTCACGACGCGTTTGTTATGTGTAGTCAACAATGGGTAGTGGATAAATACCTTCCTCGGGCGGGCATTATATTACATGCACACATTTCGGCTGTAGTATTTAGGCGAAGGTTCAACAAAATCGGTGACAAAGATCAAAAGTCCCAATTAGAATTCCGGTAAAGGATTGATATGGCAGACGACCGTTGGAGAGCTTAATTGATTCAGTCAATCAATCAATCATTTTAAAAATTTCTGTTATTTCAATTTCTATTCACACCGGACCAATAGAAAAGAATGGAGCACTGGTATGATGGACATATTCATAATTAATATTTCTGCCTCTGTTGATGAGTAGTTTTATGCAGAATTGGATTGTTCTATTTCTGTATTTAACTATAGTGTTCATATGTAATTAAAATTTAACGAAGTGAAGGTGATGAAATTGAATGATTTTTTTTGTAAAAATTCGTATTGTTTAGAGCCACAGGTATTTCAAAATCTTGCATATTTTAAAATCCAAAATAGAGTTTATCAAGGACCGTACAAATTATAATTGGATGAAAGTTTATTGGCACACGGCCTTTATAATAGCCAAGATACACCTTGAATCAACTCTTGATTATAAAAGCAATGATAATTATTGATTAACTCATTATTGGATGCTGTATGGTCGAAACTTTAAAAATAGGTAATTGGGATGTTGGCATCTTGTAAATCATTCTCAATACGTGATATCGCTCCAGTATTGACAAACTTTGAGATTGGATAACGTAACATAAATCACAGCCATATTGATTTTATGGCTTTGTAAATTTATACGTAACCCAAAATGCGTATGATGCAAGTTTCGGCATAGTGCGGTAAGCAATCGTGTAATCCCCAAGTCACAAAACCTTTTCTGAATAAATACATTAATGACTTAAATTGCTCAAATTTTTAAAAATAGTTCTTCCTTCCCAAAATCGTAACACAGGAACTACCACCCCAAATCCCAATTCTAAGCCCTCGTGAGGTTGTAAAATACTCATCTGTTTTATGGGAAATCGACAGGTATTAAGGGTGTCATTTGACAATATTTGTCGGTAATTAGTAATGATTCCTGTTACGAATCTTATCATTGTTGGCTCTAATCATAAGCTTCCCTCTGCGGAATGAGGAAGGAGGTCGAAATAACTATGACCATTACTTGTGTAGCAAATTTCTTGAATTTACTCGTGAATTTATCATTTTATTTCGTCCAGCAAGAGTAAAATTGATTTGGTTTAAAAATTAGTAATGCAAACAACGACTAGTGAGATATGGTAGTAAGAGTTACTCAGGTACCCGGAAAATATTGCCAAGTGACACTGCAGCCTTAATTAGTCGTCCTTCCGATGAAATCTTGCGAATAAAGTACAGTCATATGAAGCAGCCTTTGTGCATTTCACTTTTCACCAAATGAGAAGATCACATTTGCATTCACTCGCGATTGATTAGTTAATATATGTACACCTAATCATCTTGGTGATAGAGTGCCCATTGATGAAGACGAATGAGATACATCTCTCTGTCAGACTGTAGGCAGTACTGTCAAGCGAATGAAAACGAACCTCAAATAATTTTGCTTGGATTCTCTAGATGCTAATTCTATTTAAAACACAATATGAGCCACCACCATAATCATTATCATTAGCAGCAGAGAGAGAAAAGATATTCGCAATCTTTCTTCCCTTGCCACCGTGGGTCGGATGCACCGGCCATGTCATCTATCATTAGATGGTGTCACTCTTCAATTAATTCCCTGCGCTACGTTCTGTCTTTATTCAGAGATAAATTTGACACAACACAATGGAGATTTACAAATAAGATTACCTACTGCAGTTTTCTCACAATTAGAATCGTTTAATGCCCAGGTGGATTTACAGATTAAAAGTCTACCACAAGCAACAATGCAACACAGACAGGGAAAACTGAAGGGAAGCCCATATTAGCTAACAATAAGATGATGAGCTAGATCCGAGTATTGTGAAAGAAATGCCAAATCACACATGGTCGATTTTGATCTACAAATTCTGTGTCGTTTCTTTTATTAGAAGTGTCGGAAGTGTTGGAATATCTGTACAATTTTACCAATATTTTCATGTTGTATTCTTCAGAAACTCAAATCTAAATCATCTCGAGTCCAATTTGTACGTTGCACTTATATTTATTTGATACATAGGTACATGATTTGAAATAATTTCTGCATATAAGCAGTTAGCGTACATATGTAAATATGTACATAAATACTTATATCAGTATATCATAGCCCCTATATGTGATCCATAAGGGACATTACTAATTTGTTAAACACGTCACCAAAAAAACAGCGTGGGCAGCAATGTGACATCTGTCATTTTTGGCATACCATTAATAAACATCATTATCTTGTCGATGCATACTTGATTAGTATCACCATCGATCCCCTGACCTAGAAATCGCAAAAAGTTTCCATTTCAACGACCAAAATTAACTTACAAGAATTTAAATTCATTGTTGCTTTGAGAATTACAAATTAAGTATAACACCACCACATCCTTATGATCTCACCCGTAATTAGATTCTCACTCTCTTTACAACCTCACCAAATAATTACATGATACAATTAAAATAAAAGTATGTAATTATTCACAGATACACATTCCAAATTGGTGAAAACGATGTGAGCCACATCAAATTAAGTACTAGACTCTTTTTTTAGTACAATTGACAATGGTCTGCTTGCTTCACTTTTTTAATTTATCATCATTGTTTGATTTATCTCAGTGTTAGCCATAAAACTAACTTTGAACAAATCTGTGTAAGAGAAAGTAAAAACATGGTTGCATTTTCTCTACAAAGTCATCAACAACACTCCCAACAAAATTAGCAATTAGCAAATAAATATATTTTCAAGATTCTATTTTTTTCCCATTTTCACCAGCCAACGTTAATGTTCATTAGTATTTGAAATATTATCCCACAAGTGTCAGGAGGAATGTCAAATCAATTTCCAGCAAATCATTTTAACATTAGGGCAACATTACAAATTACAACCGTTTAAATCCGCGTGAACCAGTGCAACTTGAATAGTAGCCACTTGAAGTATGTAATCATGCTGAATCAGGATTGCTGATGAAAGCCGTCGTCATAATAGCATTTGGTAAAATGAATGTGTAATGTTGATTACCACCTAAATAATTTTGTACGCCAAGACCAAACTGACCGTATATTATTCAACAATGAATTGCTGATGAACAAATAAAAGGCTTCATGAGTAACGCAACAATGAAATGCTGTTGTTAACAAATTATGCAAAATCTTAAAATGTTAAAGCTACATATGCCCTTGGTCAATGTTCATTGACCAAGGGTTATTTGCGCTATTGATCATATTACAAACCTCCAAGAGATTAATCCGAGTAATTGAACGCATTAAATTGCCCTGCCAAGCGTTATGACATTGGTTTCATTGCACATTCATTTTGCCTCTTCTTTTTTGGGTATCGCATTTTTCGCCTAGTTGCTTAAACTAAATTGAAGAAAAGTGTTACTAAATATTTAATTAAACCCCAATGCAACACTACTTTCAACAGGTTGTTACTGTTCCGAAATAAATTAAATGAAAAGCATAATAATATTCGGAATTCCGGCAACACACGTCATGCATGGTTAAAACGCTCAACTATCTGTATAGTATATAGTCATACAAACATACATACGTATTTACGCATTTATACATGTTATACATATTTATATGACGCTCTGCTGGACAACATTGCGCAACAACTTGTTTGCACTTTCTCTCTCTCTCTGGCCATCAAACCATCTAATCTAAACTCATCCTCAGCTGGTTCTTGTATCCCTATTTTTTTCGGTGATGGCCCTCTTGGGTTGTCCTCGTTTCCATTGATAAGCAAGCACCCACTTCAAATATTTTTCCTGATAACTTATACTAGTCTTCTGTACTAATTTGTGTAGCAGCAGCTGGAGGGCAGATTCTTTCTTCTTTAAACTGTTAGGTTTCAGTTAAAAATTCAACTCATAATGGATCTGTGCAGCGTTTTGTGTGTATTGCTTATTGTATTTTTCTCTGTTTGCTTGGCCATTATATGTCTCAGTGATTCTGACATTATTACATTTCTTTCCTGCTACTTGGGAAAACAACCGGGTACATATATACATACGATATTGTTGTGATTTCGTAATTTGCATATCCATGAATTCAGTTTAATAAACGGTAATGTCAATATAAATATTTCAGTTGACGCATTCAAGGACTCTGTCGTCTGGATAACTGGAGCATCCTCGGGAATCGGGGAAGGTTAACCTACTTGACAGGGGTGTACCGCTCCCTGTAACCACCTACCTACCGTATGGTACCCTAAATCCCCGTTTTTCAAAGTGAATGACCTAGGGTCGACTCATATACCAAATTGTAGGTATTAATGAGTAAATCATTTCTACATAAAAAAATCCCAACTTTTACACTCAAACTTTTGCATGAAAAATCAAAATATGCGCAAAAGTCGCATTTTTTTCTCACTTTTTGCGCATATTTTGATTTTTCCTGCAAAATTTTGAGTGTAAAAGTTGGTATTTTTTTATGTAGAAATGATTTACTCATTAATACCTACAATTTGGTATATGAGTCGACCCTAGGTCATTCACTTTGAAAAACAGGGATTTAGGGTACCATACGGTAGGTAGATGGTTACAGGGAGCGGTACACCCCTGCTACTTGACATGTCTAATTATTCACAAAATAAATAAATCATTTAAATAACTTGGCACTTTAAATAACTTAATAATGACTATGCAGGGATAACGAAAGAGTTGTCAAAATGTGAAGGATCAAAAATTGTCATATCGGCACGCCGGGAAGATGAGCTTAAACGAGTCAAAGCGGATTGTCTCGGTAAATCACCTGAATTTACATGGATCATTAATTACTAAACTCTTATAACTAGTATGTTTTCTTCAGCTGCCAACCCGTCCAGAAACCAAAATTCCATTTTAATTTTGCCGTTGGATATGACGAATTACGCTTCACATGAACCAGCCCTGAAGAAAGTGTTACAAACGTTTGGGAAGGTATATATGTACATTGGTTAATTATTATTCAAATATTATTCATTTTGTTGGGGCTGCAATATTTTTCATTATTTTATAACACTCTGTCCAGTTAGATGTACTCGTATCCAATGCTGGTCGTTCACAGAGGGCTAAATGGCATGAAATTGAGCAGGAAGTGGATAAGCAACTCTTTGACCTGAATGTCTTCTCGCTTGTCAACATGAATAGAATAGTGTTGCGACACTTTTTTGAAGCAGGCAAAGGACATTTGGCAGTGATTTCGAGCATCGCTGGAAAAATAGGGGCACCAAACTCTGGCTCTTACACCGGAAGCAAATTTGCTTTGCACGTATGTTCCCTACAAAACTGATTACGGAGGTAATGCAATGCTTGTATGTATCGTAGTATTTTATGACTTGTTTCAGGGATATTTTGAGAGTTTACGTAATGAGATAAGAAATCGAAACATTGGAATTACAATGATATGCCCTGGACCAGTATTCTCTAGTGTCCTGAAGGAGGCATTTACATCTAAAATTAATCAGGTTTAAATGCAAAAGATATAAAATGCATTATGAAGTATTTTTTACAAGTGCATGTTTTATGATACTATAGAAAGTGGATCAAGATCACTCCCCCAGTGATAAAAGAATGACTCCTGAGCGTTGCGGCTTCCTGAGTTTGGTAGCAATCGGGAACCAGCTAGAAGAGAGTTGGTGTTCACCATTTCCAATTATTTTTCTGACCTACCTATCTGCGTATCAGCCATACATTTTCTCAAAGTACGTGCAGTAATAGCATATTTGAAAATTTGGTTGTAATAAATATTGCAGATATCTGATATAATTTGATGCATGCCACAATTTAGATTGTCCCAATTGATGCACTCCACTGGATATTTCACAAAATTACGAGATAACAAAAACATTACAGAGCTAACAAACAAGGAAAATTGAGTACTTTTAATGATCAGAATCCAAAACATTCAATCAAATCAACTCAAAGTCTGATACAGTTTTGATGAAAATTATTATTGAGATAATGTTACTAAAAGAGCTTCAAGAACACTTTCAGACATAAATTACAATTTATGTTGCAACGAACTTTCTTGAATTATTGGAAAAGCTTTATTAAATCGATAGGAATTATTGTTATGTCATTACAATAGTTACTGTTATAGTCATTATGTTAGTAAATTAGTACATCTGTTTGAGATTTGTTGCCAACTGCTGAAAAACTTGTTTAATCTTGGTAAATGAGGGTCTTGCATTTGGTGCTGAATTCCAACAAGCCAGCATAACTTGGTATCTTGTAAATATGAAAATAATTTAGATTTAAATAAATTATAACTAAATATGATTTAATTTTGCATATATACATAGTTATTATGTAATGTATGTATGCATAAAATACTAACATTTTGTCATTGCTGAATGTCGGTTTCTCCATACGATATCCATTTTTTAGCAAAATATATGACTGAAAATTCCATTGTGGGATGCCAGGGTATGGAGTTGCTCCAAGTGAAAATATTTCCTGAAATCACATTAGAATGTCTGTAACTTATAATTTGTGGTGGATTTAGTGATTCGACTAACCCATAGTGTCACTCCGTATGCCCAAATGTCACTCTGAATTGAAAACTCAAAGTCTTGAAGACTCTCAATCGCTAACCATTTTAGAGGTAGTGGACACTATAAATCCCCACAAAAAAATCCATAAAACAAAAAAACCTTGAGAGTTTTATTTTCATATAAATAAGTCTAACGAACTTCGAGCTTTTGGACATAAATGGCATAATCTTCAAATAGCTGTTTTGAAAGTCCGAAGTCTCCGACTTTTGCAACTAGTCCTTCTGTGAGGAGAACATTTCTCGACGCAAGGTCACCGTGAATTATCTTAACGAAAATTCAAAAATTTTATGAGGTTAGATTGTGGGTTCGACGTATGGTGCACTGTGCAACCGTGGTTGCCGGGAAAAGGGGGGGGGGGTAAATTCGGGAAAAGAGGCTGACTTTAAAAACCCCCTCGGTGAGGGGGTTGCGTTTGGGGGACCTTCTTTCGGCCCAATTTCCCGTCGTTTCCCCGTCGTTATAAGAAAGTTATTTCAACAACTTATGTTAAAGGGAAGAACGTTGAACTAGACTTACCTTTTTACTTGACAAATATTCCATCGCACACGCAATGTCATATGCCCAGTTGACGAGATAAAGCGTATTTATGCAGGGCAACACGTTGACATTATCATTTTGCACATTAGCATCCATGAATTTAACCCCCTTTTTGCATTCAATCACGGCTTTGTTAGTATTAAATAAGTCAAGACACATTCCCTGAGACTGTTTGAGGAACTTGAGAAGACTTCCGTTGTCGCAAAACTCGGTTAGGAGATAAATTTCCCCTGAAATTGAAATAATGTCTTCTCTGACTATCTATCATTGTATCGTTGTATGTACTTTGTGGGGTGGCCAGACTACTCATTAATAGACAGCCAGACCCGCAGTGGTAGCACATTAAAGTAGCACAGTTGCAACTGCGAATAAAAGAAAGACTGTACTTTTTGTTCGTAAATTCCGAGTGCATGCACCAATCATGTTAACCAAATTCGGGTGTTCGCCAACAAATTGAAAAATCTTGATTTCCGACAGAAGTGCTTTTATATATCTCACTTCCGCTGTTTTCTTCATGGTTTTTATCGCCACGAGACGAGAGTTATACAGCCCTTTGTATACTAATCCAAATTGGCCTTCGCCAAGGATCGCCGTATCTGAATTTTAACACGTGATATGAATTTATGTAGACTATGAAAACTATGTTTCAACTCAAGTTTTTTAGAGCTGATGGAACGTTAGATTGTTACAAACCAAGTATTGTGATTTTCTCCTGTGGTACTTCATTGTCCAAGGAGTAGGGTAAACTGAGGGCTTGAGTTTCAGATTTACTATTTCCTTGCTCAAATTCTTCAATCTCCTCGTCACTGAGCAGTTGTAATTTTTTTCGGTAATGATTCCTGATCAGCAGAAATGATGCTGCCAAAATAATCAGTAACACCGGGATTGAAATAGAACCCACAATTATGATGATCCCTGCAAAACCAAGTTATAAAATTCCCTTGAAACACAGCTTCAATTAACATTATGCTAGAAATAATTAATGGATATTTATTGTCTGAAGTACATTTCCAAGTAATTGACTCGACTTCAAATTCATAACTTTGACTGCCACAGAAATTTATGGCTACGCAACGCACAATATTTGCAATATTTCTGGGTAGTTTTGCTACTAGTGTGCTGTTTGTGATTCCAGTGTTGTCAATGGAATAGTGGATTATTTTGTATAAGTCTCCCGTAAAATGATTGTCGAGGGGGTTCTAAAACACAGAATTACTTTTTGCACGAAATTTTGTAATTAAGTATTTATATGGGCTATATTGTGACTTACCGAATTCCAAAACCACGTGAGTGGGGCGATGGGGCTTCCGCGTGCAACACAAGAGAACATGTGCCAATAATCTTCGCTATCGTTCGATTTGTCATATGGACCGTCTTTAACCGACACAATCGTTGGTTCCTCTGGCACTGTGAAGAAATTTTTGTAGTATGTGCCACCATATGTAAGTATTTTTTGAAACGTAGTTACTGATATCAAGTGTTTGCATACTTACTGTTAACGACTACGTCCATGCTGGCATCTATCCAATCTACTTTGTTCCATCTCGGACCGAAGCAAATAATCTTCACTGAATCGTTGACCAACATCTTATCGTTGGTCTTGTTGAATTGGATAACGGTTTGTGCCTGATAGCTGTGGATCGTCATGTTGAAACTTTCTTTTGTAACATCACAGTCTGAAATACAAACAGATAATACACGAATTTAAACATAGCACATCAGCGTTGAAATTGCAGGTTACGAATCTTCACCCAATATCGTAAAGTTGTCACTATCAATCCTTCCAATGCCCCATTGAAATCCATAACTGAAATAATGCTGTCTTTCCTTATGAAGTTACTAAGTAAATTAACCTGTAATACTAACTGTTAATAACCTGTAATAAGCCCCGGCACCATTGCATGTAAAAGTTACGTTTTGACCGAAATATATTTTAGTCTCATTTGCCTCAAGCCTAATTGTTTCCGGACCAATTTCATTATCTCTTCCTAACCCTAAAATAGCATAGTTTAAGAAAATCGAGGAAAATCAATGACTCGGTTGATAGTAGTCAGCGGACATTCTTGTTTTATAATTAATACATACGCATTATAGGTCCCTCAGAAACATTTTTGGGTGGGTAGACAAAGTATCTTCTAGCAATGGAATTATTGGCTTGATCTCGGCAAATAATCACGGCAGGGGAATATGATGGCAATAATTGGACGCATTTATTACTACTGTTGCAAACTGCAGTGCTAAAGGTATTGTTACAGACATTTCCACGTCCACTATCTCCGTGGTCATCCTGCTTGTTCAAAGTGTTTGTTAATATCATAGTTCAACACAGAGTAGCAAATGCATAAATTCGTTGCTTATTGCAACTGTTGAGAAAACTCACCAAGACAAATACAGAGTTGCATTCATCGGGATTGTTGCAATGAATTATTTGAGGTCTAGAATTATCACCGCACTTAAATTTTTTTGTGTCCGTATTCAATTGAAGCGTTACATTGCAATTTTTATTTTCTCCAAGTCGCCTTTCCTCAAAATTCTTAATTCCTAAAATTAAATTCGTTTTGAGATAAAAAAAAGACATTGTGGTACATATTGTGAGGCATAATATTTACCATTATAATCGGGTGTCACTCCCACTTCTATTTTAAACGTATCATTCGATTCAAAAGATTTAATGGTCGTACTAAGATTCGATCCTGCAATTTTTGTCCGAACGCAAAAAATCGTAGGCACAAAGTAAGGATCTTTGAAGTTTAATGTCAAATTGGAATAAAATGTGTACGTAGAGTTGTCCCAGAAAGATTTGATTGTCCTGCGTTTCGTTATTGTAAAATCCTTAAGAATTGGACAGTTGTGCTAAATATCAAACGCAATAAATGTAATAAGAGAAGTTCTTTTCTACGAAACTTAGAGCACAACTTCTGAACTTACTGGAGGCGTGTCAAATTTCCAAAATGTAGGATAATCAGCTTGACAAGTAAACCTTAGCGATTGGAAAGTAATAGGAAGGAGATATCTGTGCGATTGTCCACATCTTGGCTCCAGCTCGTTAAGCATATCGTTTGTGTGAAACCTGGCTTCAACTAATTTGACGATGGGTGGGGTTTCCAAAGACTCCATTGGTTTCGTGCACTCGGACTCTGATGACCGATTCCAAGACGTAATGTCATTTGGTGGCTCGGCATTCGACAAGTAATTAGTTGATGATAATACGAAGACTATTAGTGGAAACTTGGACATGCTATTGTAAATGTAAAATATTTAGTAAGTAATCTGGCCTTTTCAACAAAATAAATAAGTTTGATACAAATAAATTTCTTGATTCACTTTTAAAAAAGATTGTAATGGCAATGAAATTATGTCATTAATGTGAACTGCTTATGTATGCAGTCATGTGTCAGGAAAGGCGTAATAGGAAACAGGAAACCCCACCGCACCCATCATTCCGCCACCATATGCAACCACGATTCATGGAAATTGGCTATTGGTAATGGTTGACATAATAATACCACGATACACATTATGCAACTGTCCATAGTAGTATTTAGTGTTTCTCAATTTATTTGGTTACTATAAAATTCAATATTAATCGGATTTCCGTTCATTTATTAACAATTCAAAGAATAACAGATCTAAGTATATGATGATTGCATATTTTGCATGCAAGCGTTTAAAGGCATTTTTGGTTTAATAAATATTTTTATACATCGCATAAATACAAAATATTTTAACTATTTTACATACGAGTTAATGACAATTTCGCTGATTTGAAACATTGTAATGACAACGAAATGACGCGTTTACGTAGTTTAATTGGAGGAACACACTGGTTGTTGTATCAGGTATGCAGATGGGGTTAGACTAACGTCGACAGCTCGATCGTCGGGAATGGAGACGCCCGCATTGGCATCATTGGGATTCTTTTAGCAGTTTTCTCTTGTTGCCAGGTAAATACTTGATGGACCATGGAGCATCCTCCAAAAATAATCGCTGTCCCGACCTAAAATTTTTCTTGGTTAGTTTTGTTGTGGAGGTCAAATTTATAAAATAAATTTTGAAAACTTACGCAAGCGGTCGCAATCAGCGCGGGCGGTGAGAACGTAAGATGTGTGAAAGTATAGAGGACAATTGCGGATAAAAATATAGGGATAGAGAGGAAAAAGCCTCCTATGGCAATCCCTCGCGTTACGGTTACCTTCTGTAAGAACGAAGTTGAACCAGGAGAACCTGTGGGAAATGTATGAAGATGATAAGCAATGATTCAGTATTTAGGGATTTATTTTTACTACCTGACACGGCGAAAAAGAATTGAGCACTGGAGACTAATAGCACGCACAGATTGATTGAAAGGCACATAGCTGATAGACATAGCGTCACCTCGTACATCATCTCGACTTCACCACCATCTGAAAAAATGTCATTAATTCATGAATTAATTTGCATGCATAATCATAATAATCTTATTAAATACTCGGTCTGACGTGAATATATTTACAAGAATAACTTTTCTGAAATCTCTTATCCAACCAAGGTCACATGATTGTTTATAAAAATACTGACTGGATGTTATCTGACACATGGGTATTTAATTTTAAGTATTTTTACTTACTAGTGTACTTGCGGAGGAGAGGCGATACAATTTGTAACAGGAAGTACAACGAGTTGAGTGCCAGAAGGAGGGATAATATTGACAGTAGAGAAAGTGACCTGAGAATCCCATGTCGGAAATAAGCTGCATGTTGATGGCTTGAACTAGTAATATTTGACGTATTTGACGTCTCGTTTAGAACATTATTTGGTGGCGGAGGAACTGGTGGGGGTTGTCCAGGGGAATAGTAAATACTTCCATTGTGAGGTTGTTTGTGGTGAGATCCGCTGATTAAATCATCTTTTGTCGTGACCCGAGATATTCGCGACGAGTCCAAAAATAGTCGTGAGTTGTGTATGCTTGGATAAGATTGTTCCAAGTAACCTGTTTTTATTACAACAATCTACATTAGAACGGCTTCAAGTTCTTAGTTTTTTATGCATTTTTTGGTGCATACTTTTACTGTGAGAGTGCTGGGGTTGGTGATGGTGCTGCTGGTGGAGGGGTGGTTGGTAAGGGGTGTGGTGTGGCGGAGGACCTTCAATGAAACGCGTGGGGTCGACCACCGTTGAGTGATGCAGGTGATGCGATGTATCCCCCGAGTGGGATGAACTCGTAAGCGGATGTTGCGTGGTTTGCAGCGGGGTCCCAGTTGACCCGTAATGACTGATCGAGTGCTTTAGCATCTGCAACCACGAAAAATCATCAGCGTTTTAATCATAATATTACATGTTTGTAATTTTCGACCTTGGACATAAATTTATACTGCGTAGCTAAAGCAAACTTTTCTAAAAAAATAGTTTCTAGTAAAAACTGAAGTACATACATATAGTACATCAACTTTGTTTACCCTCGCAGTGAGGTCCCATTAAAAGGTTTAAAGCTAAAAAGGTCATACTTGTAAACCAACCAACACTTTTTTTGGTTTCGAACACATACAAGAAGGACAAATTGCAGGAAGATGCTTTACATATTAAACATTTAAGAGTATTTACTTTGAGAGATTTATGACCCTAATGAAAGGTTTATCTATCTAGATTTTCTATACATATAGCTGGAATTGATTTCCAATTTTATTAATTGCCTATATAGGCAATTGATCAAGTATATACTTGAAGTCAAACTTTTCCTCAGAAAGTCCTCTTAAACCGGTGTCATGCTTTGAAGCTGGCAATTTAAAAAAACGTAATCCTTCTTAGTGTACATGAATTTGAAAACTTTAAAGTTCTCATCTTTTTCTCCCACTTTCATGCAATCTTGGAGCAAGTATCCTGCTTAGTCTCCCTGCCAATCATATTCCCAAGGACCGCTGCTAGTGACTAGCCAGCATAAAGTAATATAATTGCGGTTGTTAAAATGTGATGGACATGCACTAAACCAAATTCCTGCAATCAATAGTAAACGGGAGCGGACTGTGAACAGCAGAACTCAAAAGGTCATGTTGTTTTAAGATTGTTTCCACTTTTTGTTGGTGGCGTTGTTTATTTACATGTATTTTCTCGCCAATGAGACCTCTGTTGTTGAACAAGGTATCAAAACTGCATAATAGTTGAAGAACAACCCCGTAATTTATCCGTGATCGCATACTTCTATCGCATACTATTACCTTATTTACCAAACACTTGGTCTATTCAACTTTGAAACAAAAGGACAAAAAACGATCCAATTATCGTACCATTGTTTGAATTAAAGAACAAGGAATCGTTTAGCAATCATTATTATTGGGAATGGCGATTCAATTTATCTTGTTCATTCCACGATTTTTTTCACCCGTCTCTCTCTCTCTCTTCCTCTAACTAATATGCATTCGTGCGTGCAAGCACCTTCAGTACGTAAGGATTCCGGTCTGAAATCTTCTCGCAGCAATCATGTCCATACCACTCACTGCATAGCTCGCTTGTACATATACACACGTAATTGTTTTCAGCAAAGCTTGTGTGTGAGGAATCTGGATCAAATAATTAAAACTCATCTGCCAACTTACAGGTGGATAGCCCTGGCTACCACTTCTTCCTCTTGTTGCACGAGGTGTTGTCGATGGTTTCATCGATTGTGAGATGTTCAATGACCGGACTGAGTAAGACATGACGATAACATTAAACTGCCGGACTTACTGTATCACACACATATTTACATATTCGAGTTGCAGCACTAACTGTTCATGATCAACTGAATCAGAGATTGTTATTGTTGGCGATGTTGAACAACCACATGTCTCACTGTCCCGTCTGGTTGGATTTGACATTATGAATTTTATACAACCCGTCGCTTCACTTCGTAATAGGTTTGCTAATTTGCATACGTAATCCCCAATGCGAATGCCACTGTTAACGGGCGAATTTAAATGGTTCTTAGATCGTCAAGTCAATAAGGACCTATCAAAGTGCAACTTTACATGACCATAGTTTTATGATTCGTCATAAATGTGGACAATCCAAAGATCTGGTAAGATAACCAGTCACAAATTTGAAATTAATGGGGCTACTAAAGTTTAAAACATGTCAAGGGTTTCACTAAAATTGAGAGTATCGTGCATCGAATCGGAGAAGCCTGGACTGTGAATAAAACTACACCAAAAACAATTATTGTGGGGAAAATGAAATTATTTATTGTTCCGAGAATTGTGTGTAGCTTAATCCAGTTAATTTTTTAATCTCAGGAAACAAGGTATGCACTGCGTGTGACAGTGCGAATACTGAAAAAATGCGTAGTTATAAATTCACAGGAGGAGTTTCATGACTTAATTGCAGGCACCGTTTTGTGCGTTTTCCACCAATAAAACTTACAACTTGCGGGAACAATATTTATAAATAGCGACGGAAACAACACGGTGTAGCATGTCGTTGGAAGGAGATTGGCAATTGTTTCAAAGAAAACACAGAACTCAGCAGACGCCTGGCATTGTTGATGTTCACGCCCAACTCCAACTTGAGTTTCAAACAGTCTGACATGAAGTGATGCCCTGCGTGAACTAAAACTGAGACTCCCATCGTTTCATCAGGTTACCAATTCGATTTCCTACTACATTACAAGTGAGACGTTTACTCCAATTTATACGCTTCACTGTATTTGCCATATGTACGATGATAACACTCCCCTTTCAACTTCAACATTCACGAATCACCACCGGATCACTTTCGCAGATAAGTTTACATAATACGTGAAATATATAGCTGCAAAAGGAGTCACTGTTCTGTGTTGTGGTGGAATGTGTGAATGCAGTTAGTTGAATAAACATTTTCCATGCGTATCATGAAACAGATCACTTATGAGATGACGAGCCTGCGGGTGTTGAAACTAGAGTTCGCGTTGCAAATAAAAACTCGTATTTATGAATCTTGAAACAAACAATCTGGTCCTATCTAAATATTTATAAAAATCCCAAAGTCACACCCACCACTGAAATCTGATATGAATGAAGATCCCTCGCATTGCAGTGCTGTCAATATTGATGCCATGATCGGGATCTGGAAATGATGCAGATAAAACATGACACCTAAATTCTCTCATACATATTTTCATACATGGAAAAATAAATTAAAACAAGTCTAAATACCTTGCTTCGCAGTAAAAAGTGAGATTAATTAATGCAATGCTATGCAGGTTCTCCTCCTTAAAATTCAGAGCGTTTCTTGAATATCAAGTTCAATGTGTCTTAACATCGAGCTGATTGCATACCTCCAATTTATTATTAATAAAATGCACTCCTCGTCAGTATACCTACAAACTCATGCATGTGGTGACTAGCCGAAACAAATTGTTAAAGTGTATGCTAACAGCACGCGCTATTTTGATCAGGACATACACAGTTCCTACTCCATTGTATTAAATCCGTTTACTAACATGTCAGTCAACTTGCACATTATTGCTGACAATCGACTCGGATTATTTGGCCAGATTCTTCTGACGGATGATGGCATAGCTGGCTAGACCAGTTCAAATAGGAAAGCCTACTAAAATGGAGCACTGGTATTCTACGTGGGATGGATGAAATCGCCATTTGAAATGCAAAATCCGTCTACCACGCAACAAACCATAACACAGTTTGACGGTCCACGTGTACACACGCCGAGGAGCGAATTGTGTGTGAACTTCTTAAAGCAAACATTGACATCGTTCCGTTACATATTCATGATCATGAATGAAACCTACACATAGATACATCACAATAGAAAGCTACATAGTTGGTTTTATAATCTTTGCACCAAACATGGGATAATTTTTACCACCGTGAACTTTTATTAAATGAACGTGTTTTATTTACGAGAAAAGTAAAAAGTTGTGAACGATGCAATAATTTTATCATTTTTATTTTCCTATAACAATGCAGCATGCAATATTACAAGACGTGAGAGCAATTATTTTTATGAACCCACACACGCCCTACAAAATATTTGTGACACCGTGCAACGTTACTTTAACAGATTCTCTCAAATTAACACTAATTAGGAAAGACATGCATCCCACACATGTGTAACTTGATGCTTTAAATTCCATAGGGTCGCACTTCATTTCATCACCAGTCACCACTGAATTGTGCAAGCTTTTTCATAGGCCTGTGGTGAATTAAGAATAGATCCAAGAAACGAATACTAGAGCTCATGTAGTCTCATAATTTAATATGAGCAAACAATGGGACTGGTCATTCCATTTCATAGTCAATTGTTGAGTATTTATGTAGTTAGTTAGTTGACGAGTTGTTTTACCTCAGTCTCAATCTGGGAGTCGGCAGGGGCTTCTTGGCTGCGTTGACTCAGCTCCTGGAATGTTGATTCTCAATCTGGTTCTTCTTCACTCTTTCTTTCGCCTCGTCGAAGGCTTTTACTTGTGGCGAGGATTGAGCCGATGCATGAAAATCTTCATCTGCAAGCTGAGGTAATGAGGTGTGTCTCCATCCAATAACCCTTATTAATAAATATCCTCGTACATATATCCCAGTGTGCAGCGTGGCAGTGTGGTAGGGCAAACCAAGTAGTATTGTAAGCCTTGTTTGATGGTATAATAAATGGCTGTACGCTTGAGATAAAAAGTCACCTCCACTTGAAACCTACAACATGCTAATGAATCACTTCTTCACAATTGAATTTCTCAAAAGTCTCCTCAACAAACAACATTGTGAAGTCACTGTCCAATGTCCAACATAGTCAGCCAGCGCTGCTTTAAATGCATGTACTTTATAATAATAAAAACTTTCGTTACACGTCTTCCATTCGGGTGAAATGAAACACAGCAATCAAATTAGCAATTTGTATTCGCTGGTCGACGACGGCATAACATACGAACGAAGCAGAAGAAGCATCACGGGTAGGAAGTTGTTGGTATAAACTTCTTCTTTGAGTTTCATAACCGGCAAGTAGACTGCTGGTTTATAGCAGAATTTAATTGAATGCTCGGACTTGAGACGCTGTTCCACACACCGTGTGTAATATTTATATTTATTTATTGTCCGTCCGTAAATATGTGGCTGGCAGTGTTATGCGGTGGTTCCGTCCAAATTGAGCTTAATGCATTGGAGTTGACAGTCAACCGAAAGATCAATTCAATTGAAATGCATGATAATTATGGGCGAAGCAAAAAATCAAATTACTGTTGTGACTGTAATTTATGAACACAAGGGAAATAGTGTACCGACTTGGCATGGGTGTGACTTGGATTTTACGGACGACGGTTTGTCGTGGTCGCTCAAGTTTTATTTCATTTTTTTAGCAAGATGAACTATTGGAAGCATTATGGCTTTTAATTGGACAATCACATTTGTACGACTGGAAGGTGAATTTGGTGAAGGATCACACAGTATGACGTTCCGAGCAAAGAAATTTGAACTGTGATGAGAAAGTGATGTGGTAAGAAGTGGCTAGCACACCTTTTCTGAAGAAAAATTTTCACACTTTTATCACCAACATCATAATCCAGTCAGATTGCACATAATTGTTCATGTTTTCAGTTGGTAGTGGTGATGAAGTGGATACTGATTGCTTGTGGCTTTGTCCACCTTTCTTGATTCGGTGATGTTCAACAACATGCCAGTCCACTTAGTCACACAAAATATTATCATGCTACATTGTCGAGTCACTTTTTTAATTCAATTTGTTTACCCACTCAAATCCAACTACTATTTAGAATTAGTATAACTACATGTATGTATATCTTCTGGAACTGAGATTACTAAATAAATGCAGTTGTGTTGACCGATTAGTTCACATTAATTACATGAATTTCACTTGGTGAGACACAGTATGAGATGAGACCACACGACAGAGTATTTAATAAGTTGAGACGGAGAGTATGAACCAAAAAACAAAACGGTGAGCTGATTGCAATTATAATTTTGGAGCTCTTGAGTAATATATGGAAGCAATTCAGCTCCTGTTGTTTTTCTTGGTTGGTTAGCAGTGAAATTTGATGTCTGGTTTGTTGGTGGGTTGTTGAGAGCAAGTTTCGTGAGAGATGCTAAAACTTGACTGACTTGGATAAAAGTTGACTTTGGCAACTTAACAACTGCAGCACACACGGTTAAGAAGTGTAGAAGAGCTAAGGTTCATCTCACTTTGGTCACTCTTTGGTCTTCTCGCTTACTTAATAAATACATGCACCCATCCGCTCTTCGAGTGAAACTCACCTTCTTTCTTATCGCACTCTACAGAATCCTGCCTGGTACCTTTTTCGTGCTTGGATTATCTGCGGAGGTAAGTTACCGTGTGCATGTAAAAAAAGACACTGTGAAGGTCGGTTGAAAATCCCTTTCGGAATGCCGGTGATAGAATAAATATTGTTGGTTGGTTTTGCTTGGGTTGTTTGTTAGCACTTTTACTAGTGTTGGATGGTTTGTATGTATGGGAGGCGAATCCGAATTCTTGCTGTGAGGGTAATAAAGTAAGTTTGTCTTTACTTACGTAGAGCAATTTATTGTCTGTGTGGTGGCCAGGTTTGTTTCATAGAAGAATGAGAATGAAGTAATTTTTAATGCCCAAGAAACAACATGAACCACGACTACGTAATAATACAAACCAGAATGAGAAAAATTTGTGCATGAACAGCAACAGCAGCAGAAGCACAAGAAATACATGTTTTCCCTCATCGGTGGTATCTGTCCAGCCCGTATACACATTTAGGAGGAAGGGTCGTTTGGTTAACTAATTCACCATTCAGAGAAAACAGGAGTTGATGGTAGACAAGATGGCAAACGGTTACTTGTGCTGCTTCAAACACTCAAAATGGATAGAGGATACTTCACTTGAGGTTGGGGTAGATGTGCCTCGATTGTCGAGATGGACGATGGATGCATGCACTTTATATTTAGTTGAATTTATCCTCAACGTAAGGTACTGCTTGAAGGGGTTGCTGGACGTTTTGCTCTTCTCTTCATTTACGGCAAGATACAACCAAACATGATCCCAATACTGCTTATAAGTTCATACATAAGCTAAGCACTTATATCTACAAATATACAGGATGAACTATATTCAAACAAAGCAAAATCAACCCTTCCTTCAAGGATATATGAATTCCCTCGCATTTCGTCCTTATTATACCATGAATTCCTACAGCTTCTTCACAAATAAGTTATGAAATATATGAAGCATTTTCACTTGTGTATCTACACCTTTCATGTCTCCTGCAATGGAGCAGAGGATTTTGTTAATCGGCTGAATTATGCTTTGGTCACTGCAGAAATGGCCCCTTTAATTAATAATGACCGGATTAGCTCTTCCAGCCAAGTAACATTCATTTTATTGTCTTCGAAAGTGTCATCTAAGCCGGTTATTCAGCTTCGGGTTGTAAATTTTAAGTTCTTTCTTCCTTCCATCCTGACTATTAAGGTATTAGCAATGCTACCCATTCGTTGTATGTCACCTCGGATGCATTTACGACCCCAACTAATTTGAAAATGGAAGTGCGAGCGAAGAAACCAAAGAAGGACATAAATATAAGTGAGATATAAATATGGAATGAGATAAGGGTATGAAAGTGAAAGGCTGGTTCAGGTTCTTGTCTTAGAGTGCAGTTATATACGCAAAGCTCATCCGTTATTCAAAACGATATTTTACGACGACGAAAATAAAGACTGGTATTAATATGCAGCACAAATGTATGTATGCATCATTGCTCGTCTCTCAAACTGAAGCTATATAAGTAAGTCAGATAAGAATTGCCCATAAACTCATTGACAGAATAGGAATACACTTTGACGTTTCATAAAGTATTGTTTTGTGATCTTATCAAGAATTAAGTTAGCATCAGATGTTCTATTGATACTATTAATTTATGCTAGAAAACCGTTAACTTTATATGCAGTGACTAAATCACGACATTTTTGCAAATTAACCCCGATTCGATACACACCTTCTAGGATGCGTCATATTTTCTATTTTCTCATGGTGCACATCCTCGTTTGCCTAATGGGCGAGAATAGTTTAAATAGTTTTTCGACCTGAATAATATCCACAGACAGGTTAATATTTACTGATAGATACGTATGCAATGTTTAATCAAAGTAATGACTATTTGTTTTTTACAATTCTTAGTGCATCCAGCCACTAAATTTCTAAAATTACAACCTAAAGCAATTCTATGTATTGTGGTTTACTTGGTTGTGACATGTTCGATATATCAATAGTGCAAGACTAATGCACTTACTATTAGTTTTATATTTTTATCACAGTGGTGTGCTCCGACTATAATATGCTCGTCCAAATCAGACGAAGAAACTCCATGGATGAACATAGATAATCTCACAATGTTATTGTAACATGACAAATAGAAGTACAAAACGATATTTGCATGCATTTAAAAATCTTTTAAAGGTAATTAATTCTACAAATTGAACTACTGATGCATGTATGCACATGAAATATTCCGCCATCATTTATTACCAAAGAAGTTGCGAATTCTTCCTGCCACTAAAATTAATTCATTTAGCTATAAAACGTAGATTCATTGTAGATCAAGTTCAGATGAAGAATGGCTCAAAGTCTTATTATCTCGTACAGACGGTCCATCTGCCACGCTGTTCTAGGCAAACATTGTTATGCGGCGTCGATTCTATACGGCCCAGCATTATTCTTTCTTTGTAGTTCGCAATACGTAGCCCTTGGGTAAATGAGTAAAGAAACGAAAGTAATTGTTTTTACTCCATTAATTTGCCGCTCATTGACTTTTCTTATTCTTAACTCACCATGACATCATGACCGTGTTGAGCTGATTTACACACTAGATAGACTCTAAAGACGATGAGGTGCATTACTATCCTCGCATGGATATGAGTGTACATTGGGCGAGAAGGAAATAAAAATGCCATGCATAATGCATAATTCCGAGGAGGAGCAAACACAGAAAAGAGAGAAAATGTTCTCCAATGTCCCATAAACAATTTATACACTTTCGTTTACTTTGACGGAACAAATACTTTTTTCACTGGCTTAAGTCGTGGAACAATAAAACCTCAAAAAGAAGTGCATTCTTCACTTACGTCGCTCGTCTCACTCTGCCATTCCAGTCAGTGTAAAGGCGTGAATAAAATAAATCCTTCCGTATTGTTCGCATGCACCTTATTGTTGCTGCCTGCAAGGGATTTGAGGATTTGTAAACTCGTCCCGAATTTCTGGGAGTGTTTTACTGCACTTTCTTGTTTTATTTTACAACATGGACAATTTGTGTTAGCATTATTATCTCCTTAACGTGCTCACTTTCTTGGTCAGAAACTTGGAATTCAATCAAGTTCATTGTCAATCCAACATAATTAAATTATTCAACAAATCGCACGTGGATCATGACTCTCAGCTTAATGTGAAGCAATTTTACCTAAGTTTGCATCAGATACCGCAAATTAAATTTCATTAAGATTCGATTGCTGCAGAATGAGAGAGTCATGTTCAATTTTATGGCTTTTACATATGAAATCTTGAGTGTATATAAGCATATCGGTGTACTTGATACGTAGTTCAACAGCGTTTAATCGTTTCCGTCAACCGTTGCTATTTCACGAAATTCGTTGCCACCACACCACCTGCATGAAATAAATTGGAGGAGATTGAGTCCTGTAGCCAGTCTCATGATGCATGTACATTGCATGTACATATGAACGTCTCATTTCTCACAATTATCTTCATATACTTTTCCAAACTCAAAAATTATTTATTTACCATAGGTTCATCAAACATCAGTGCTTAAACTTATATGCATATCTTCCCGTTAAATCCAAAGATATCGTGACCTGTATAACAGACAACTCTCGAAGAAGCCCACTTTCCTTTACACATAGACACACACACATCTATTGAACATACTTCTGCTCCAGGCAGGTGAGCCAAGAGTAACCGTTGTGACTTTTCACCGGAAGTTGTGCAGGAACAAACTGTCGGTTTTTCCTTGGTATTATTTAAGAGCGTTCTTCATATTGTCTATTTTGAGATTGAGACGAACAAGAAGCGTAAACCTGTTTGATTGCACGCTAGATTTTTACCGTGAGGGTGAAACTACTAGTCAGTACTACTCATCAACAAAATTATTATTATTTATTCGTCAATAAGTCATGCATTTTGATCGAGCATGTTGTGATTTTCATGAATGGAAGTGAGTAATGAGAAATGTCAAAATGATTAAGCGATGAAAAGGAGATGTTGCTGTGTAGTCGAATAAAACATTACAAGTGACGACTGTGTCCGTGCGTCGTCGAATTAAAATTCTTCAGCGTCCGACCATTCGTTTTGAAACACAATCCTACGACAGAGCTTAAATATCTCATTGTTAAGATGCACATATTAATTATACAGTTTCATATCATAAGTGCACCTACTAAAAAATAGTAGATGTGCATTTCCACTTATATTACATAATACAGCTATAAAAATATGAGATAAATAATAATCATTATACGGAATAATTTATAAATAATAAAGATTTTATAAGACCTCTGGTGATTTATCTCCGAGAAAATTATTAGTCGATTAAGTCTGAGCGATTTTATTGCTTGTTTTACGATGCTGCCATATATATTCTTGGTTATGCCTCGATTTAAATTCTTGGGATTAGCAATGTGATCAGATCTCAGATACGTATGTAATGTACGGGTCTCAGATGAGCATGATTTTTAGTTAATGACTAAAGATTCGCCCGTGTGAGCTGACCTGAATTAAGTAGGTGCATGACCTTCAATTTGCATGGAATTTTGAGTAAGGAGCAATGATACGAATAAGAAGAATCTGGCTCTGGTTTTTGATAACTTCATCGTAAAACATTGTAAAATGACCACAGTTTAGTATAATTTACAAAATTGCAACGTAGCAGATGGTTGCTAAAGATCCCAGGATTAGGATTATGCATGTTTGTAGGTATATACATACGTGTATCTGTGCTGATGGAATTTTAGTCGCCCATCATCGTTTACTATTGGGAAGAGAATATTGGCGTTGCTTCTTTCGGCTAAACCAGTTGTTCAAGAATGAAATGTTTAACAACTTGCTCAGTAGGAATGTGCACCTCCTTTGTTGCAATATTTGGTCAAAACTCGTTTCAAACTGGAATAATTTGCGCTAATGCGGAATCCTTATGAAGTGTCCAATAACCTGTATCGAATATCAGCAGTCTGTGGGATGAGTAATGTCGAAGTCTCAAAGATGTCGAGTGCGATTAAACTCGGATTGTTGCATACAAAGCAATGTCAGTAAAAAGATGTTACAGGATTTATTTAATGAAAGCTATTATTCGTAATTAATGGATAAATGTAGAGTAATTTTTACCGGAACAGATGAATTCCTGAACAGATGAATTAACACATTTTCTGAAATTTTGCTGGATTTTAGAGTATTTGCACACTACAGGTGAAAACTGATAATAACTACTTCATAGATGTAAATTGTAATAGTAAACTGTAATATTATATTTTTAATACATGTAGCAAAGCATCCAGCATACGGACTTTTGTTTGATCCATTTTAGCCTTATCATTGCAGGAAATCCATTAAAAGTTTAAATGGTTGAAACACATATTTACTTTACTATTATTCTATTCTCAACTCTAATTCTAAGTAATTCTTTGAAATGCAGAAACCGGTATGAAATTTACCAAGCTAAATATTTTTCTTTCCAATCTTCTAATCCAAAACGGTACTACAAATGATAACATTCATTCAAGCCAGATTAGTATATAAATATCAAATTGGTTAGTAAAAACAACTATATGTTGACAAGCAACTTTTGTAAATTAACGTATGCTGGTGGAATTAAGAAACAGTAAAAAAATCGTTGATATTTAAATCGCTCTAAATTAAAACAATGGTTTTTGTACATTCAGCATACTGTATGTTTCATATTTGTCGCGAATGCTTTTATCCTTCAGAGTCGACAGCAACTCCTCGTGTCATCGGTCCTGTTCGAACAAACCACACCATGCATATCATGGCAGCAATGATAACGATTCCTAAACTGTTGACAATGATGCTTTCCTCTTCGTCTAGACGATAGTTTTCTCTAATGAAAACAAAAAGGTTAAATAGAATTATATTTTGGCTGTTCTGGATAAATCGCTCGAATTTTTGATGCCTTAAGTAATTAATAATTGTAGTAATTTCTCAAGTAGTTGTTAGTGGGTGATGAAAAAAATAAAAATAATTAATCGTGCAAATAAAGAAAGCAAACCGATAAATAAAAATAAATCAAATAGTTTATAGGAGTTTTTTTATTAAATATTAAAAATTAAAATACGAAATAATAGAACTAAAACACCCTTAAATTAAATCATGTGATTTACTTATTTTGTTTTGATTCGTACGTAAATGCATGTAAACTTGCATTCCTTGGACATGAAAAATCACGTCAACCATTTATTTGTAATAATAAACGTTATGTGTAATTCATTAATGCTCAACTAAATATTCTCTATTTGTAAAGTTGTGTACCGTTATGGTGTTTTGAAAGTAGTTTTGAAAATATAACGCAACCATACAAAACTTAACTAAGAAACTCAGAATAAAATATCTAATTTCGATTAGAGTGAAACTGAGTATGTACAAAGAATAATAATCTCGAAAAAACAGTGTTGGTGAGAATGGCAGGTATGTATAGAGGACGATGATGTTGATTTGATTCTGAATTCTGGAGGGTTTAGAGGTCAGTGTGATAGGTCATTCTCATCGGCATCTTTCTAATGGATGGAACGCTCAATGTAAAGACCAAAGATATGGCCGAGGCAGCAATTGTGATGCCCAAGACATTGACAATGATAGATTCGGGAGAACTCCAATGTGAATACGAAGATGCCCTAAAATAAGGAGAAAGCATTAACAAAAGAGGAAATAAATAATGAGTTCAACTCAACAAAGTAAATAATAAATAAATGCATGCATGTAGCTGTGGTGTAAAAGTTAAAACAATATTTCAGCGATTAATTAATGAAAAAAAATATTGCGCAGTGAGTGACTGATTAGTTAAAGAACTTGGTATTTAGTAGAAATTGAAGATTTGATTAAATTGGTGGCCATTGGAAATATGGGATGACATCTGCTCTCGGCATCACAATTAGCATTATTAATAGAACTTATTAGTGAGGGTATTTTAATATTTACCCGAGTTCAAAGATGGCTTTTTCGGTCAACCCAGCACAAGCCGTGGCGCAAGCCATAACAAAGGTGATGATTCCAAAGGTGGCATCTAGATGAGAAATATATTGCATTTACATTATGCTACAAAAATCAACAGGCAAAAATTTCAATCAAACTCACGAGTTGGTACCAAGGATGCTCTGCAAGCTGAAATAAAAACATTCAATCGATATTTGTATGTGGATATTTTTATATGTGAATATTAGAAACTGCGAAGTTACCTGCCGTTGCCCCCTCACAACACAGCAGAATCAAGAAACTGAAGAATCCAATGACGAACTGTGATCAACAAAATAATTTATCACCTTGTGCACGCAGAGTGTACCAATAAACACGTATTCGCCTTTCAGTAATTTCCGAAAATTCTAACAAAGGGGCAATAAATGAGTTGGTAAACGAAAATAAATGGCTTCTCCCAATCAGAGAAAGACGGTAAACACACTGAGAGTTCCAGAAAAACAAATTCTAACGAGATTTTTATGTTCCGAGTTCACTTTCTTTGTAACAAGAGAAACTTGAGACGAATACTGGAAAGTTTCTTTCTCAGGAGTTGAATTTTTCACCTGTATAGCGAAGAGCCCCATTGTTGTAAGTCCCAGCCATGAGTGAAGAGAGTAGAAATGGGGGATCTTTGGAGTCACCAACTCATGAGCTGAAATAAAAACGTTCATCAAGTTCCATGTATGTACATATACTATAAATGTGAATAAATTGAGAGTTTACCATCCCAAACGGTCAGAAATCCAATAGCAATGCAAGCAATTGACAATGCCTACATGGAACAAATTTGAAAATCAGAGCGGTATTTTCACAGCATGATTTATTGACAAAGCACATTGCTCATAAAAACGTGGATTTTCACTCTTACATGGAATACAGTGTGAAGAAGCTTGACATAGATTTTCCTGCAACAAGTCATCATTCGGTAGAACAGCATTGCTACACAGAAATTAAAAATCACATGACGCTTTTGAACACTATTTGCATATGCAAAGAAAATATTTAATTGATTGCAAATTACAGAATCCAGAGCAGAAGATGAATCCGCCAATCATGAGAGTAGGATGCCAGTTGAACTGAAATTTAAAATTGACTAATTAATATGTTGCCACACAGGTCTCAAAGGTCAAAGGTATAAATTATATAAATTAATAAAGCATACCTCAATGCGAGGGTTTTCCTGAAAATTGATTCAAAATTATTAGTGTTTTTAAATTTATTTATAACTTATTTTTAAATCTTACCTGCCATGCATAGCTTCCTCTATACATAAATATCCAGAACAGCACTAAAACCTATGAAATTAAATTAGCCCTGTTAGATAGGATACTTTCTTATGCATACATATTGCATATTAATAACATCATCTACGCCGGTCTTTGTTGCTGAAGGATCTGAGTAATTGTACTTACGAGGGATGCTATGAGGAGAACACTGGTGACGATGAGGGAAAAAACGAATCCAATTTTAGTGCCCATTCCTGCTTCTTCTTTAGTCCTGAAACAAACAAAATGTTGAAATTATAATTTTTTATTTGTCTATCAATCTCATGTTAGATTCAGTGGTATTAATAATCCCATGCACCAACCAAAGTGCGAGTACTTTCTTTTTGCATAGAATGCAATTGATTGTCGTTCATGTTCTTCCACAATATGAAATTGAATAATTTGAATGAAACGTGACTTAATCTGGCAGCGAAAGAGAACAAAAACCTCTAATTATTTAGCAGTTTGTCATTTTTGTACAATTCCCATTTTTTATGAATTTTGCTAGCTTTCGCTTACAACTATGAATTACTACTCAAGCATAAATTTGCCTCATCCGTATACTTTCACGCTCCTTTAGAGGTTAACATTTGTGGTTAATGGAATACAGTAATTCCACAACATGCAACAAGCCAGCCAGTTGGTGCGTAACGTAGATAAATTTTCTCTCTGTAACAAAATTCCACCAAAATAACAAGGAAACTACCTAAACAGTCAATTTTACAAAATGACAAGTTCTCAACAGAAGCTATTATATCACCACCAGAATAATGCAACTCACTCAGAGGCAACAGTGCCAATAACAAATACATAAACGGGTATTTCTGTACTAGAATGGGAATAATTCGAACCATTTCTGGTATTAGACGCAGTCATTCAACCAGGATAATTAAGCCATGTCTAGGGCTTCGTTGTCATTTGCAACCGGTAAACATTTGTCCCGATTCGGGTACTCACTGCATGTGGACGTACTAAAAAATGTATTTACTGATCTGAGGCAGTATGCTGCATGAATACGAAGTAATTACAAGAACGCCATCCATCCAATATTGTAAACAGAATTTTGTAAAAGAGACACAACAAGTGCCAATAACAACATATTGGGTAAGAAGCTGCAGCTCCTTGCCTCAAAAATTTGAAACATTACAGCCACATTAAATTAATTTTATTACTTAAATATTAATTATGCTAGATGTTCGTCATTAAAATCAGAATATTTCTAGAGATTGCGATCTCACCTTAAAAAAGATAAAAAACGCTGTATGGGTTGTATGCTTGTGAAATCTTGTAACTTCCCCATTCCTGCAGCTAATACCTTGCCTTGCGTAGCTCACAACAATTGAAAACAACTTGGAAATTGATGCGTAAATAAATTTTGTAAGCGATGGACAAGTGCAAAATGAATGAACTCTCGTTCTTTGTTAATAATCAAAGACTGGAGAAGGTTAAGAGGGCTGGAGAAAGCGTGGTCAGGAATGGCAATGGTGACACCAAGGAGGTCATTCCCTTTTCCTTAGATACACGTATGTAGCGAAACCTTAAGACATGAGTTGGCATAGGCATACGTACTTTCCGTGAATCCAAACACTATAATACACAATTTAATAAAGTGTACACGGAAGTCGGAGCTGGGTGCTGTAGGAGGACATAAATATGAGGCAACTTTTACCCGGAGTTATGTGAGTAGTTATTTAGTTGTTGTCGATACCTAACAACGTATTATTCCGTCTTGTGCCTTAGTAATTTTGCACGCACCAATGTTTAGCAGACCTAAGCCCTCACCTGTATAATTTATTTTCAAAATTGTAATTTATGAAACGGATTCCTCCATAAATGCGCTAAAATTCTTATCAAACTCTTACATTTTGGATTATGCAAATTATTGCATAAAAAGTATATTACGATCTGATATTCAATATGTGCCATTGTTGCTTTTACGTAATTCTGGAAATAAATCATTTACATAAATGATTGCTATTACAACAATACTCGAGAAAGATATTGAGAATTCGACGAACTTTTACGTCGAAGTCTCACATAATAGCAACTTACATATACAATAGCTATTATTAAATGAATCTTCAAATATTTGAACCAGGAAATGACTTCCAATACCAATTAAAATTTGAAAGGCTGCCATAATAATCTGCCAATATATTTTATTGAGATTCCATCAGACCCAAGTTTGATTTTACTCATGTTTATGTTTATTAAGAATTAATACTACAAAAAATAATGCTGTAAAGTGTGTCACTGATGGTATAATGCAGATCAGATAGTGCCATGCCTTTTTGTCATCATAACATTTTCATAATGAAAAATAAATCGTTAATGCACTTTATCAGGCAATATAAATACGTCACATTGCGGGTAGATAAATAAGTTCATGTTATTACTAGAAATTTGGCAAAATGTGGCAAATATTGTATCCAGTACCACCTGGGAAGGTCTCCCACACGCCCCACAAGCCATTTGGGAAGAAAAGTGTGTGTGCGAGAAGAATGAGTACGCCATTGGTAATGGTCAGTCTTCATTTAGGCAACCTCAAACAAACAATATTCCTTTGTGATGAGCACACATTCGAAAGAGCATTCTGCGTATACAAAATTCCACCTAGAACACCATTAGCGACAAGGTCGTCCAAAATTGGATTGCTTTTCAAAAAAATAACTATACATGTGATTGATGTTCATGTTAAATCTATGCTCCGTGTTATGTACTTATGTTTCATATAGAATCATAGAACACCAAACTTCATATTTCATATGGTTCAGTACAGAAAAAATCATGACGGAATTAAACAGGTTTTGCATCTTGCATGCATGCAGAGTAAACAATGGCAAAAAAATATACCATAACATAAAATAGCTATTCAAAGGCGACTGGAGAATTTAGTTTGTAAAATTAAATGGAATGCGTAGTAAATCGTCTAGTTGTTGCTACTTTGCTAATTTTTAAGACTATGTACTAGTCATATGATTAACAATATGGTTGCAGATAATAATTGGGCAGTATAATTTTCTAATTGTACAAAACACATATTCGATAACCCGCAAAATGTCACGATTTATGTGTATGTACATATGCAAGTATACACCAGTATAAAATTAGACTCATAAAAAAGCGTGGGATGAATAATTGCAAACGTTCAAATCTTACACGAATTGAGTTATGGAAGCCCGACAACAATCAACAGATGAAGTATTGACTCCAAGTAGGTAAATATGTGAACAACACCAACCGCTATCGAACCAACGAAGTGTTAACAAGTGCAGTAAAATATTTTAGCACTTTAACAAGGACAGTGACTAAGAACTAAGCTATTTATATTCTATTAACTTGATCCTAAAATATTGATTTATCACAATAATGGAGCGTTCCAATCCCATTTGAATACAATTTGTTCGTCGTACTTGGTATCCTTAGAACAAGGTAATATTAAGATGGCACAAGAGTATACTTTGGATGAACGGATGGGGGACAATGTTCACTAGTTGCCCTCCTTTGCTCATTGCACACATTATAACACATACAACAAGCAAGTTGTAGTAGAAGAGAGGACACGCGGAACTTAAGAAATTAACCAAAGGTCAATCCAATCGAACCAAATGAAGGAGATTTTTAGGTCTGCTGGACAAATGGAAACAAGCCACAAATTCAATTCATGGTCAGAGGAGAGAAAGAATCGAATCAAGCCTTCTCCAGTGACTGTCGAACTGTCATTGTCTGTGTGGCATAAAAAGGCGTGCATCCCAGCAACACCATGAAAAGAAACACGAATGAAGGCGTTCATCCACTGAAAACCATTCGGACTTGTACATATCCTTCGCATGAAATGAAACAAATTCGGTTGTTTCCTGCCACCGCTTTCAGTCCGTTTCGTACGTACGTAGGTAAGTAGATATACATTTACTGTCCAGTCCATCGGCAAAGTTGGATTCTCAATGTCAACTTTTGAATTGCTACTTTTTTATACACAATATGCACCACCTATAGCACACATTATTGTCATTAACGCGAAGAAGAATATTCAATGGGTTTGAAAATAAATATGCACGGCTATGCGTTGGATAGTGTCATGTCAATCTCGCTGTGTAGTGGCAATTATTGTTGGTGTTCAGTGGAGTGCCTCTTTCTCTCTCTGGCCAGAAGAAAGTAGGAAGCTTGGCCTATGCAAAGGTATGCACGAGTTGCGTGTTTATATTAAACCCCGTTTCACTTTACATGGTATTACCGCCACAGGCAAGGAACATGAGAATCTCATGTTAGTTTCGTGTGGCGGTAATACCATGTAAAGTGAAACGGAGTTTAATCGCACGCAAAGCCCTATATCGACCATTGGCTTTTCTTGGTACACCTCGTATGAAAGGATTAATACAAGTCGTCTTCAATTAGTGAAAAGCTCCCAAAATGTCAGAAATTACGAAATCTATTGTTCATTCCTTCAAATGATCGTTGAGCATGTTTACTGTACGTTTATGGGTATAGCTACTTCTCAATACTCATTTCCTAACGTATTAAAAAAAGATATTCTTATTTCATGTGCTGAAAATGGCACTTTGGGTCTCTGTGAAATGGAGGTAAACCTTTTATGCACTCAAAATAAATATGTTATGCAGCATATTAATGAGTCAGAGTACAAGTCGAAATATTTTACTTTCAATTTATTTAGTGTTCATTCATACTATTAAATATTTAGCCACATGATTGTAAAAGTTTATATTACTTCAACTTCCTGATGACACCTGCCTATGTACAAACAACAACGAAATATTATTGTTTCGTTGCACGTACGTTGTACATGTTCCACACGATATGTATGCATATTCTAATAAAAGCCACATTACGTGCAATTCGAATGCGAGCACATGCATGCATAGATATATAAAAAGTTCAATTATTGTCCGCAAATGGAGACAAATTAAATCTACATTGAACTAGATCCTCCAGTTTATTAGTCATTTGTCATTTCGCAAACTTACTTTAACTAAACATTAACTAATCAAGACTGAACATGGCGCCACTTGACTGGACACAATTTTTTGTTTGTTTGTGTAGGAGGACGACTAAACGAAATACCATCTTCATTGCTGTTTGTTATCTATGTACATACGTACGTACGTACGTACATGCATGCACCATCGAAGAATGAAATCAAGCATGTCAGCTAGATATGCCTTTACTAAACTGTACATGGTCAAAGCATTTAGAATGTTGCTTGTCTCTCTCTCC